CAAAGATACTATCGCTTAGAACTCAATAATCTTTAAGGGCTCTGCTACCGATAATTTTCGATAAAGATGAAGACGAGGATCCGGACAGTTGGGCGGGAATGATCCTGAGTACTTATACTCCAAAGGACTCTATTCTCTGCTCCTACTTCCTTACTAAGTTCCGGCGCTGCCTTCTAACGGAAAAAGGAAGCTATACCATCGCTACCCCGCTTCTCTCTAAGCGTCAGCGAGTGCTTCCGGTTCCGAAGGCAACCACCCTTAGTCAAAGCCTTCGTAACACCTGCAGCCGTTGTTGCCACACAACAGGGGCCTGCATGAATGAGCTACCGCTCAGGTGTAAGCTTAATCATTGCTGTAGAGCTTTCGCTTATTGTAGACTTCCCAGGCATAATCCTTTCCGTTACCGGCGGACTTCCAATGCTCAGAGGATGTAGAGGATCGCCGAGCACTCAGAGCTCCACTCTGGCTGACCTTCTAGTCATTGGCGAGGCACAGACTCGTCAGTCATTGCTCCCATGAGTAGATCCTCTTCCTAGTGTTCAGAATGTAGTTACTCTGAAAGCTGGTAGCTAACCACACTGCCGGTACTTGCATGTCACTGCGCAACTGGCTTCTAACAATAACTCTCAGCATGTAACCGGGCCCTGTGTGTACTCATACACCAGACAGTTGAAATGGCTCCGTTACAGCTGCTGGGAGACAGTTCTGCTTGCAGTAGTCACTTCGACAGCTTATGGTATTGAGTTCCCAATTGATATCCGGGTTGTACTTCCTTGCCCATGCAATTGGCAGGTAACCTGATATTCCTTCTTCCAAAGTAGCCAGCTCCCATCGGAGCATCTCCTTGTGATCTCCCATGCTCATGTGGACTGGGTGAGTGTAATACTCTCCTCCGCCCATCATGACATCTCCTTGAGCATCATACATTGTCAGAGGTTGATCTCGCCGCACTAAGGGAACTCCATGCTTCCTGACAAAACTCTGGTTGAGGATTGCTCCTGTACAACCGGTGTCAAAGAGGAATGTCCCTTGGGCGTCTTCAACTTGGTTCTTGACTGTCCATGACAGTCCTGCTTTCAGTATTGGCCTCTTGCCATGTACTGGTAAGGATGGAAGCTTCTCTTCTAACCTTCTTCGCTTCTGCGCGGGTTCTGGGCTTGATTCTCTTTGTCTTTTTTCCATTGCTTAACAGTTGCGGGCACTACTAAGATCAAAAGATCTTTTGGTTCTATTCCCAAGCGATGATAAAGCAAGTATTTGTGTGGTAGTCTGGTAGCGGTTTTGGAAGTGTCTTGTAGCAAATGTAACTTTGGCAGAGCACTTACAGACCAGCTGTTTCGGGTCATAAACCCATCCTCAGAGTGCTTGGAAACAATCAAATAGGCAGAAAACAAAATTTTATTCAAGAGAAACAAAAACAAGACCCAAAAGAAAACTAGTAAACATAGACTCTAAACAGACACACTTTCTACCAGATGATTTCATTGTCCGAGTCTTGCTCATGCTGAAAGACGAAATCTCCTGTAACCTCTGGGAGTACAACAAGTGGTTCCTCTGCTACAACAGCAGCCACCTTAGCTTTTTTCTGAGGATTGGGCTTGCCATTTCTTCGTTTCCGCTTTTGTACCCTCACTGCTGCCACTCGGACTACAGTAGGTTCCCTGGACCAACAATCGGTCCATTTGTGTCTGGACTTGCCGCACTATTGCACAAGTCAGTCTATGCACTCTACCAATAGGGAGTACCGGAAGGTCATACCTTCAAGCATACTTCTGCTTTCCTTCTTTCTTCTAGAATATCCCCCGGGATACCCTTCAGTTCCACCACTTTATCTCTGGAACTTGCTTCCTTCTGAGGTTTGGAGGAGCCTGCAGCTTCTCTCTTCCTCTTGGGGTGCCGTTCTTTCTCAGCAGGAGGATCTTTCTTGGTCCTGGCGGGTGCTTTCTCAGCTACCACCGTCTGATACCTCTCGTGGGTGTGTCCTAGCTCCCTTAGAGCAGCTATCCGCTCCATCAGAGACTTTGGCTTGTGGGTAAAGAGAGTCCAACTCATGCCTAGGTCCGGAAGGAGGGAACTAAGGATCTTATCATCCACTAACTGACCCTCATAGACAGTCTTCCACATCAGCTGAATAATACTATTCAGGAAGGAGTCTATTCCTCCCTTAGCTGTATGGGTAAGGGTATTCCATTGGGCTACAGCATCATCTCTAGAGATGGCTTCGCCAAAGGCTGCTCTGAGGGCATCCACAAAGGAATCCCAGCGCTTCCACCTCTCATCCAATACCACAGGCATCCCAGCTGTCCGGTTGGCAGAAGCTTGGTCAATGGAGTTGTGATAAGCTTCATACCACTTGACCGGAGCATCTCCTTCCATCAGGTTGCCAGCATAACGGATCCTGACCTCTTCAGAGGTAAAGGACTGGCTTTCAATGGAGAAAACGTTCTCAAATTGCCGGATGAAGGTTTCCACATTGTCTGCTTTGCCATTGAATTTGGCCGGAGGTGGTGCCTTGGGTTCTCGGGCCCTGGAGGCAGCGGAGGGGTGTGAGGGGGCCGGAGGTCTCATGAACTGTGCCATGGAGGCCAGCAGTTCTCTCTGTTGCTTCTCCAACTTCTTCCTGTGGTATCTCCGCCAACCTCTCCTGTCTCCATCCTCAGGCTCCGAGTCTGAACTGTCTGAATCCCCTCCTGGGTTGGGAGCGCCACCAACCGGGGGGACAATTCCATCTCCTCCACCATTACCCGCTGATTCAGGGTGCTGGTTTTCTCCACCAGGGTTTCCTTCTGGCTGGAGGTTCCTCCTAGGTGACTCCGGGGGTGGTGTGCCTCTGTGGGATTCTGGGGATAACCCCTGGTGTACCCAGGCTGAAGGAAGCCCAGAGGGACCACTCCTGACCGGTGTCTCGGAGTAGTAGTCATCGTCTCCTATTGGTTGTCGGGGGGGCCTGGCTAGGCCACCTGCCAAAGGGCTTGCTGGAGCTCTTTGAGGAGGCAGGGGTGAGCTTCCAATAGCCCATGGCATCATCAAGGGAAGAGTTCTCTGCCTGATGGACCTGACCGGAAACGCTGCAAAGGGGTTCACCCTTTGGTGGAAGGTTCTCAGGGCCGCTCTGGACGAGGCCCTGGAGTTCTGCGGAGGTGCGGGGTTGGGGACAGGTGCTGGTGTGGGCTTTCTGGCGATGGAGAGCCTTCCTTCATTGATGGCTCTCTGAATATCTTCCAGGAAGTTGGGGGGCATCGCCGGGTTTGTCCACTCAATGTCTTCCATCTCATCCGTCCCTAAGTCATCTCTCTGGGCATAACTCAGGAGTTGTGCCTGGACTGAGGAGACTTGTTGTTGCATATAGCCGCAGGCATCCCTGAGCAGGACTGCCTCAGCTTCTTGTCTTTCTTGCACCAAGGCTAGCGCATTGCCGGCCTTGATGACTTCCTGTTGTAGGCTGTGCTTAAGGTAGCGCTGCAACTTCGCAAAGAAGTCCTGTAGGGTGACTTTATCGGTATCTTGCCAGGTGGGCTCACATCCGGGGATGTAGGACTGGAGCGCCATCCTGGGCATGTGGATCAACTGTGTCTGATCCTCTTGGAGTCCTAAGGCTGCCGGTTGCCATTCAATCTGAAGAGGCACTTGGGGAGCCGGGAGGGCGGACATGTTGTAGGAGAAAGAATAATCTGAAGGTGATTTGAGCACTAAAAATTATCTGTAACGGGGGCAGCCTATCTATGTATCGCTAGAATCCAATAGAATAGATGCGGCCGTGCAAGATAGAAATCAGGTGCAGATTTATTCAAAGATACTATCGCTAGAACTCAATAATCTTTAAGGGCTCTGCTACCGATAATTCTAGGTAAAGTTGATTCTGATAATTTTTGATGAGGATCAGGCAGTTGGGCGGGAATGATCCTGAGTACTTATACTCTAAAGGATTCTGTCCTCTGCTCCTACTTCCTTACTAAGTTCCGGTACTGCCTTCTAGCGGAAGGGAAGCAATACCATCGCTACGCCGCTTCTCTCTAAGCGTCAGCGAGTGCTTCCGGTTCCGAAGGCAACCACCCTTAGTCAAAGCCTTTGTAACACCTGCAGCCTTTGTTGCCACACAACTGGGGCCTGCATGAAATGAGCTGCTGCTCAGGTGTAAGCTTAATCATTGCTGTAGAGCTTTCGCTTATTGTAGACTTCCCAGGCAGAGTCCCTTCCACTACCGGCGGACTTCGAATGCTCAGAGGATATAGAGGATCGCCGAGCACTCAGAGCTTCACTCTGTCCGGCCTTCGAATCATTGGCGAGGCGCAGACTCGTCAGTCATTGCTCCCATGAGTAGATCCTCTTCCTACCCCTCAGAATGTAGTTACTCTGACAGCTGGTAGCTAACCACACTGCCGGTACTTGCATGTCACTGTGCAACTGGCTTCTATCAATAACTCTCAGCATGTAACCGGGCCCTGTGTGTACTCATACACCAGACAGTTGAAATGGCTCCGTTACACTACTCCCCTCTTCCAGGATCTTGGTCTCCGAGATCTATAATCTGTATCTATTGCTATGCTATGTGGCTGTAACGGCAAGATTACCGTTGGCTAAAATGATAGGCCGGATCGTGAAGAGAAGGTATTGCGCAGTGGAGTTAGGATTTGTAATGGGTTTTCTTTTATGTTCTTTCGGTTTCCGTTACCCGAGGTATGAGTCATCAACGGACTAGGGGTTGGATATATAAAGGGGTGTTTTCTCGTGCCTTTTCATGTTTTCCTTCCTTTCCTTTTCTCTTCACGGAACCTTTTGTATTTATTCCACGAATACTACCATTGTTCTTCGTCTCGCCATAGGGGTTCAACTGGTTTGTCATACCAGGTAGAACCGCCCCATAGCCCATAGTCTCAAGTACCTATTGCTACGTCCTCGCCTCGGTTGTATTCCTTGGCACTATAGTCCCTACGTCCATAGAGCCCCGTTACACTAGGTTCCGTCTTCTATCGCCAACCAATACAACACCATAGTCTATCATGGCGGCACATCTCCCTATTGATTATCAACAGCTAAGCGATGCCCTTCAGACCTTCTTTCAAGAACATCCAGAGGTGGATGGCAATGTTGGAATAGAAGCTTATGCACTTCTTCAACGGGCACAACATGGCCTTATTCAGTATGCAACGGATTTACAGGAGGTGGAAAGGGAGGCTGGAAATGCAAGGGAAATGTTTGAGCGAGATCTAGCTGCTGCCAGTGGCCACCGAGTTGCTGTTGAAGTGGTTGCCCCTGATGAAGAACCAATCGGAGAAGACAATGTCCCACCAGTACCTCCAGTTCCACCTGTTCCAGTGGTTACCCAACGGTCGGAAAAACTCCCAGACCCTGAAGTGTTTAGGGGAGATCGCGATCGAGAAAGACTACACCTATTCAAGCAACAGATGAGGATCAAGTTATTGGGAAATGCCGATCGCTTCCCCACACTACAGTCTAAGTTATCCTATGCATTCAGTCGACTGGAGGGTGTTGCCGCTAACCAGTTCTTACAATATGTCGGAGAAGAAGGCATCGCTTTGCCTTCCATGTTACGGTTTTATGAAATCTTGGATACTGCTTTCGGTGTAACGGGGGTGCCTTGAAAGGGCGCGACCGTGACTTCGATCAGGTAGATAGGCAGAAAGGAATTCGACAAGCTATCCTTTCGGCTCGTTCGATGGAAAGATAGAGTTTCATTTGTTTGATCGTTATTTGTAGTCTAGAAACTTAATAACTTTAAGGGGGCTCCTCGCTGGTAAAGACTCGCTCGATCCCCCCGAAACCAAGCTGGGGCAACCGAGTTCCTTTATGGAAGTTCGGCGCCCCTTCCTTCATTACCTCTTTCCTTTTTTCACTGGCCGTCCGCCTTTCAAATAATCTGGGGGCACCACCTATTTTCTATCAGGGGGGAGGAGAAGAGTTGCTACCACACCGCGGACGAATTTTCGTCCGAGTCAAATCTCGCAATCCTTGCCAAGAAAGGGTCGGGATCCTAGGAACTAGAGGAAACAGCCGACCAGACAGCAATTGCTTATTCAGTGTATTTAGAATAGATTTGGGTGTTTTTAAAGCAAAGGTTTGCTTTGGTAGTTTGGGTCGCACTCTTACTCCCCCCAAAGATGCACCGGGCTGAAACAGGAGGGTTCCGGCGGTTCGACGCTCCGGGGGTTATTTTTGGGGGTCTAAAACGTGTTTATTTTGCAGTGTTTCCTCAACTCCGCAATGCGTTCATTCAACCACCCCAAATGGACCGGAGCATCGCCAGGATCCTTTCTGACGTGGTAAAGCATATTTTCCGGGCATCGGCTGCAAAGTTATTGCGCCTCAAAGGTTGAATGCCAAGGTAGGGTAACTTATGTTTGGGGTTACCCTTCCTTATTTGGTCTGCTCGTCCTGCTGCTCTAGTTTTGGTCCAGTCGTCTAGCTTGACTTGTAAGACTTCTTGCTCGCCAGGATCTCTACCCTCTATACCAATAGAGGTAGGGGCGCATCTGCCCTTCTCTTCACCCATCGATGAAGAACCAGCTGCGGTTAACCTAGGGCCGTATGGCTTGACTGGTAGAACAGGTATTTTTGTAACAGCCCTACTGTGGCCCTGTTACACTACTCCTCCCTCCGGTAGACTCGTCCCGAGTCTAACCTAGGGTTTTTGGTATGGTACGTTATGAGCATACAAGAAAATGTAGCTCTAATAATCATTCCATACAAACTCAATGTAACGGGGACAGCCTTTCCTCGTATCGCTAGAATCCGAGAGAAAGGATTTGGCCGTGCAAGATAGAAATCAGGAAATCGGATAGTTGGGCGGGAAGGATCCTGAGTACTTATACTCCAAAGGATTCCATTCCCTGCTCCTACTCCCTTACTAAGTTCTGGTGATCCCTTCTAGCGGAAGGGAAGCAATACCACCGCTACCCCGCTTCTCTCTAAGCGTTAGCGGGTGCTTCCGGTTCCGAAGGCAACCACCCTTAGTCAAAGCCTTTGTAACACCTGCAGTCTTGATTGTCGCACAACCGGGACCTGCATGAATGAGCTACTGCTCAGGCGTAAGCTTAATCATTGCTGTAGAGCACTTCACTTATTGTAGACTTTCCCAGGCATAGTCCCTGCCACTACCGGCGGACTTATCATGCTCAGAGGATGTAGAGGATCGCCGAGCACTCAGAGCTTCACTCTGGCTGGCCTTCTAATCATTGGCGAGGCATAGACTCGTCAATCATTGCTCCCATGAATAGATCCTCTTCCTAGCGCTCAGAATGTAGTTACTCTGACAGCTGGTAGCTAACCACACTGCCGGTACTTGCATGTCACTGTGCAACTGGCTTCTATCAATAACTCTCAGCATGTAACCGGGCCCTGTGTGTACTCATACACCAGACAGTTGAAATGGCTCCGTTACACTCTATTTTTTGCATCCATTTCTATTGACAAAGGAAACCTCAAGTGAAACGTGTGACCTAACAAGGGGAGACTCGTTTTCTCCACGCTTATCCCAGAACACTCCGTCGTCTCGGTTTCCCGCACTTTCCTGTATTACCATGCGTCCCATGATTTTCGGGGATACTTCGCATGGAACTCTCGGAGTGGCTCGTCTGCCATTCCTTACAACAATTTGTACGGTTCCCAAGAGTCTTCTGAGAGATAACCCTCCCAGGTAATCCGATATTGCACGAACTTCTTTCCACGACCAGCCTGCTGTCATTGGCTATCGGCTATTTTCTTGAGAACGTAACTGCCTTCCCCTTGAACCTCATCCGGAGGTGGAAGCAGTATAGCTCGTTGAGGGTCCAGCAGAGATATATGGAAGATATCATGAATGTTCCACTGAGTGGGTAGATTCAGCCTGTAGGACGCGACGCCAAGTTTCCCGACAACCTCAAAGGGACCCATTTTTTTTTTTTTTTTTTGGTGGTCTAGCTTATTTGAGGGTCACTTGGTTAAGATGTTGCATCGGTCCAGCATCACCTCGTCCCTAACCTTCAGTTCTGGAGCACTCATCTGTTTCTGATCATACCATTTTTTCTGCTGTGCTTGTGCCGCGCTGGACGCGTCGAAGTTGTCTAGTTTCCGTTTAAGTGAGGGCCAAGTGGAATCTGGTTGAAACCTATAGTTCGCGTAGAATGGCGATGCTTTGGTTGACTCTTGGGTGGCCGTGTTGTAGGCGTACTTGGCAAGCGGGAGTAACTCTGCCCAATCGTCCCGCTGACAGAAGCAATAGTTTTGAGATACTGTTCTAGCGTTTGGTTGACTCTCTCAGTTTGCCCGTCAGTTTGAGGACGATATGTTTCGAATCTAGAGTCCTGATCGGAGATAATCTCCTCAGGAAGTCCATGCAGTCGCCATATCTCCCGGAGGAAGATTTGAGCAAGTTCTTCGATGGTTGCTTTGGTGATAAAGTCCATTGAAATGGAACTCCAAGGAATAGAGAGGACCTCTAAAGGTTGCAACATCCCTTTCTTCTTGTGTGTTTGAGGCTTTAGCGCGTTGACATGTATCGCAACTCTGAACGTATTCTTCCACATCGTTGTCCATCTTTTGGCAAAGGACAGTGCCCGAAGGCGTTCTGCCGTTTTGAATTGTCCAAAGTGACCAGTAGTCTTCGAATCATGATTTGGAATGTACCACCTTTCCTTATAGAAGACGTGTCTGTCCTTTAAAGTCAGGTATCGGTTCACCAGATTCCCAGAGGTGTTCTCAATGGCTTTTTTCAAAGAAAGGTACTCTGGATCTAAGGCTGCTTGAGCCCAGATTTCATCCAGGAGCACCGGTGTGAGTTTGCAGATTTGGGCTGATCTTGCACATGCTGAGTTGATCATAACGATCGGGTGTTGGACAGAACCCATTATAAGTTGTCCTGGCTTAAACAAGAATTTCAGGGTCTTGATGAGCCTTACCCCCCTCTTTAAGGGCGTGGTCCCAACGCCGCGACAAGATGTCTGGTTTGGCGTTTTTAGTTTTTCCAGGGCGGTATACAACTTTGAAGTCAAATTCCGCGAGGTTGGCCGCCCATCGAGCTTATCTCGGTTTCAGCGCCCCCCCCTTTTTTTTTTTTTTTTTTTTTTTTTTTGCTGGTTGGTGACGACCGTGACCGTATCTTTGTAGGAACGCAGAAGGTGACTCCGGGGGTGGTGTACCTCTATGGGATTCCGGGGACAACCCCTTGGCGAACCCAGGCTGGAGGAAACCCAGAGGTGTAACGGAGGTAAAGCGAGCCCAACTCATGCCTAGGTTCGGAAATATGGGAACTGAGGATCTTATCATCCACTAACTGACCCTTGGCTGTGAGGGTAAGGGCCTTCCATTGGGCTGCCGCATCATCCCTAGAGATAGCTTCGCCAAAGGCTGCTCTGAGAGCATCCACAAAGGAATCCCAGCACTTCCATTTCTCATCTAACACCACAGACATCCCAGCTATCCGGTTGGCAGAAGCTTGGTCAATGGAGCTGTGGTAAGCCTCATACCAGTTGGCTGGGGCTTCTCCTTCCATCAGGTTACCAGCATATCGGATCCTAACCTCTTCGTAGGTAAAGAACTGGCTTTCAATGGAGAAGACATTCTCACATTGCCTGATGAAGGTCTCCACATTGTTTGCTTTGCCATTGAACTTGGCCTGAGGGTGTGCCTTTGGTTCTCGGGCCCTGGAGGCAGCGGAGGGGTGTGAGGGGGCCGGAGGTCTCATGAACTGTGTCATGGAGGCCAGGAGCTCTGTCTGCTGCTTCTCCAGCATCTTCCTGAGGTATCTCCGCCATCCTCTCCTATCTCCATACTCAGGCTCCGAATCTGAACTATCTGAGTCCCCTCCCGGGTTGGGATCGCCACCAACCGGGGGGACTATTCCATTTTGTCCACCATTACCCGCTGGTTCTGGGTTCTGGTTTTTTCTCCACCGGGGGTTTCCCTCCGGCTGGAGGTTTCTCCTGGGAGACTTCGCTCGTTGAAGCATGACACAATGGCACCTAACTCCTTGTCGTGAACGTCATAATTCCGTTCGGCTTGTGACATTATTTTGGAGTAAAAGACTCCTGGATACCACTTGTTGTCATCTCGGTGGAATTGGGACGGTATGCTAGATTTAGCGAAGTTGGAGGCATCGGTCTCAATCTTGGTAGCTAGCTCGGCATCAAAGTGGGCTAGTACGGGGGCGGATGGAAGGCCTCTTTCAGGACTTCGAACGCATGCTCCTATCCCTCAGACCAGGTAAACTCGGTGTCCTTGTCTCCTTCCACGGTTAGTGCCGGGTTCGGTTAAAGCCGGACCGAACTCCTGCTTCGGCTAACCACGCTGATTCTCGGAACTGGAATAGGAGTTCGCTTATAAAAGCGGGGTATCCGTCGAACTAAAGAGGGTAAGAATTCTTTTCCTTCTATTCATTCTACACTCCAGGGAGTTCGATCTTTCCACACCCAACACCAAATTTATCACCTCCTTTCAGCAATAATGTTTTTCTTTATTCTATTCCTCTCTTTGTTCATTGCGATCAATTCGTCTATTGTACAAGCGTTTTTTTCTAACGCAAGTCGATCTCGGCGGGGGACAAGGCTTAGATCCTCAACTGGTGCGGTTGTTACTGATCTCCTGGAGCTGGATGGTGGTAACACCATCCACGCTCGGAGAGTTGCTCGTAAAGCCGTCCGATCACGGAGTGCTATGAGGTAGGCATGATCCAGCGAGTTGTGTAACCTCTTCTTACTACCACTAATGCTTCCACAGGCATGCTGTTCCTCGGAGTTTGGAGACCTCGACCTTCGATGGCCATTTCAACCAGGTCCCATTTCTGACTCGGGAGGATTACCGTCGTCCTTATCCCTTCTCCCAACCAGGGGACAGAAGTGTTGGTCAGGCTCGTGTCCGTGCGGCACTGATGGAGAAACGGGAACAGGTGCGGTGGATGCGGGATGAGATTGCGCGAGATGGAAGGGGAGCTGAGTGGATGCGGCAGCGAGTGGTCCAAGAAGAGGCAAGGGAGAGACAAAGACTGGCTCTCCAAGCATATTACGAGGCATGGTGGCGCCAGAAGAAAGCCAGTTATCCCCCTCTTCCGGACTCTTCCTGCCGTCATCGTGGACGAAGTAACGTTGACTTTGGTTGGGACTGGGGCCCAGATGGGGAATGGGGGCCGTTGGTCAATGGGACTATCAGGATTTTCTAGGAGCGATCCTGAATGTGGTCTCCTTTCCGAGCGAAGCTGGGCGCTATAACCCTTTGAGCGAATGTGGGCGCTATAACCCTTTGAGCGAATGTGGGCGCTATAACCCTCTGACGGATACAGTGGAGACCATAGTAAAGTGTTAGCCTCTCCCATGCCAGCCTGAGCTGAAAAAAAAAAAAAAGCTAACTGCTCGGTTATTTCAGCCTTGAAAGTGGTCCTAGGTGTTCAGGTAGGTTTTTTTCTTTCTCGTGGGGTTCTTTAAGCGAGGAGCTTAAAGTTATACTGTAACGGGGGTGCCTTGAAAGGGCGCGACCGTGACTTCGATCAGGTAGATAGGCAGAAAGGAATTCGACAAGCTATCCTTTCGGCTCGTTCGATGGAAAGATAGAGTTTCATTTGTTTGATCGTTATTTGTAGTCTAGAAACTTAATAACTTTAAGGGGGCTCCTCGCTGGTAAAGACTCGCTCGATCCCCCCGAAACCAAGCTGGGGCAACCGAGTTCCTTTATGGAAGTTCGGCGCCCCTTCCTTCATTACCTCTTTCCTTTTTTCACTGGCCGTCCGCCTTTCAAATAATCTGGGGGCACCACCTATTTTCTATCAGGGGGGAGGAGAAGAGTTGCTACCACACCGCGGACGAATTTTCGTCCGAGTCAAATCTCGCAATCCTTGCCAAGAAAGGGTCGGGATCCTAGGAACTAGAGGAAACAGCCGACCAGACAGCAATTGCTTATTCAGTGTATTTAGAATAGATTTGGGTGTTTTTAAAGCAAAGGTTTGCTTTGGTAGTTTGGGTCGCACTCTTACTCCCCCCAAAGATGCACCGGGCTGAAACAGGAGGGTTCCGGCGGTTCGACGCTCCGGGGGTTATTTTTGGGGGTCTAAAACGTGTTTATTTTGCAGTGTTTCCTCAACTCTGCAATGCGTTCATTCAACCACCCCAAATGGACCGGAGCATCGCCAGGATCCTTTCTGACGTGGTAAAGCATATTTTCCGGGCATCGGCTGCAAAGTTATTGCGCCTCAAAGGTTGAATGCCAAGGTAGGGTAACTTATGTTTGGGGTTACCCTTCCTTATTTGGTCTGCTCGTCCTGCTGCTCTAGTTTTGGTCCAGTCGTCTAGCTTGACTTGTAAGACTTCTTGCTCGCCAGGATCTCTACCCTCTATACCAATAGAGGTAGGGGCGCATCTGCCCTTCTCTTCACCCATCGATGAAGAACCAGCTGCGGTTAACCTAGGGCCGTATGGCTTGACTGGTAGAACAGGTATTTTTGTAACAGCCCTACTGTGGCCCTGTTACAGAGCCGCCCCATAGTCTATAGTTAAAAATACCTATCGTTACGTCTTCGCCTCGGTTGTATTCCTTGTCACTATAGTCCCTACGCCCACAGACCTCCGTTACAGGTGTTGTTTCCTTTCCGCTAGAAAACATCACCGGAACTTAGTAAGGAAGTAGGAGCAGGGGAACAGAATCTTTTGGAGTACAAGTACTCAGGATCCTTCCCGCCCAATTATCCAATCTCTCCAGTCTTCATCAGAGCTATTAAAGTAAATTTTACTCGGTAGCAGAGCCCCTAAAGATTATTGAGTTATTAGCAATAAATCTTTGAGAATAATCTAAACCTGATTTCTATCTTGCACGGCCACATCTTTCTATCGGATTCTAGCGATACGTGGAAAGACCGTCCCCGTTACAATCTCGAGTTTATCAATACCAATTTTTTGTGATTTTCAATTCTGAAGTCTTTGAATAATCTGCAAGTTGAACTTATGTTTCCTATTTCATTTTCATTCTAATTCATTGTAATGAAACTACCCTTATATAAAAAGTATTATAAAGACACTGGGAATTAGGATTACAATAGACAGATTACTAAAAAAAACTTCAGAGTTTAATTAGTTCTTTCCCTAGAAGTATGTATCAACATTTTCTGTTCCTATTTTCCTTTTACACTTTGCGGATTGTATGTTTTTTAGCCCTATCCCACACTACCAATAAGGCAATGATCACTCTCCCATCTTTGATTACACTAAGGGCTAGGTGATTTTATTCAATCTTCATGTGACGCATATCACATCTCACGTGACTGCTACCCTAGTTACAAACCGTGCTGATGACAGGTTACGGAACAACACCTGTCGTTTACCTCTCGTAACTGGGGAATACATACCAACATTCCAAATTTGATCCTTTCTTTCCCTATTCTACTTCACCCCCTTCTGAAAATTACACCCTTCTAATTCGCATTCAATGGACACCGGTGTTCTTGGGGTAAGCCCTTGATTTAACACATTCTTCACTGAGTCCTAACTTACTTTATGTAGCGTCTCGCCCTCTACCTCGATACCCTAACTATCCCTTGGAAAGGAATGATTCTCGGGTTCGGTCTTGCTCAATATTTTTTCGAAACTTTTCTTTCCATCAGACAGCACTCGAAACTCCAGGAAACAAGACCTCCTAAGGCACTACAGGGTGCTGTTAGTCAAGAGGACTACGACAAGGCGCAAGTATGTTTATTCGCAGTCCTTCTCGGTTTGATGAAGTTAACATAGTGAATAGGCATATGGAAGAGCAAAATCGAATTACGGTTTCATTACTTCTCTCTACAATCAAGCCACAAATGTCGTTATTATCTACTTCAACTTACTACCAAAGCTCTGGAACTTAACCGGTATCTGGGTTATTAAATATGCTCCTGCCCAATTTTCTGGGGAAATCTCCAATTCACTGGTCTTTTTTATGGCGTTTAACCTCATTACTACGGTCATCGATTTGCCCTTTTCGTACTATAAAACTTTTGTGCTTGAAGAAAAGTTTGGTTTCAATAAGCAGACAAAGAAACTGGTAATAATTCAGTTACCCTCCGCTATCTAAATGCTAATATTTGCCCAGTTCTTTACCGATCTTATCAAAAACCAGGTTCTTATTATTACAATGGGTGGCCCTATTCTTGCTGGGTTCTTGAAGATTATACAGTCGTTCGGTAGTAATTTCTTTTATTATCTCTGGGTATTCATTTTGGTTGTTCAGGCATTTATGATCACTGTCTACCCAATCGTCATCCTCCCAATGTTCAACAAATTGACGCCTCTCGAGCCTGGGAAATTGAAAACCGAAGTGGAAGCTCTTGCGACCAGGTTACAGTTCCCCCTGAAACACCTGTATGTCATTGATGGATCGAAAAGGAGTGCGCATAGCAATGCGTACTTCTACGGGCTACCATGGAGCAAGCATATTGTCATATACGATACATTGATCGAGAAAAGCGATGTCAAGGAGGTTGTTGCTGTTCTGAGCCATGAGCTTGGACATTGGAGTGAAGGACATACCACCAAATTGTTTGCTATTGCTCAGGTATGTCCCAGTAGTGATCTGAATACTGGCTTATTCCTTCTCTGCCTTCTAAATTCGTACCCTACTAATCCTAAAGAAAATCTAGTTTCACATATTTTATATCTTCGCGCTATTCTCCGTCTTTATCAATAATGGTTCGCTCTACCGCGCGTTTGGCTTTCACAGGACGCAGCCTATCTTAATTGGGTTTTTACTATTCAACGATATCCATCAGCCCCTCGACACGGTTGTTAAGCTTCTCATGAACATTCTTTCGCGAAAATTTGAATACGAGGCCGATGCATTCGCTGTCAAGCTAGGATACTCCAGTGACCTAGCTAAAAGCTTGATCAAATTACAAGTCCAGAATCTCTCAACAATGGATGCAGACTGGTTATATTCCAGTTATCATTTCACTCATCCCATTCTCCCTGAGAGATTGAGAGCCCTCGACTGGAAAGGTGGTAAAGTTGAGTAAGATGCCACAGCGGGGGTGGTGTCGATGAGTATATTTGGTTGGAGCATTAAAGGTATACAATATAGATTTGAAAGAGATGACTCTTGAGTATAGTCAAGACTTTGGGCACATCATCAAAATCAGTTTTGACCTATCCTGTATCCTTTGAATCCCACCCGGCAGTTTATCATTTCCTTCGGGAGGGGGCGGAGGGGTAGCGGGGGATTAGTAATGGCCAATGAGAAGGGAATTGTACTTTAAACTTGTTCGAGTTGCTATTGAAATTTTTTCGTCGGTTTCCAGGGACCAACCATAGTTCTACACTACCAGTCTAAACCCTTGCGTAGAGATAAGATATCTCGTTGGCTGAACCTCCACTGGCTTCAATACAAAAGTCTCGCTGAATCCTCGCTGTTCCTTCAGCTCCCCATACTTGACACTACCCGAAACTATTAACACAAAGCTGCAGCTTCCCTTGACGTCGAATTGCATAGGTTGAGCGTCATATGACTGAACATCGTAATGTGAGTCAGGCATAGAGGCGAAGAAGGCCGCGAATGCCTCACCACTAGCTATGGGATTGCCATTCCAAACTATTGAAGCAGCCGGGTGATAAAAGGACGCCAGTGCTGTCCGGTCGGAGTTGAGGGCTGGATAATATGTTTCAACGAAACGCTTTGCTCCTATCAGGAAATTTAGGCCTCTCCCCAAAAATATGCAAGGCTTGAACAACGAACCTTCAGCTGCAAGTCTGATGTGACTTTCTTTGCTACCGTTACTATTTGCCTGCGGGAGAATTTTAGTATGGCAATATCCGTGACTTCCGTGAGATGCTTACCATGATTTAGGTTGGTTCTTTATTTCGGTTGATTCTACGTGATGCCCCGGGCAGGTTCGTTGTAAGCTTAAGATGTCACCTCAATTCAGTACTGTTGTCAAGGCATGTGGATGTAGAGGTACTCTAGCGCTGCATGTGGGATGTATGAGGTACCCCCATGTACGACCTAGAGTTCAGGGTTAGGTGGAAACAACCCAACTAGTATAAGTGTCGTAACGTGCCGTTAGTCATCATAGTGTTTCTGATAACTTCAATGTGTAGGGTCTGTTCGGTTGACAGATTGGTTGCAATCTATGGATAAAATAATAGATTGCAACCAATTCAACGTCAACCGAACGGAGCCTAAGCCTTTTTATCTACATACATGTACAGGGTATTCACGGTGTGTGTGAAGAACCCTCTTTTATGAAATTTTATTATTGACCAGTCTGCGAGGGCCTGCCATTGGCCGAATTTTAAAAAAGGGGCAATTTGGCGGCCAAGCAAGTATTTGAGTGGTGTGTGCCCCAGCTTTTGCAACTCAACCTCCACCATCGCAATTTGATTCTTTTCCACTCCCGGTCCTTTGGAACTCACCCAAAAACCGCTTTGAAAAATTCACAGTACTACTCACATCAAGCAGTAAGCCAGCTTTATCCTGTAGTTATCTTTTTTCATTTTTAGTTAAATATTTAAAGTTTTTAAATAAAGATATTTGAAAGCTCTTCAAACTTTTTTCCAACATACTAATTGTGTGGCTAAGCCCATTTTAATACATTGTAGCTCTGAAAATCATTGGTCAATTTTGGCTACCACATAAGTGATACCGATAGAATTTCAAATCAATCAATCGATGTACTCGGTATTTAACGTCAACACCCTGTACACATGCAGGAAATCAGGACTTCAAGTTTCGGGAGACGAAAAGTCAAGATATCCAATTCAAATACGCAGGTTTGGTACCATAGTCTAAGCGTATTATTGCTATCATAAAATGGTTTCAAGTTCTTTTTGTTTTAATTTGAACAAAATAGACATTGGCCACTGAGGAGAACTGTCACACTAACCGATCACCAACTATCCATTACAAAATACAAATACATATAGGTATACATATATATGTACGATCATGTTATACAAGAAGCTATAGTGGGTAGGTGTGTAAACTTCGGTGTTTGCGGCCAATCAATCTATACCATTTGGGAGACTCGGATCTACTCTCATAATGGTACAATCGTCTCTGAGTCAACGACGAAATTGTCTCGATGATGAATAACGACTTTCTTGGCTGATAGACAGTTAAAACAAAGGGTCGGGACGCTTTTGTTGGCTTTTGTTGGCTTCGATTGGCCTATTCATGATCGGACCGGTTTTGTCGTTGACATAGAGACGAATGCACTAGCGTTTAGTTTAACGGTGGAATCTTCTCCTCTGAAGTTGACAAACCCATCAGCTAGCGATTCCCATCGGCGAATGTCCACTAAATATTGGTGGATGGCAACTGTTCCATCCTCGGGGTAGTGGGCAAAATAGCGGGCAACGAACGTTGATGGGCTGCACTCGCTGATGGACAACGCTCGCTGATAGGCAGCGCTCGCTAATGGGCAAGCGGTCTATGCTTTCTCATGCCATACATGCGTGTGCATTTATATATACTCACGTGATCGCTCATGAGAGCCTGTTGAACATCTACAAAAGTTACGAAGAAACAAACATTAGAAATCAATTGTCTAGTATGGGTCTGCTACATACATATAGTTATATGCAGGTACATCAGCACCATAAGTTTTTCAAACTCTCCAATAACTCACCACCCGACACGGCCACCCAATCATGTGTACCAAAGATTTATCTACACTACTTACCAATACACCTCAGCTACATACAAGTTCTTACTTACTTATCGGTACACTGGTTAGAGAATTACCTATATGTATCGGGGGTAATAGGTTAAATGAGCAAAAAACGGATTTCGCCAGAATGAATACACGCGTCCAGATGTCCAAACTCGGATTCCACGCCCAAAACCTCACAATACCTCATCCCGCTACAACCAAAATGTGACACGTCATCTTTTGGTACCTAGTAAGCATACAAAATGTGATAGATCGTCTTTTAACGCCTATTACTAGTAGGCGTCCGAATATGACCTCTCGTCTTTAACGCTTACTAGTACTAGGTGTCCCAAATATGATACCTCACCTCTTCTCACCCCTTCATACCCTGCCACCTACCAAAACGCGACCCACGGTGGCGAATCTGCCTAGGTCCTGTCGCTAGCCCTGAACTCGATAGCGAATGACGTCAGATTTGACATCTCATGCTCGAGGATCCCTACCTGCTTATTTACCTGCCTACCTGCCTACCTGCCTACCTGCTGCCTTCAGGCCTATCTGCTTACCTTCCTCTTGACGCCTATCTCCTACCAACAGTTATGCCTACCTCCTACCTGAAGCGATGCTTGCCTCCTGCCTGCGGTGATACCTACCACATATCTGCGATGCCTACATCCTACTTCAAGTTGCAGTTATGCCTACCTCCTACTTACCTCGAAGCCCAACTCCTACCTGCAGCGAAGCCTACCTCTGCATTTTGCTGTTTCTATTAACACCTGCAGACTGCTCAATAGCAGCGAATCAATGCCCAAATCAACGCTAAATTGTTGAATAATCACACCTAATCTACGTTTTAATTTACACATTAATTTATGCATTAATTTTCGCCCAAATCTACGCCCAAATCCACGCCCAAATATACGCTCATATCTACGCTCAAATTTATGCCAAATTGACGACTTATGGTGCACGAAATCAATATATATTAGTTCCAAATAGGTAGGTAGTTAAGCAGGCAGGTGTGGGGCCAGGGGTATGCTATCGGACAAGAGTGTAGGCAGACGGGTTCAGGGTAGGCAGTCAGGCAGGCAAGCAGTGAGGCAGGCAGGCAGGCAGGCACTGATAGTATAATGGAGCCACTTCAACTGTCTGGTGTATGAGTACACACAGGGCCCGGTTATATTCTGAGAGTTATTGTTAGAAGACAGTCACACAGTGACATGCTAGTACTGGCAATGTGGTTAGCTACCAGCTGTCAGAGTAAACTGCATTCTGACCGCTAGGAAGAGGATCTATTCATGGGGGTAGTGACTGACGAGTCCACGCCTAAACAATGATTACAAGGCAAGCCAGAGTGAAGCTCTGAGTACTCAGAGATCCTCTACATACTCTGAACATTACAAATCCGTCGGTAATGGCAGAGACTATGCCTGGAAAGTCTACAATAAGCGGAGAGCTCTACAGCAATGACTAAGCTTACACATGAGCGGTCGCTCATTTATGCAGGCCCCAATTGTGTGACAACCAAGGCTGCAGGTATTACAAAGGCTTTGACTAAGAATAGTTGCTTTCGGAACTGGAAGCACCCGCTAACGCTTAGAGAGAAGCGGAGTAGCGGTGGTATTGCTTCCCTTCCACTGGAAGGCATCACCGGAATTCAGTAAGGAATTAGGAGGAGCGGAACGGAATCCTTTAGAGTATAAGCATTCAAGATCCTCTCCGCCCAACTATCCGATTTCTCCAGCCTTCAGAAATTATCAAGTATTCTATTGGGTAGCAGAGCTCTTAAAGATTATTGAGTTCTAGCGATAAATCTTTGAATAATCTAAACCTGATTTCTATCTTGCACGGCCACATCTTTCTATCTGATTCTAGCGACAAATAGAAGGACTATCTCCATTACAGGCAGCTTGCGTAAGTAGGGAGGCACGCAGTTAAGCGCGGAGGCAGGTAGGCAGGCAGTCAGACGTGGAGGCCCGAATAGGTAGGACGCTAGCAAATATGTAAATAGAGAATTAGATAGACAGATAGATGAATATATTTGACTGGTACGCGGAAACAATATTTTAGTCGATGTACCTTTTGTAGAGTGATCTCTAAATCATGATTCTGCCAGCCAAAACTGCTAGTGGAACCCGTTAACTATGCCAAAGATACTAGTGTTGAGATGGCGTTAGACTCCAAAAGAAGAATTTGCATCTATACCTGTCACGACGACCTTTTTTGGCAAAGAGATGCACTGGCTGCGTTTCGGTACGCTCCGGCGTCAGTCTACAGATAAATAAAAGTCTTGGAGCATCATGATTTACGGCATCTAGGACATCTCGGGCGCTTATGTGCACTCAAACGACATGTAATTTTTTGCTGATATAGTTTGAAGAAACCTCTTTAGCGTATGATTGGTTGAAGCTGCAGAAAATGATACTTGGCACCAGAAAAAGTACTTGAATAGGCTGCCCCCATCTTTTACAACGCAAACTCCGAGACCCCAACTTGACTGCTGTTTACACCCAGTTCCATCAGAAAATACTCCCCACAAGGGCTTATTAGCTCAAAATATTATCCAGGGGAAGCTGGGAGCCAGTGCTATTCTGCAGTTAAATTTTTGTATTTTTAGCAAAATATTTTGATTTTTGAGTGAAGATATATGAAAGTTCTTCAGACTTTTTTCCCCCATACAAATTTAGTGCGCTAAGGCCAGACCTGGCTGGTGTGATCGATGATAATTGGTGGCTCCCATATAAAATCCCTGCATTTTCAACCAATGAAGTAGAGTTCTTCAGACTAAGGGTGAACACCCGGTACTTTTGTCTTGTTAACTACATGTATGTCTGTATATCCCATCGAATAAACCAGCTGCCTATGTATGCGAGATCTGGCCAGTTGTGCAACGTTATCAATCAACGTGAGGTTCTCTGTTCTCATGTGCATGAGTCCAACGCTGCACGTGCCAACTGCAAGTGCTTAACCACCTCCCACCGTTTGCTTCTAACTTCAGACGTATAACTTACCTAGACAGCTTAAGGTAACCCGGCTTCATAATAATCCTCATCTTTGTATAATTTCTCCACGTCTAGCACTATCCTCCGTATCATAATCCACCACATCCGCGAAAAGGCCACATTTATCAAAATACATCCGGGAACGGTATGGTGCAAGGAAAGGAGTTTGAGGCTTCTCGCAAAGCAGAGGGCGTCGGCTCATCGAACAAGAGCAATGATCCCCATCCAGCAGGCAGAGTACAATACGGCGGAGTACGGCAGTTCATTCGAATGTGCTCGTTCTCGGCCTACTTTATAGCTTGTTGTATAATGTAAATCAAATTTATTCTCCCCAGGCTAAACATCCGTTATATGCCCCTAGATTTATCCTGATACTGATTGTTTGCTAACATATATTTCCAATGATCCACCAGAGTACATCTTACCCAGGTACCTTTTATCTCATATAACGTCATCCTCTCATGGTTCTACGTTTGTATCTAATAGACGTTATCTACAGCTTGTTGGAACGCCTCTCTATCTAGTAAATAAGTCTATTTACTATGCGTATATGTCCCGGACAAAACAAAGTTTTGGCGTTCTTGTAACAACAATTACTCAGTGGTGGTCACCAACCGTTGTTCGGGTCACTGGTGATAAAAGTGTCAGACATCAACTCAAAAGAACCGCAGATGGTCGATTAGAATGTGACTTTCCCGAGAGAATGATATTAATAGCCAATCATCAGGTAACCCTGGAAATTTCTAGAAGATATTATCACCGGAACTCAATCTAATTATCTTATATAGCTCTATTCTGACTGGTTATATCTCTGGTGGATAGCGTATACTGCGCGTCTCCACGGATTCTTATATATAATCCTGAAGGAATCTTTGAAGCACATACCTGTCGTTGGCTGGGGCATGAGATTTTACGGATTTATCTTCCTAGCCCGAAAATGGGAACAGGATCAACCTAGGTTCAAACACCGACTGTCAAAGCTCGCTGCAGGTGGCGGCCAAGAGCCAATGTGGTTGATGATATTTCCAGAGGGGACAAACCTTAGTGACAACGGACGGAATGCAAGCGCCAGGTATGCTGAGAAAGCCGGATTACAAGATTTGAGGCATCTCCTACTTCCTAGAGCAACAGGACTGAGATTTTGTCTTGAGAATTTGATGGGCAGTGTTGAGTGGGTATATGACTGCACTGTTGCCTATGAGGGTATCCCGTATGTTCTTAAGCCCTTCCTTTTGCGTTACTTCTCTTATTGCTGGTTCTTCTTTTAACGATACAGCCAAAATATCAGCCGTGGAAAGTTTGGACAAGATTACTTCACACTGTCTTCAACATACTTTCAGGGCCGACCACCTAAATCTGTGAACATGCACTGGAGACGATTTGCGGTTTCTTCTATCCCGATATCCGACCCTCATCTATTCGAACTCTGGATCCGTCAGAGGTGGATTGAAAAAGATCACCTCCTTGAGCATTATATGCTAAATGGTCGGTTTCCCGAAGACGACGACAGGCCCGGGCCAGACACCCAAACCACAGAAGAGAAAGGTGCCATTGACCTAAAAAGAAAGATCAAGGTTGGCGGGAAAGAAAGAATAATCACTACCACAGGAGGAAGCTCTCCAAATGGGAATTGGGGAGGACCTATAGAAACGGAGGTGAAGTTGAAGACAACTTGGGAAGTGCTCGAAATATTTAAAGTCCTTTTGTAAGCGACCTCTCCCTATACTTTCTTACGCCGCTTTCTGTTTTCCGCCGGCTGATATATCTGGCCTTAGCACTTTGGGGTTGTTGTTCAATATTATAACAAAACTGTACCACATTATCAGAGTAGCAACGCTAGGTTACACATGATCTTGTAGACAAAATCGTCTTCCTTGTCTATTTGATGATCTGCGCTCTGTATTTGATTTGGAGATGAGTATAGGTGTTAAAGGAACCTAGATTCCTACATAGAAATTTTATTTAGCCTTGGTACAGAAATGACCGGTTTAATGGTCGCCCTTTCTGATCCGGTTCCCACACATATCATCATATGACAGTGTAGTTACGGAGATAATATTTTTTTTGCCTGTATCGAATGAATGTGGACACGATTTGAACCATGTCCTTCCACCACTGTATTTCGCGGCGACAGATCTCTATGTCCCAACCAAGTTTTCAGTAACTATTCCCTGGCCTGGTAAATCTGAAGTAGAATACGTCTAGTAAATATATATACAGTACAATCTCCTTATAAGGGTACAAAAGTGGCGCGAAATCGTGCCCTTACAGGGCGTGTACCATTAAGGGAGGAGCTTTTTTGTTTTTTTTGTTTAATTCATTAATTGATTAAAGGAGGAGCAAATTTATACCTACGAAGCCCATTAAAAAAAACCCTTATAATGCGAATACCCTTACATATAGCCCGAACCCTTATAATGGTACGGATATTCTGCTATTGAGCTTCGTAGGTACAAACTCACATATAAAGGTAATTGCCTTATAATGGTACGACCTCACACCATTTTTGTACCCTTATCATGGGTGAGTCGACTATAGATATATAACGAGCATGTAATCTGCGTTATATAACATGAGTTCCCAAGTTATAGAAATCACTCTTTCTCTTCCTACTCCTGTTATGGTTTTCTTTCCTAATTTCTATCACAATTTTCACCAAGCCTATTTGATTAGGTATTGGCACTAAACCCACCGGTTTCAATTGCTCAGATGGTCAGTATAATTATATATATATCATATAAGTCACATATCAATGTTCCAACATCGTTTGTTTGAGTTGTGAAAAAATGGGTGCATAGGGCAGTTTGTTTGACTGTTTGAGGCTTCTTACAATGTTCATTATTGTTTCTGGCGCCCTCAATCCTGTGATATCTAAGTAGGTGCGGAAACATATACATAGGTTACATCACTCCCTATTCCAGCCAAAGGCCAGTGAAGGTATCTAGTTGATTACGCATATATGCAGTTGTAATCTAAGCATGCTTGAATTCGCACCTTTCCAGCTTGGGTGTTAGATTGCCTTTATAATATCCTATTCAAATAACGATCAGATTAGAGAAGATACATACATGTATATCGCCTGGCCAGCTGGTTTAGGCAAGACAAAATAGAAACGATTGCTACTACTCCGTCAGAAACTATCACTGGCACAAAAGCCAACAGCAAAAATGTGAGGCGACCATTTTTCCCCAAATAAACAAAAGGGCTATCTTCTCTGTCTACCGGACACACCGCAAGTGATATCGTTATATTCTTTCTCGTGAAAAACAAAACGGTCCCTTCAATATTAACGATCTTCGCGCTATCTCTGTAGACTCCGAAGTATCTGGATATCGATAACTAAGTGAATAGATTTCTTGGTGCGTATTACCTCATATCTAGTCACCTGATTAGTGCTCGCCCTGCAAGTAAGCTCTGTATTTTGGAGGCTGGGAACACAGAAATACCGAATATAACTTTCTCTAAAGGGATAAAACTTCATGCCCAAAGCCTCAAAGCCACGCTAAACTACGTATATATATTATGTATACAGTCCGAAAAAACAGGGTGAAATCAGTACTGTATGAAAACGGGATTTAGTGAATAAAAAGAATACCGTATTCTTGCCGCATTACTACAGCATTAATAAGGGGAATAACGTACCCTTTTTTGATATTGGATGTATGTACGAGTTGGTATCAATAGGGGTATATATTCACTTCTTCAAATATTTGCTCTTATAGGCATGTGCTTATATGGACCGCTTAAAATAATCGGCAGTCACGTATTCTAAAATATGTTATATGAGGAGAAAATAAGCATCACCAACCTACCTTGACTATATATGCGTATCATATAAAGATGATTTACTAGTACACTAAAAACAAATCTTAAACTAATATGGTAACAGATTTGCTCCTACTCTACAATATAGCATGTGTACTCCAGAGGTATTCAGATTGTTGAGAAATATAGTGCGCATGCCATATAATCCACATTATAATACAGCATTATTAAGGCACACATTCCTAGAAGTGAATATATTCTTCTAGTGTATTTAATTGATTCCAACATTTTTTATTTTATTTTTAATCCTACAGTGTCGGCGGACTAGATTTATATCCCCTCAAGCTTTCCCAGACACGCATATGTATATACACACGACAGCTCCTACAAAAAGCATAAAGAAAAGGCGCAAAGGTCGGTTAAGCTTTGTACTCGTGCAAGGCGGTCTGTGCAAATTATAGCTCATGTACATGTTTGTCCACACACTTTTGGTTTTAATTCTTGTAACTGTATTTGGTAAGCTAGCTATTGACCGTTGATGGTGTTGACCAAGAGATAGGTAAATTAACCATTTGAATTCTTCATCAGCGCGGGTTCCAGGTTTACTCAACCACTTTCCACTTTATAACAGCTAGAACATTTATGCTCGTGAAGTTCGAACTATATCAATGACAGCGGTTGAATGAATATACATGAGAAATCGAATCCTTATTCAATCCATGGAGATATCTGAAGAAGGATCAGTGTAAGTCCTCAAGAAAATTTAGCCATAGGAAGTGTATGTAGATCGACAAATCTAGAGTAGTAATTTCTTGCATGCAGCCAGCCCGATTGAGATAACTAGCCCAAGGCTGGTATGATAACTACATGTACATGTACATACTTACTCCGAAATGGACTTTTTATAGCCTTTATAAAGTTTGTGTATTTCAATATAACTAAGGGCTGAGTCTCCAGGCCTTATAACGCTTCCTTTTTCACGGTAGTTTAATACGTATATACTACATCAAGCAGGAACAGCTATATAGACGCAGAGACGACCAAGCACAGCTACAGTATCTTGTGTCAGTAATTATCATTATCACTCTTTCACCTTCACCTGATCAGCTGAGAAAACATGTAGGCGTCTAATTGATTACATCATGCATGCAGTACATCCTATATATATATATATAATGGCGCGTGTGTAATTGCACAAAACTGCCCCTCTCTGGCGCCGAAAGTTCAATCAACAATGATTAGCGTGAAAGATAATGTACTCAATAACGCCATTAATTGCAGGTAATCACTGGCTTAGTATCTCTCTGGAAGGAAGAAACCGTGACAGTAGCCGTTCTTGATATTGGAGCCAAAGGAACTCAACAGTGACTCATATATTTTTAGGGCAATAAAACTATACTCCTTTGTAGATAGGCGAGCTATATGAGAAAGTAGTCTTTGTTTTAAAGCCTTAGAGATTTGCAATTTCTACTATCCCTTGGACGGATGAAACTTGCAAATTCGCGACCTGGACCGTGCACGCACTTAGGCAATTGTCTTTCCTTTTGCAGGTGATAACAATAATTGAGCCAATCAAAAACCAGCTATAGTTACCATGTAAGGCTAGTGATAACTGAAAGAGGGAAGTCGCGAATTTGCAGGTTTCATCCGTCCAAGGGATAGTACTAGAGTGAGGTGTGGATTTCAAACTCTGGGCACTATCCCTTCGTCTGTTTTCAGCACCCGTGGCTTTGTGTGACAGAATATCTATTAGGGAAGTGATCTGCATACGCAGTTAACACGCTAGGGTATTCACTTCTAGGAATATGTGCCTTTATAACGCTGCATTACAACGCCGCTTATATGGCACTGAAACTTTCAAAAATCTGAATACCTCTGGAGTGCACATGCCATATATTGTGGGAGATAATCCATTACTATATTAATTTGAGGTTTGTGCTTAGTGTACTAGTCAATAACCTTTATATGGTACACATATTTTAGAAAATAAGGTAGGTTTGTGATGCTTATTTTCCCCTCATACATATTTCGGAATACGCCACTGCCGATTATTTTAAGCGGTTCATATAAGCACACGCCTATAAGAGCACGTATTCCGACAAGTGAATACCCCTACTGAATATTTATCGTATGTCCGCTATCGTGACCAGCTTTAAGCTTACAAAAGTTAGGGCGCCGTTGATCACCCTTTAGTAAACAGTCTGGTAGGGCGTGAAAAACCACCCACCAGACGAAGGGAGAATGAAATTTGTTAAGCCCATAGATTCGAGGTCGCGGCAGGAATTTCAGGAACAGGAATTATCACACAACAGCCCCTACAGCTCACGTCAAAATTTATAATAAAACTCAGGGGATAATTTTTCCTACTAATAATTTGTATTATATAAGCCTTATATCACTCCTCGAAAAATTGAAGATGAAGGGAAAGAAAATAGCTATTTTTGGCGTGTTTTATATTGTTCACGGCTTAGTAGAGTAAGGTGAGGTCATTACTACATGTACTCGTAATTTCATAGCGTTTGTGAACACAACTGGGTTGCATACCCGCAAAATCCTGCATAAGGCTCCAGATTTTGGTGTATGCAGTCTAATGCAGACCCAGCTGTGTTCACAAACGCTATGAAAATTACGAGTAGTTGTGCGTACACCTTGTTATAAGAAACCTCGCTATAAGAAAACCTTGCTGTAAGAAACAGCGCATGTGGTACACGCTAACAGCTCTACACCAAAATCTTATTTACTATAAGAAATATTAGCCACCTTAGCGTTTCTTATATCGAGGTGTCGCTATATGTAGGTTCTTGAACGGGTTCCAAAATGAGCCGGATGTGTCCTCCCTGGGCGTGGCAGCGCCAAGTAAGGCTCTAACAGATTGCAGCATAATAGACTCGAACTTGGTAAAAGACCACAAATAACAAAGAGCATAGTCAGGCCAAGCAAAGTACAGCGAAAGCTTGCTATAACGGTACTTTCTATAAGGGTAATCTCTCTATAACGGTAGCACTTCTCGGTCCTTTTTGCCTGGCTTTCAGCACCAGCACCTCCTATATAAGGGTAATCTCTCTATAACGGTACCAAATTCCGGTCCCGAGCGTACCGTTATAGCAAGCTTTCGCTGTATCCAGTTGTCGAGTCGCTGGGCTAAGAAATATTCAACACATTTCCCTGCAGACGTTGATTGCGTTGAACCATAATATGCGCTCCTGCTTGTCAGACCGGTCTTTTGAAACTTTATTGATTACGCTGAATTCGGATGAGCCAAAGAATGTTCAAATTGGCGATCTTAACCATAACATCTAGCGATCTATGATGGTAATGAATTCCTAACACGAGCCCTTTGACAACAGTCAAATACATCTAGATTACCACGCCAGGAGGTTTCGCATTGCCTGGAAATTACTCTATAAAACAGGTATTAATACGCACTTGGTGTGCCTATGCCGATTTTAACAATAATTAATAGAATAAGAAATTTTTGACCTCAAGCACAGCCACCTAACACTCAATGTCACAATATCTAAACTTTTCCATAGCACCAAAATGCAGACAAAACAGCGGTACAGTCAACGTGGAAAACTTTGGACGCGTTCAAATAACAAAAGGCCTACAAAAAAAAGGCGGACAAATAGAAAATGCAAAAAATGACAAACAGCGTAAACAATGTGTGCTGGTAAAACCTTGGCAACACACAACACCAACCGCCCAACCCAACATAGACAAAAAAAAAGGAATATTTGGGAGATTGATGCTGATAACTACTCTAGAAGGGCTAGTGCCCCAGGATCGCTGACAACATAAACAACCTGATGGTCGTCACTGAAACCGTTGAATTTAGTCGCCGAGCACTTTGAATATGCTACAGTTCCCAGTTAGCTATAAGACCTTCAAAATTTGAATGTGCTCTACTAACCTCCCATATCGCTAAAATATAGCCAGTCTCCAACATCTAAGACCTCGGGCAAAAAGCAGGATGCTGAAATGCAGTCAATTCCATCGCAGGTTGGTCCCCATACCGAGTACTTGATCAACTGCGAATCAGATGGCATTGACTCAAAGAAGTATTCGCCATTTCGTTTCAACACCTTCGGAATAGGTTTTTGGTGATCAAACATGATGCCGGAGAAATTTCCGTACACACCGTCGTTTAGATAGAGCATATATGAAGCATCACGTGTGATGCTGTCGGCTGGTACGGTCCGTCGAGCAATAACGTGTGTCGCTATGGTGAAGGCGGAAGATACGTAATAACGACCAGGCTCTGCGATAACTCTAACGCTTGACGGGAAGTACTCATCAATCGCCGGTCCAAGGACACCTGCAATCTGCTCGAAATTGTCATTTCCATATCCACCTCCAACATCAAGAGTCCTCAAATCGAACCCAATTTCAGCGGCCTCGTCGAAAACCTGTCGCGCATCTTGGACTGCGGTCTCGAAAGCTGTAGGATCATATGAACCGGACCCCACATGAAAGCTGACGCCGATTACATTCAATCTCAACTCCTTGGCAAGTTCCAAGAGATGGCGAGTACTGTCCAGCGGCGCACCAAACTTGAGACTCAGTCGGCACAAACTCTTTGAATCGTCGGTGAGGATACGAAGAAAAAGGCGTGCGTGAGGAAAGAACTTTTTAATTTTATAGAGTTCTTCGGCATTGTCGAAAGTCATCTTTCGGACGTCATGTTCTGCTGCATAACGGATGTACGATGCGGTTTTGCATGGGTTGGCAAAGATGATACGTGACGGGCTAACACCGATATTCAAAACCTGTTGAATTTCTGCCTTCGAAGCACAATCAAAGCCGGTACCCAAGGCTGCGAGCAGCTTCAACACTTTCTCATCGCCGTTACATTTAACAGCTAATAACAGTCAGTAACCAGGTAAATACAGACGCAGTCGAAGAGCCCCACCATAAAAAGGTTCAACCCGTGGCAGGTTTATCTTCCACCTCATATGTTGGCGATAAACTTCACCCAAATCGGCGACAAAGAAGGCATCCTCAACTCCAGCCTCACATTCATCGGGATCAATGCTGTTAATGCGTGTCTGTAAGGCCTGAGAGATCAAGGCCTGGGCCAAGGGCTTTGTATTATTGTTTACGGAGCTGAAACGACGCTTGGATGCAGATGGCGTGGAAGTGGCCATTGCTGATGAAGAGATGGCAGAAGGCGCCATCGCTGGTGGGCACCTAGGCTGGAATGAAGGGTTTTCGGGAAAGGAGGAAATATCAACTGGTGACCAAGTAGAAGTTTCAGAAGGACCCATTGATGATAATTTCAGATTAAATGTTTTCCGGAATGATATTACGGGATTTGTATATTATGGGTGGCTTAATTAGAGATGCGTGAACTTCCTGTTAAGGTGGACGAAAACGAACACACTCGAAGTTAACAAAGGGCGACCGCCTCGACCCCTCCTCGTTAAGAGGAAGGAAACGATGGCGAGAACTATGCAGCAGGGGCGAAAATTGTGGTGGAAGAAGCTCCGGAGTCTTCAAACTAGCAACCCTTCGATCCTTGGACTTGAGAGCGACTATGCGGCGGGGGGATGTTGTTGAGGATGTCCCTAGAGTGACGAGGGGAAACAATCTTGAGAGATACTCGGAGAATAAATCGACGAGCCGTTATGATGACGATGCCTTTGCTTATCAAAGGCAATTTTTGAAAATGTGGAAAGAAAAAAACGAGGATGAAGGCTTCTTAAAGAAGAGCCGCGAAACTCAGTTGTGCATATACGCAAATTGTTTTATTTGTACGACTGACGTTCCCGCTAGCGCTTGGTGTGGCTGACACTTAAATATTGAATGGAATATGTCTGGGTACTGTTAGTCTGTTTCCTTTCCTAGACAATTCATGGACTTGCGCCCCGTTCCTGGCCAACGCACCGACTGATGGGGAGAGCGGGTTTGAGGATGAGATGTGTGGCGAGGGGAGGAGGATTAAGCAGAAAGCCTACCTAGTAAAAGCAACCACAAGGCTAATGATATGCGTCAAGCGTATGAGATGGGATGGCCGCCTTGTGCAGAAAAACCTTCTGTATTTGGCTTCGGACTGAGTACAGTGTTCAAGTTGAACTGAGATGGGAACACCGCAGGGCGAGGAATTGAAGGCAGGTATGAATGGTAAAGACGCCGAATTATAGCCCAGAGTCAAAAATGATGATTGATGATACTAATAATGTGTCAATGATGAAAGATTGACAGAAAAGAAGGAGAGAGGGTGAAGAGGAAGAGGAGTAAAAAAAAAATTGGTGGGGAGGGTTTAAAGTGTGTGTGCGAGTGACGGTGACCCTGCTTTTGTTTCTTATTTTCTTTTTTCCCTCGTCCTCTTCCATTTTCATTTTCATTTTCTTTTCGTTTCCCTTAAGACCCCTCCCCCCCTTTTCTCACGTTCTCAGACCTCCTCCCCCTCCAATCGATGGTAATACTTGCAAACCAATCCTTAACATATGGTTATCCCATGTACATGTTGTAAACAGCTAGTATTTACTATTGTGCCGGTAGCCTAAAAACAAGTGAATACTCGAGCTTCAAGGAAAGAGTAACGTAAAAGAACATGACGAACGAGCATGCATGCTTCAAGTCACGCAGTGTGGCTAGTACTGAGATTTAATTCCCTCTCCGGTCACTGGTTCCTCGAAACTCCATCCCCACTAAGTTATACACCTTTTCCTCCGCTCGCACCTACTCCACCGCCAACTGTTTCGTCCTTCCGGATCTTACTTGCCCCCCCCCCCCCCCCCCCCCAACATCTTCTGAATTATAGAACCCCACTCTACACCCACTTCTTACTTCTTTCCTCATACCCTGGTATCAGCCCAGCAGTAGGTACAGGTTAAAGACAGAGAGAAAGACAGAAAAATGTCATTTGTGAAGTAATAAAAATGTGAAATGTGAATCAGTGGCTCCACGGGATGCGGGAGACGATGATCGATTGGTCACTAAACCTAGAGCACATACATACAGTACCTCATGCTCACTGCTCTACCAAACATTCACGCATCCACTCTTTTCGTTGTGCCTGCGTTTCCATGCCCTGCAGCTCGACCTGAGTGAGTAAATGTGCTGTACCTGTTTGTGCTCGGTTCTGTTTTTTTCCGCGAATGAATGATTACCGTTTTACCCGGGCGCAAGTTTATTCTATGGAAATAAACCAGACCTTATAGGAAAAGGAAGTATCGATCGATGTGTCCAAACAACGATGCTTTGGAAACAACACTTTGACCCACTTGTTGTCAAACTGCCCTGTTGCGCACCAGGATACATCAAACCCACATCCAAGGATTGGGGAGATCTACCCTACAGAACCAAATGAAATTTTACATCTCCCGCTCTTTTCGCCGTTGTAAGACAGCATAGAATACGCAATGTCAGTCACCTCCCCCCCTCTGGCTTTTCTTGTCTTTGCTTTGACTACAATGGCAAAAGACGTATCATTGAGTCAGACATCATGGCCTGAATACCTACCTCCTGTACTTTATGGGTAAAGCCCATCTCTTCAGTAACCTGACAGGTGTTACTGAGGAAGCGAGAACAAAGTTTTTAACTCCTAATAATTAAGATGGTGTACCAGAAAGGTCTCAGCCATAACCGTATTTGGTCACCGAACCCGTGAGTCGCCTTCCAGAAGGCTGATGATCTACCGTGCAGCTTCTGGCAGCTTCAGCCCCCCTCACGATTCACAAAAAGACCCCTTGTTTTAATTTCTTTTTCTTTCCTCCCATCTCGGCTTTTTTGTTGGGGCTACATGCCCGACGTTCTTTTAAGAGTTTCCATCAGGTCTTCCGGCTCGCGTGGCGACACACTTCCTGATTTAGCACGAATAACGGGGATCATTGTCCGGCTTTTCGTCCCAAATAATCGTTTTAGACAATCGCTTGTGTGACGGCCAGACTCTCGGGAAAATTTCTGAATCGTTTGATCGAACTACGCCATTTTTCAAACCTCAATCATTCTGTTCCCGTGGCGCGGGGATCATATTCTCGGGAATGTCAGGAGCTTCCCTGTCGGCATATGTCCCTGTGTGTATATTGCGAACATCACAACTGCCAGCTTCTATGGTATTTCTAAAATTATTGAACGCGCGCACTTGATCAACTGCTTCGGTTTTAGGTAAGGCCAGATAGAGCACTACCATATGCTGCACCAGTCTGTGTAGGTCATCACAGCACAACTGCCATTGGTCTGGGACGTGCGTGCGCTTCAGCGATACCTATATGCGGGACTTTTCTAATGGAAGTTATTGGAAGTTCTTTACACCGAGCTGCAATCACCTTACACCCCAACATCCCGGCGTTTGACTTTGATTGAGCTCCAAAGATAAAGCTGCATGAGCCGCTTTTCAACGCCCCAGGAGGCGCCAGGGGGATCCGTGGTCTAGGTTCTTTACCAGAGTCTCATCACAACTGAAGACATGGAAATGTTATTCATGTACCAATAACGCACTACATGATATATATCTATATGTATCCTTGGCGTCTACGTGCCTTTAGCAGTCAACTCCCTTTTATCATCACCTTGAAGGTATAGATGTCCACCGAGATTTCAGTCTCCAGATTCCCATTGTGAAAGGAAACTCGATCCACCATCCCAAATACAGCGTTCATAAGCTCGAAGAAAAGGACTTCACTGTCGTGCCTCCTCTTATGCGCGAGCACAACCACCGTGTCTGGTGATTTACCAACCAAACTTTTAAGAACATTCACCAAAGAATGCGCACTTGCTGTGTTGTATGTGCAATCAGCTATGACGATGATGTCCCAGCTCCGAGAGGCAAGGCTTTCCGGAATAGCCTGGTCCCAGTCAAGAACCCTGAATTCCACCTCTCCCTGGAAATTAGAATTGTAATCCTCTATATTTTTCATCAGAATTTCCTCGGCGGAAGATAGATCAGTCATAGTCACGTGACACTTTTCGTACAAAGCTGCCAGGCTGAGTCCTACAACGCCACACCTTGGAAAATAGAGTAAGTATCTCGCAGTGCCGCTGGGATATTAATTCAAGAAACCTACCCACTCCCGAGTTCTAGAGCCCTCAGCGTTTTTCTCGGGTTCAGCTGCTTGTGCAAGGCGTTCAGTTTGTCTGTGCTAAAAGCTTCACTGCTGGCATTCTGAGCAAGGTAGGCCGTTAAAGCTAAACCCCCATCCCTACGTATCACCAGTAGCGGTGAGCAACGTGTCTTGTTTCTTGATTTAAAAGATGTACCATATATGTCGAGCAATGCTCTCTCCGGTTTCCTCCCAGATCCTTAACGTTTTGGAAGGGTCAATCATAATCCTTCTCTGCACAAACTTCTCTGCTTCCTCTCCGTCTATCGGGCGGAAAGGGGGACTATAGGCAGTGATAATCTCAAGACCACCGTCTCGCGGATGGGATATGTCATCGGCCACAGGTGTTCCACCTGCAGCACTGGAAATGGCCAGTATTACAGAGTCATAAAAGTTATGTTTCGATGGAGCGACGTTCAATTCGATTTTCAGAACTCTCATTCCCATTTTCCAGTGGAATTCCTTAGAGGCCAATACAAGCCTTGGGTCTCCACTCTCCTGAAGTACTTCGGCGGTTAGGACTGTATCTCGAAAGTAAAAATCATCGCCGAGATCTGATGTGATCGTAATCAAAGCTGAGACCGACCCGTTGCGGTTTCTAGGCCTAGCAGAATACCGAGGGGGCTTTAGCAGTCGAATGTAATGCATGAGGAATAGATCTTTGATCTGGCACTGTGATTTCGACCCTTTTGCCGTCTCTCTTATTCTTGTGTTGTGAGGATCTGAGCAATCATGTAACGTTTCGACTGCCGCCAAGACGCCATGTTTGTTGCTTGGCCCTGTTTTAGCGTGTTTCTGCAATAGATCGATCATTACTTTGCATCCAAGTAGAGTATCACTTGTCACGTCCACCAACACAACACAAAGACCATCCCACCCACCACCCACCGATACCCACGGGCTCGACAACTCTCAATGGCCATCCAAGAATCCGTCGTGACCGACCCCTCACTTCGGGAGTGTCTGGCAGTGGTGGAGCGTACCCGTCTCCTGTGTCATGAGCTCTTAATGGCGATGGAAAGCAGCGGGGGTGTCGCTGAGCCTTCCGAAGACGATCGAATCAGCCGGTCCCGCAAACACAAACTTCTCAATGCGCTGATGACACAGCTGAAGAGCCTACATCGTGCGGCCATCATGTCCGCCCGTGAGGCGAAAGAAACAACGAGCGAGGTTCGTAGGGAGGTGGACAGGCTACATCTGCAGCTACAGAATCTCTACTATGAGCAGAGACATCTGCGGGGAGAAATCAATGCTTGTAGAGATTTTCCGTATGTATTCCAAGATTTGAACCGGTAACAGGGGGAAGTACTGATTTTGAACTGATGGATATGTAGGCACAAATACACCTTATTACCACTGATCTCTAAGGAAGAGTTCTTAGCTTTGCACCCTGAATACGCAGAAGACGATTCACACAACCTAATGATAGCCCGGCTAAATAACGAGAAGGCTGTTCGTGAAGACCTAGAGAAGCAAAGAAAAGAACTAGTTGCGAAAAAACAAGCTCTGATTGCCGAGAACAAAAGGCGCAAAGAGGATCTAGCGAGTTTGGACGAGCAGTTGAAGAAATTCAGTAAGGACCCTAGCTACTTGTATCCTAAAGATAACGCACTCGCTAACCAGTTCGTGAAGTTGAGGTATGTTGCGCTTATACCGGTACCACGTGTTCTCACAACGTACTAATCCTCCCATAGTCGTCAAGGCCCATTCAAACAACGTTCCAAAAAGACTACTGATAATCTTCCAATCACTGACCAAGTTCTTCCGCATACCCGCCACTTGTGGCAGTTGTGCCCTTTTGCTTTCTTTCTTTTATAGTCGTTTAGGGGCTTGGCAGTATATTTAAGTGCGCACTTTAAAGCTTTGCAAAGCTCTAGTAATTTAGACCTATTGTAGTGATTGGGGCCGGTATAGAGGTAGTTCTAGACTGTTATGGGAGTTATACTTCTCGTATAGGGCGTATATGCTTATGCGGCTTGCGCCCACTCCCTCCAAGCTGGCCGACGTTAGCGATTGGAGTTCGCAACATCACCTAGGTGGGAATGCCTTTTAGGAATTAAGTTTACAACTACATTTTCAAATGAGTGGCAGAATTTTGATACATATATAATTTTTCTTGTGATACCACATAAGTATTGGACAAGTATTCTTTGGTACAGCTATCGGTAGAATTATTGCGGAAACAGGGACCGACGATCACGCCGAGAGCAGGGCGATTTTCCAACGCAATAATTCTACCGATAGCTGTACCTCTGTACCCAGCCCCATAGGCAGGCATAACTTCAAGCCACACCTGCATCTTGTCAGGACCTCGAAGTCCCAGCTGCAAGCAGGTCCAGCTACTATCCGTAGGTAGAGCAGAGTACCTACAGTACCGTACATACCCCATATGCCTATACCTAGAGTAGATACTTATTTGTACTTCCCATTACCTTATCCGGAGATCGACAGATCGCTGTCATCAACCAGATCTAACATGTCCTGAAAAGCCATCTAGGTACTCTACTCTACTCTCCCTAGCTACGTACCTCCAGTAATAACCCTACCTCACAAACACTAGCCCACAAACAAACCCCCGTCCAAACAACCCAAGGGTCAAGAGACGATTTCCGATTCAGAACGCGGCCAACAGATTGTTGCCGATGTTGATCGAAGGCGCCGCCGTGGTTGAGGAGAATACCCCGCATATATCGTGGGGCGCCCCGGGAGGGGGCGTTAACATGTTATTACTCTAGAGTACTGAGCTGGAGTGCAGCTCAGCGGGAGCGGGAGGTGCCATAATAGACATTGGGCAGTTGGTGGGATGGCGTCAACTCGACGAGTGACAGACATGACGTTCAACCTTACCCTGTCCTGTAGCTACAGTCCCATACCCTAGCCGCTCTACTCTCTACCCTACCACTGCATCGCATCCTATGTGATGAAAGAAAAAAGATTTCGATATCGCCTGACCAGCAAAAAAAATTTCTTCATCATCGGACGAAGAGTGCCACAGCCACACACGGACAACCGGATGAACCGATCATTGATAGCGTTGCGTTGCGTTGTGACAAGCTTTTTATTTTCGTGAGGGTGTGATGTTGTAAAGTCTTGGCGGTAGGTTAGGCATCGTGACACAGCGCAACGGGGTTAGGGCTGGGATGGGATGGGTGGCAGTCAATGATCGTTTGGCTGTTAGTGCTCCAGTGCGAGTGTGCACAAGCAAGGAGTTGTTTGAAATGTGTTTCTATTTTTTTTAGCCATTGGTGATATGGAGCAGTGTTTAATTACTCGGGCTGCATGGAACATCGTCGTCACCCGAATAGAGTAGGGCAGAACACTGCGTTACCTTACGTACTCCCACAGTGATCTCCGTGTAGATCTCAATATCAAATGTAGAGACAGAGATAGAGCAGTGTTGTACGGAACACGAGTACGTGACTGCCAGCTACGTATACTACAACTGTGTACTGATGGCGAGGAATGGGCAGCATGATAACCTGTCCTCTATCTATTCATGTGGTATAAAGCCAGAAACCCTAGTAGTCCTGTTAATATATTATTGTCTCCCTTCTCATCCTATCAAAGCTTAGTCTTGTTATAACCATTGAGGCACAACGCCTTACAGTACCTACTCTAATTCTTAGAGTAATTATCTGCTCTGCACGTTACATCAGGCAGATTAAGACGTTGTTTTTGTTTTGTTTCAAACACGCCCGCCCACCCATGCCTGCATCCTACTCTACCGGACGGAGGTCAAGTAATCAATAATCCGCCCGCTCCCTTCATGTGCGGCGGCGGCGGGCTCTGAATTAAGCTTTCCCGCCCCCACCCTATACATCGTGAGACAATTGAACCTGTCTGTCTGTTGGTGTCTCTGTTTAAATATCTCGGAGGTGAAACAGGGAGTGACACATGCTGTTTGACGTATGCTAGCAATTGGGCGCGCGGGGGACTCGGGAGAGGGGGCTTAACCATACTCTATCGTGGTCGGCATGCACGAAGTGACGTTGTGTTTGTGGGGAAGACACAGCGTTGGGTTGGGGAGGTACATAGATTCCCGTCATGTCAGCTTGACTCAGCTCAGCTGAAATGTTCAATGGCTACGGATAAAGTCGGTCTAACGGTTCTACAGTAGGTATTGTGGGTGGTGATCTATTCTACGTTGTTGGTGATATTGATATTAGATCCAAAATACCGCTGGTGGGTGCTCCATCCATCCATCCATCCCATGCATCCTATCTACTATGTATTATGTAGCTACATTACGCCGGCCGGAGCTGTATACCGAAGTCGAAACCATATCACATCATACTTATCAGGCAGCTCGGAATTTTACATCCAGCCAGATAAAGACCGGGCATTTCTCAATTGGGCCGGCCCCGTCCGTTTACGTTAGTTGCCGACTTGCCGCGTTCAATCAATTGCGTCAAGCACCTCCGGCTTGCTCATGCTTCTAAGTTCTGCCAGCTGAGTTGCCAAGATACATATGTTGTCGATCCAAATAGGGCTGTGGCCTGTTCCCCAGCCCCAGATAGAACAGAGAGCCACAGTGGAGGTGCTGCGCGAAAAAAAAAAAAGCCCAAGGCTGAGTGAGTCTTGCAGGGCTAGGCTAATTAATTACCTCGGTGCGCCGTCCATCCCATTCCTTCATCCCATCCACCATCCCAACCCACAGCTACGTAACCAGTCACATCACACCCGCGGCATCCCAAAATTCCCTCTCTCCAAAATTTTTTTTTTTTTTTTTTTTTCACTCCAAACCCTGCCACTGTGCCAGCCAGGAGTTTCTCCAGGGAAGAAGGGCAATTACGTACAAAAAATCTGTTGTGGGCCTCTGCAATCTCGATCCTGGACGATGACGATAGCAATTGGTGTTTGTCATGTCAGAGGTAACGTTAGATACTGGCCAGGGTTAGGTGTGTTTCTGTGGTGTGTGGTTGTTGCCCACCGGAGATTGGTCAGCCGTGCGTAATATTACTGTTTCTCACCTCACAGATGCTCACTCACTCGCTCGCTCAACAGCAAGCTGAGACGCGGGTGATAACACATGACCCACCACGCAACCACCCCCCCCCCCAGCGCAACGCAACACAAACATTGTCCCGGACCATAGCAAATGCCCCGTTTCGAAACACTTGTCCGAGATGATGATCTTCCTTCCTTCCCCTTCCCTCCTTCCCCCGCCCCCCGATCCCTGCCATACGTGGCCTGTCTGTCTGTTTCCTGTCTACTGTTCTGCGCTGTTACAGAGATGGGCCGGGAACGGTAACGGGAACGGGAAGGGGAACGGGGAAGGGGAAGGGGAAGGGGGAAGGGGAAGAGGGAGCAGAAGGGGGCTCTAATCTTAAAACCTCTCTCCCCTTCGAAGGTCCGTGTCGGTAGGTATATGTAGCTAGCTACTCTACCGGGCGGACGGTTGTATCGGCCGGGTTGCCGGTTAATTGCTGTAGCATAGCATACCTGCCAGCTCTGCTCTCCTGCTCAGAGCTCGTGCGGTCAGAACAGTAATCTGTGAAGAACAAAAGCTGAGCATGAGCGCCTCTAGCTCCCCTACAGCTAGCTAGCTACTGTAGCTAACTGGACTAGAGTACACATAACAAACCCGCGCCGGGACGCATCCCGCGGTGCCGGCCGGGCATACAGGGGAGGGCGCCCTGAAACGCAAGCTGTGCGGGCAGATGTTTCTGAACTCCCCGGGCTCGGACTACAGATATCTATGGGGGTTCGGGCGTAAGTTACTGTGGCGCCTGTAAGCACGGGTGCCCGCTCTCCTCCGGCATAGAGGTCGGACTGCACCGCTACATACATACATGTATTAATATTAATCGCGGACATCCGGGCGGGCGGGCGGGAGGGTGTATAGCGCAGGCTGCATAACGGACGGCGCGGTATGGCGTCGGGGGTGGATGGTAGGTTTAGCCGTCGTGCTGTATCTGCATCCGAGAACGTGGGTTCCACGGTTTCATAGAGCTGAGTAACAAGGACAGGAGAGAAGAGAGGTCGGGTGCTGCAAGGTCGTAGAGCTATGGAACCTGTGGGAGCTAGCTATGGACATGTGAAGATGAGCGGCCTGAAGCTACCGGTGGGATATAACATCCGGGGACTGAGGGAGCAACTACACGCCGGTCTTCTAGAGTTGTGATTGTGCGTAGCTATATTATCCAAACAATTAAAATACTATCAGATAGGTACATGTGTGTTCCGGGACTATACTAAAAGCCAATAAAAGTTAATGAAATCTTTCTCCTCTCACCTTACAAAACAGACACAAATAAAGCTATCACGAGCTGCCGGAACGGTATTACAAAGTCCCAAAGCTGTCTAGCAACTAACCTTCACGACAGAAAATTGAAAAAAGCTATTCTATAAAAATGTATGCTGATGATGCTATATCACGAAAAGAAAAACGGGCCCAAAGGCCCCCATACAAACAATCTACACCACCCCCACCCCATACACCACCTCGCTCCACCACTCCATCCCAAACTCCCTCACCCTACTCTCCATCCCCTCCACCTCCATATCACTCAACACCAACTCAAACTCGCCAAAATAGCTCTCCACCTCACTCTTCTTCACAAACCCCACACTCTCAAACAGCTTCAAGCTCTTCTCATTCGCGCTCCCAATCTTGACCCTCAGCGCCTCCAACACGCCCACCCCCGGCTGCCCCCACTGCTCCATAATCTCCCCCTGATGCGCAAGCACATATGCGAGGAACAGCAGCAACGCGCCCCTTCCAAGCCCACGCCCGCGGTGCGCCTTCTCCGCAACCATGATCTCGATCTCGCCGACGGCCACCTGTCGTGCTTCGCCGCTCGCGTCAACCTCCGTCTCGCTGTCCTCGAGGTACAGGAACAGGTTCACGTCGCCGATCATGCGCGAGGGGCTGTCGTCGACGGGGCCCCCGGGGGTGGCCGGAGGTAGGCACACGATGAAGGTGAGCTTGTCGGCGTCTTCGCGCCATTTGCGCTGCATTTCGTATTCTTCGATGAGCGTGAGTCGCTCCGAGGCGGTGGCTTCGCGGATGTCCTGGAGTTATACCCACAGCATCGGTCAGCACTCACATACGCACATGCACACTCTCTCGATCTCGAGAAACGACAGAGAATAGACGTACCTCATCCTCCATCCACGCGCTGTACGTCTTTACATGGTGCGGCTCATACGGTACCAAGAGTACCTTTGAAGAGACAAGAGCTATAAGGGGTAACGGAGAGAGGGGGGGGGGGGGTCAATCAGCCGATATTCACACCCATTAACCCAGGGACTCGGGGGCACGCGTACCGGTGGTAGCATTGAACCTCATGATTCAACAGAGCAGTGTCAATGGCCGATATTGAGCTTTGGCCGGCGTTTCCCGGGGGTGAAGGAGGTGATGTGCTGCGTGGGTTAGGGTTTGGGAAGGTAAAACAACCTAATCCAGGCTTGGTAATCTGGGTCTTTTCTTTCCTTTTTATGTTTTGTTTTAGGGGGTGTTTCAAAAATGTGAGCAAATTTTAGCGAAGGGTAGGAACGGGGGTGAAGATGGGGTGAGGATGAGAGTTTTTTGGGGGTTCGGAGGGTGCTCCTCCGGGTGTGGGGGTGGTGAGTGGGAGGGGACTGGAGGGTTTTGTATATGCCCGGATGTACCCCTATTATGAGCTCGGGAATATGTTACTAAATAGATGGGATGTTTCAGGAGTTATCTCCAGGAGTTTGTTGCGGATCAGGGTTTTGGTGGATGGGTAGGTGTGGTAGTCGAGTGATATGTTATGACGGATCGGTTTGGCTGGAATTCTAACATTTCTGGAGACTTGGCTGACACCTTTCAGGATAATTTTTTGGAACATTTTTATATCTCTGTGAATAGACCCCGTTGAGGCTGGTGGGATGCCGGCGATTCGAGGCTTAGAAATAGTTCTTAAGTGGGATTAACCAACTACTTGAACTATGCCCACCGCAGACCGTTGCGAGCTGAAAGGTGCCGTAGTAGGGCTATTAACATTCTAGACATGGATGGATAGTTTTTCTTTTGACACAAATATGTCTAAAAGTGTCCCTGGCCAGAGTTTATCAGTCGACTATATTTATAAAACAGAAACAAGACGGACACAATATTACTGAATTTCTCCCGATATGGTACAGTCGTCTCTGGGTCAACGACGAAACGGGCTCGATGACGAATGACTACTTTTTGGGCTGATAGCCAGTCAAAGCAAAGGGGTCGGAGCGCTTTTGTTGGCTTCGATTGGCCTATTCGCCATCGGACCGGTTTCATCGTTGACCCGGAGACGACTGTACCAGTATAATAATGATGGTGAATTAATTGCACTGCTTAAACAAGTACTAATATATACTTTGCGCCATTCTATATTAGTCTGGCATTTATATTAGATTTTGCAATGTAGTAGTTTTATCCTCGTTTTTATGTATTGAGTCTTATGTGATGTCCGTTTCGAACCCCTCATAGCGCCTTGAACAAATCTTCCCAATGACACGGTCCATAGAAAATTTTGTCAAAGCTATCATTACCTACTCTGGTCCATCCAGGGATAGCTAGCTCGTTTGTTTGGTTGGGGAGGTTTGTTAGCCGCTCCTTCCAGATGTGAGACAGTACAGTATTATCAGCGATGAAACGGTATTTTTATTTTTTGTTTAATTCATTAATTAGCAATGAAATGTTAGCAGCAGGAGAGATAGAGTCAACCCTGACCTGTGCGGGTTTGAAGATAAAATGAGTAGCATCAAGGAAAGATAGGTTTTGATGCCATGGAAAGGGTCTGTCCGTCCAGTCCTTTCTAGCTGACATGGACTATTATGTTACTAGAGGAATGTTCAAACATGATCACCTAGAATAGTCAAGACCAAGGGACCTTTCAGGGGAGTCGGTGTATGCATGGCTTGTATTCACCCTGTACATGGGGGAGAGATGTGACTTTATGAGAGATGGATTCTATGTTGAGTGTGGTTTGGAACAGATGTACAGTTTGTTGATCCAGTGATTCGATGATAGATGTGTGCAGTATTCTTATCGGCACATTCATTAATTCGGCCCTCATCCTCTATATGTATTTATTGATACAAGTTGTAGCCATGTGTTCTTCTCCTAATATAGGCTATGTATTTGTCTTTATACGCTGTCTTCATCTATCGTTAATAACAGATCCCTGAAATTCAGGTCGGGCGTGGTTCATTGTTGCGGATACGTACTGATTACCATTTTTTGTTTGTTTTATTCATTGATCGCATGCAGCCTTAAAGCTATGGCGATGTACTGATTACCATACATGAATGGGCGTAAACTCCAATACAAGGATCTGGAATCTAGAATATCAATTCTGTTGATTGATGCCATATGTCATCTAATTATCAAAAGGCCACCATTGAATGTTCTACTAAAAATAAATATCGGGAAAATTAAAATTACAGGTGTATCTGCTTTTCATGACTTTCTCAAACACAAACCTATAGCAGCTATACATATATATAGTCAGTGGTGTAGCTAATGGTAACTGAGATAGCTACATGGAACTGTACCGAGATAGATTATACGGTATCCTTTATATCCCCGAGTAATCATGGTATATACCTAGAACCAGTTATCTCTAGATAACCACTCGAGACCTCCCGAGTGGACTAGAGCAACTGCCAAACTCAAGGCGAGAAACATATTTACTTCAAGCGGCCTTACTTTGTGCTCTCTCAAAGTCAGGCCGTGAAAGTTGGTATCTCCGCCGAGGGGACCGGAGTCCTTTGTAAACTGGGCTGGCTGATAATGACGTTGGTCAGATCAGATGATAGGGGGTCGGAGCACACTTCAACCCCATGGGGTGTATGAAATGATAGAGTATTAAGCCACAGGTTCTCAACTTTGCTACCGACGGAATCGTCCAACCTCTCAGTGAAACAATATCCGTGCAATATGCAAGTGAATAGGAACATAATGACTTTATCTTAGTCTTAACTAACCCAGTTCACTCCTTGTAATTTATCTAGAATAAACTAGACTGAACACATTCACTCCAGTACATATTTGACATCTATGGTTCGAATAAGCGGTTCACTGATATATTCCTTGAGTGAGCCAGAACATTTCGAGTCAGAATTCATCATCAAACCTAGTCAGGTTATTGCGTCACAGCCCATCACGCGATTACACTTGAAGAGAGGAAGCAGCATGAAATATGTGCTACTCGACATAATCCATATCATTAAAAGTGGAGAATCAAAGATAAAGCCATCTATCTTTACATTTATAAATCCTAACTCAACCAAAGATGAAAGCAATATTTTACTTTTTTCTAAAGCGTCACCTTTGCATCCTTCTCGGATTCCAAGCTCAGCGGGAAGATGTCCCACCCAGCTTCAGGCGTCGACCACTCCTTCTTCTCACCCAGGACAGCAACCGCCGTCTGCCCTGAATTGATCTGCTTGATTAAGTAGTTCTCCGCGGCTTTCTGAATGTCCTTTCCGGTGACGGCAAGGAGTTGTTCACGGCGACTATTTTCATTTATTCCATTAGAATACTGTCACATCAGAATAGAGAGAGAGAATTGGTACTTACGTCTGTCTCATATCGTCTGTAATTCGATCCAGGAAGTATGTCATTCCCTCAGACGAAACCGCTTGTGGGGCATCTACGCTTTGGAAAATTCCCAGCTTTGCCTCCTCCAAATCCCTATCACTCCACTCGTTTCTTGCCGCCCATTCACCAGCACCTTCCATAACCTTTAAAGTATTAGGTACGTTTGGATCTCTGTAACTGTAGAATCCGAAAACGCCTCCGGTGCCCCTGTGGAACGCACCGCCTCCGTACGCGCCGCCCTTCTCTCGGATTTCGTGGTGGAGATGCTTATGGGTGAGCAGCTGTGCAAGGACTTGGAGTGCTGGGCCGTCCTGATGGGTGTAAGGGACAGTCTTCATACACATGGCTGTGTACGAAACCTGATACGGGAGGGGGAAGAAGGCTTTAGAGGGAACCGTCAAGTCGAAGGAGCCGATGTTATCTTCAGTGGGAGATTCAACTTTTGGAAGGCTCTCCAAAAACTTTGATAGAGCGGCTTCATTAGAGGATACGGCCTCGGTACTGCAGGTTATGGCAGCTCGGAAGCCATTTTGACGAGCAGCGAATTTGGCAATTTCTCTTAGCTTCGCTTGGGCATCAATGTAGAACTCCTTGTTCGCCATGTGACTAATAAGTCTAACCTGCGTCATTCCTCCTGAGACCTCCTTCACTCTGGCAGCCGGAGTCAGATGTGCTGCCGCAAAGGTCATAGCATAGGCATGTCCACTCTCTGCAAGACTATTCACAAACCCACTCGCGATGCCTTGTACGAGAGTCCTCAGCTTTGAAATATGGGTCCAACTTGTCTCCAACAAAATTATCCTAAGAAGCTCAAACATATCTGGGATGTTCCTATCAAGCGCAAACCCGCTAAAAACCAGCCCTTCTTCTGTAACCTCAAGGTTTGAGTGACTTGTGGAGATGTGACTACCAGCCTTGATCCCGCCAGTCTTAAGTTTGATTTGGTCCTCAAGCTCTTCCATTGAACGCCTGGCAGTTCCGAGGCGCAGAATGGCTTCAGTAAAAAGAGGAAGATAGAGACGAAGTTCTTCGGGAAGGTCCTTGAATGTGCTGACGGCTCTAAAGTAAGTCAACCCATTTGTCGGCGCCTTCCTCCACTGGACTGGAACATCCCCAATCTTGGTATGCCATAACTCCTTTCTCTCTGTCGTCTTCGAGATATCTTCGACCTTAAGCGTCGGCAAACAACTCAAGTCCTGCTGCTTTGCCTGTTCCTGCAACTCTGCTAGCTCTGTTTCTTGCTTCATCAGGATCTCACGAGCAACAACTTCGTCACCAATCTTTGAGATCTCTGCATTCAAACGCTCTACTTCCTCTTCAGCAATCTGGGTAGTGTAATCTCTGGAGGGTGCCATAGTAAACACCAAAGTGTTGGTGTTGAGAAGATATTTATCCAGAAGACCTTCAAAAAAGCCCCCTTTATTATAAGCTTCTTTAAAAGCAGAGACAGTGGATTCCCAGGCGAGGACATCGAAGGGATCAACGCCATTGTGCCAGGCTGGAGTAAGGCCTTGCATTACTGACATGCCAAAATTTGCGGTTTTCTAGTGATAGGTCGTAAGTATAACATCCGCAACACCCGTCAGACTGCATCACACTTACATGCTTCAAAGCGAGTTCTAGTTGATGAAGGGCCCCATCGATCTTCTTCTGGTCAAACCCTTTTTGTCTCACGTCTTTCAAACATTCATGGATCGTGTCTTCAACCTTTTGCACATCTTCTATCCTTACGTTCTGAAGGCCGACCGAAAAAATACTTCTCTTCGACCCCGTATCGAACCCAGTGTTAGGAGAAAAGTCTGAACCCAATTTAGCCTCAATGAGGCCTCTGTACATCGGTGAACCATATCCGTCTAGCAACAATGTCGACAAAATCCTTAATCCAAAAGTTTCAACTATGTCCGCAGTATCGTTCATAATCCATGAGACCGAAGTCTTGTATTGCGAATCCTTGTCCATAAGCGGATCAATGGGCCCATAGACTTTCACTCTCTTTGACTGATCAAGCTTAATAGGTTCTCTTAAATCCTGCTCAACCTCAATCTTATCGAAAACACTAAGTTTGTCGTTAAGCTTTTGCAAATGCGTTTCTAGTGGTATATCCCCATATGTAAATATCTTGCTATTACTCGGGTGGTAATGTCTTTTGTGAAATTCTCTCAGTTGCTCTAATGTCAGATCGGTTATCTTCTGTGGGTCCCCTCCAGAGTTGTGGATGCTTGGGAAGATGTAGTCCTGAAAGCGAATATAGAACAAGTAAGAAGCATCAGACATTTGCCCTTTCATCTCGTTGTATACTACACCCTTGAACAAGAGCAGGGAGTTTGGATCTTTGATATCTTCCGGGCCAACTCGCCATCCCTCCTGCCTGAAATCGGATTCTTTCAGAAGGGGTTTCAGTGTGGCGTCAAGGTAAACATCGCGAAGATTCTCGTAGTCGATTGGGTTCGTGGTTGCAAACGGATACGTAGTGTGGTCACTGGAGGTGAAAGCATTCATATAATTCCTAGTTTGATTTTAGCCCTGCTGCCCGATGTTGAAGGTATATATTGTATAACGTACGATAAACTCCGATTTAACATTTTGAAAAATGGGTCACGGACTGGATATCTTTTTACAAATAATCGTTAGTTTTCCGCCTCAATCAACTTGGAACCAGTTCATCCGTACTTCTCAGATCCACAAAGGGTTGTATGCTCGAGGATATGCGGTACTCCTGTATCATCGTCTGGGTTTGTCTTAAATCCAGCTGCAAAAACATTGTTCTTGTCCTCCCTCGCCACATGAATATAATCTGCGCCAGTCTTGTCGTGGGTGAGTTGAATCGCTGCTAGCTCGAGCTCAGGTACAGTCTTTGCCCTCTTAACAGTGAAGCCGTAGAGCTTCTCGCCAGCCTTTGGAAATTGACTCAGATCAGTGAAAGTAGTGGCATATCGTCGATTCGAACGCCATATCGCGGGGCTCTGCTTATTTGTGAGCTGACGTCCAAGAGACAGGCTTCCACGCAGCATTCTATCAAAGGTCCGTCGGGTATAATCAATGTTTCAATTGCCTTGATAACTGATTGATTGACGTTGAAGCGCACGATGGAATGATGCAAGGGTGTGAAACTGCCGGGGATTGAGAAGGCTTCGAGAACACTTTTTCTTTCTCTCAATGATGTCAACCTTTTCCCAATGCGGGAATATATGTTCGAACACTCCAGGCTTTGATGATTATGCACCCAGTAAACAGAAAGACTAGGGAAAATCAATAGCTTATAGGAATGGCTTAAAAACAGCTTTATTCAGACGTGCCTTCACGCTCTTTCCAAAAAAGACAATCTCAACTACGTGGTACGCAAGCTACGGCTAGCCAATTAACTTTACAATGTTTGTGCATTAATGCATCTGGGTGACTGAAAGGGCAGGCCAGATAAACGTGCAATAATGGGAAGAGAAGGACACATAAGTAAAGGATGAAAGAGGGGGGGGGGGCTACATAACACTAAAATAATACTCCCGCTCGTAGATCTTAATCTTCATCTGACATCTGACATTTCCGACTGCAGATATCAATCATTCTCATGGACCCTTAATTATCATCATCACTCTTTCTGATTTCTCCTTCTTACTATCATCACCTTCGTTATCACCGCTCAAAGTCTGAAAAACCAAGTGAGTGGTAGTAATTCTCACCCTGGCCCCTTCTTCTCGAAGCCTCCCTCTTGATTAAAGTCAAACCAGCTTGTATTAGGAAGTCAACATAAAATAACAGCCATAGTTCTCAGATATCGAAAAAGACGTCATTATACATAGTGGGCGGCGGGGAAATGCCAAATTTAGGCACTAAGATCTAAATTTTCACATCCCTAAAACCCCAAACCTACCGGCGATTTCTTCAAGGGTGTGAGACCCAACCGTCACCTAGCATCTCGCGACCACTTCTCCACACGACTGCCCACAGACCATACAAACATCGCCCAGGCCCCGCTCCCCTGCCACTGCTCGCTTCACGCATCCGCAGGTCACTAGAGCCCTAACATACAACATCCTATCTCGTTCATGGCTGCTCTCGTGGACCACGCATCACAGCCCCAGTCGCAACCGCAAAGAAACGCAAAATCAAAAACGGCCATCGTCAACGGAGAAACGGGCGGAGACATGGGCCACACTGCATGCAACGACCACGGCAACTCCGAGTCACCGTGTTCAAACACAACCCCACCTCTCCCGATCCCCACTGTACCGGCACCTGTGGCAAACAAGAAAGGGGGAGGGGTAGGGGTAGGGGTAGGGCCGAAGCCGAAGAAAACGCTGGACCCCTCGGAGGTGAGAATTGCAATTGTGTACGGGAAGGATGATTTTGTCGCCCCAGCTATTGTCTTGGTGAAAAGATGTTGGAATCGATCGGGCTGACGGAATGTTTTGGTCGGGTGTATAGGTCAACAGTCTGTTGGCTGCAAAGATATCGCAATTGGAGTCCGATGCTTCGATGGAGGAAGAGGAAGAGAAGGCGATATGTACGAAATATCCGAACCTATTATGTATGAGAATTGGATATGCTGACGATGTAACTCAGCTCGTGCTGTGCGCAAGGCAAATAAGGAGCTGGCAGAACTAGTCTCTGGTCGTGATGATCATCTGGCTAAAGTTGACGCAATACAGACAAAATATAGCGAGCTTTTGCACGAGATGAAGCGGCTTGAAAGAGACCATGCTAAGGCTCGTAAACGTGCGGACCAATTACAGAAAGAAAGGGATCAATCTAGGTCCGAAATGCAGAAAGCTGTTACCGTGAAACACAAGCTTGAGAGTCTTTGCCGGGAACTTCAGAAAGAGAATAAGAGGATCAAGGTACACACTCCCTTTAATCAACTGCAGTATGTGGTGGTTCAAAATTCCAACTTTACTGAATTCAGGATTTACAGGACGACAATAAAAAGCATGCCGAGAAAGAGCAACAGAAGCGTGAAGAACTGTCGAACAAATTTGAAAGTACTCTTATGGACATCAAGAGCCGTATTGAAGAAGAAAATGATGGTGGCAGTCGCAAGGTTAATATGGAAGCCGATGAACTGTAAAAAAAACCCTTACTCGAACTCGCCTTTGGTATAGAGCATCGACAACTGATATTGCAGGTGCGAAACCAAGGTTTAAAGCCAAGTTTAAAAGTCTCGTGGATCAATACGAACTCCGGGAGCTCCACTTTACCTCTCTCCTTAAAACGAAAGAACTCGAGGTCCAATGGAACCTTTCACGTTATGAGCAACAGAAAAAACTAGCGGAACAGGAATCGCTTCGCGCAAAAGCTTTGCACCAACAAGTCTCCACATTCTCGCAGACTGAAGCAGAGTTACGCTCTCAACTCAATATCTATGTAGAGAAGTTTAAGCAGGTGAATAATAACCATCCGTTCATATTCACATCTATCTATCATAGCATCGCTGCTCATGGTATTGTATCGTCATTATGGGGAAGTATTATAACACAGGTAACCAACATCTGAAATTTTATTTCATTCTGTGTAGGTCGAAGACACGCTCAATAACTCCAACGATCTCTTTCTCACGTTCCGTAAAGAAATGGAGGAAATGTCAAAGAAAACCAAACGCCTAGAAAAAGAGAACCTCACACTCTCCCGAAAATCTGAAACCACCAACCGCAACCTCTTAGAAATGGCAGAAGAACGCACCCGCCACCAAAAAGAATTGGAGACCCTTAAAAAGAAGAATATCAAGCTTGAGAATCTTTGCCGTGCGCTGCAAGCTGAACGCACCACTCTCGAAAACAGGCTGCGGCACGGGGATGATGGAGACGATCTATTAGAGGATTCGGACGGCGACAGTGACGAGTATGAAGACTCGGCAGATGGTTATGATGAGGAAGGCTCCGAGGAAGGCTCCGAAGAAGATGTAGGGGAGGATACGGATGACGAACCAGAGGAAATTCCACAGCAAGAAGCTACGCATGTGGAATTTAGGACTGGTATGGTCGGATCGGTTGGGACGGTCGGCACGCCAGGTAAGGGGAAACCCAATGGCACATCACAGAACGGTGTCCATGCTTGAGACTTTTTTCTGGTTCATAGCGGTACTATTCACCCCGACCGGAGTTGGGGAAAATTGAAGAGCTGCCGTGCCGGATTGATATCATGAATTGGACAAAGTGCATGCAGGGGGAGGGTCAGAGTGGGACATGGCCACCCTGCCATATTATTCGTTCGTACCTTTATTGATGATAGCTTTTGAATGCTATCACATGTAGTCGCCGTGTGCTAAAGGCTCCAGGGACACACGTAACGCATTCCCACTGTCGCTCATGTAAAATTTGTAAGACTCATCTTTATCATCGATGTCTTCGCTGAGCCTCCAGATGGAGGCGTTTCAAACGTATTTACTACTTTACCATCCTAAGCCGATTTTGCTTGTCTTTCTATTAGAGGTGTTGTGAACGCTACTCTTTACTCTGCTCTACTTTAGCCGTATTTGAAACCCGGCTGCATGAACAAATCCCTGAACATGTCAACGAGTGAGCAAGCATGAAGCTTAAACAAAACCCTTCACAACTGAACTTGAGCCTGAACCGTCACTTGTAGCATGATCTTTATTTGATCCTCTCATCTTTCATTCCATCCTTTCCACCTCTTTCACGTCAAGAAAAATATATATATATACATGGGTATCGTAACCGTCAAAAAAAGAATATCATCAACAGAAGAAGAGTTTCGAGTGTCGAAAGTGAACAAGCAAAGAAAAAAGAAAGAAAAAAACAAGTGCCCCACTCCAAAGCAAAAAGAAGTCTCAAGCGAGATATAAAAAAACAGAACTAAAACAATTCTACTCCCCCACTGCAAAAGATCCTAGCAAGAAAAAAAGAAAGAAGGAAAAAAACAGAAACAAACGAGAAGTTCATTAAAGTTTCCTAGTAATAGAAGTTCGTCCTAGCAATAGCCGGAACCAAGAAAGAAAAGAAGGCGAGAAAAGAAAAGCATGATGTATAAACGCCATGATCCTACCCCTCTACTTGGGGGAGGGAGTAGCCGGAGCCGGAGCCGTTATAATTAAAAGGATGCCCATTTGTTGGTAATCAAATCGAAGCGTAATTAAAAGTTCGTGTATAAAAAATGCCAGGTGAAGAGGCAGAAAGGTAAGTTGTGAAAGGCTGTAAAATAAACAAACGAGAGAGAGAGGTTTTTTTGTAGCGAAAAAAAAGACACGTTGTTCTTTTTTGTACCGTCACAGCTTTTTTTTTCTTTTTGGCTTTCCAATTGGCGCTTCTTTTTTATGGTTTAAAGGAGGAGTCAGACGAAGAACGGGAGGTTGCGTTGGGTACCGTGTGATCGTCCAGTCTTTTGGTTGAGAGTTTCGAATTCGCCAATTTTTTGTAAATATCCCTCCTCTACCCGTACACTCAAAAAAGAAGTTCGACGGCGGCACATTTATTAGTTTATAATGAAAATACCGCGGCCTAGCGAATTGTTAGTATGTTGTAACAACCAAAAAAACACCTCTCCAGAAATCCTCAGGAGAAACTTACAGCAATGAGAGCGCCGAACAGAGCAGCCGTCGATTTCAGTGTGTTTGCGCTACTTTGTACCTGGATTGCTGGTGTCGCTGTAGGTGTATTATAAAGAGTAGCGTTCGGGGATGTAGTGTTGGTGCTGTTCTGAGCTGATACACTTGATGCCAGTAACAGCGTTGCGAGGAGCATGAACAAGGCCATGAAGAAAAGGTTATTGTTTGAGGAAGGCATTTTTGTTGATTATGAGTCTTTCGCGATTGATATGAGGATTGGAGGGGCAGGTGGTGAGGCGAATTGGACGACCGTGTTTATATGGCTTCTAGGGGGGTGAGGTACAGTAGGGAGGCGTAACAATAAGACTGGCTGTCAGGGTGATATAGTATGGGGCGGTAGTTGTGGGTTAACTAGTAGGTCGGTGCGGAAAATGGGAATAGGTAAGGTTGTCGTAGGTAAGGTTAAAAAGCTACTAGTAGTAAGAGAGATCTTAAAACGAAGATTGAAATGACAACAATGATTGTAGTATACTGGAAGAAGAAGAAGCGAAGGTGTCAACACGAAGCGACAGTCAGGTGGGTTATAGGAGGGTTTTATCTTTCAAGAAGGAAGAGAATAAAATAAAATAGAAAAAGAGAAGAAACCTATGTATGAATAAAAGAGTTGACCGGGGCGGGCGAGGGCGGGAATATATACATTCGAGATAACCTGTGGTGCATCCTACCGCATGCAACCCAACCGACTTGCTGCTGCTGCTCCCTCGCAGTTCCCTCCTGCCCTACCCTGTCTAAGGAAAGATACACAGCAGTAATGAACACCTTCGTTCTCGGTGGTACACGCCTTGCACACCGCGCTAAAACGCCTTCAGAGGGAAAAAAAATTTCAACCGCGACCGAACTGGCAGGGGGAGGGACTGAGCTGCTGCTGCACAGGGAAATTCGAAAAGAAGCAGTACTAGCATCTGAATAACAAGCAACCAAAGCTTTTGCTACTGCTGCTACTGCTGCTGCTGCACTGCAGCCTTTCTTGAGTGCTTTCCCGTCCCGTCCAGCCTTGTCCATGATGGTCAAACAGCCACCGTGCGGGCTAGAGTTACTCTACTCTAGACTCGAGAGAGTACTAGGGATTAGGTACCCATCGATCCTACTACACACACCTGTTTTGGTATCTTCGCCAACCTGTCCGGCAACGAACGTTATCAAAAGAAGTCTTCCTTGCCTGTCCGTTGCCTCCTGTGCCAGAAGGGAGAAAGAGAGCCTGGGGAAAGGGGAAACGTCCAGCGCCGTTCTCGGGGGGTGAGATCGGAGAACGTGGAGAAGAAACAGACAGAGAGCAGAGGCCCCCCACTCTTTCCGATCAACGGCCCTGTTTCGGGTTTGTTTGCTTCTCCACACTAAACTTTTAGACCGACTGCACCACTCTCGTACCTGGCCTACCCACACGTGGGTGTGGGTTTATCAAGGTACTAGGTGCTACAATAACAACATGCCATTTAAGGCTCACGATTTGGATGTAGACTTTCGGTTTCGGGGTCACTCTCTACGTGCTTTCCGGAAAAACAATAATAAGAATAAGAAGATATAATAAATTAATAACAATAACAGCAATCACAACTGTGATCATGAGTTCTCTCCGGTTTTAGGAAAGTAGCCTGTTTTCATGTCCAAACGTCACACCGGCCGGGCTTCAAACAAGAAATGTCAACAATTCCCCCCATACCAAGATAGAGATAGACATATCCAAATTATCCTCAATGGTATTCTAGCCTACCTTACCGGTGGGGAAATACTTTAACCGAGTTCTCCCCAGTGTTACCGTCGCGGTAAAGTGCCTTTACATCGCTAGGAACAAGAGAAGCAGAACTGTATCGGATATCCCCCCCCCCCCCATCCAATGTTGCACGGCGAAAGGTCGCTTCAGGAGCCGCAATGCGCTTGTTTCCAGCTTGTTGCTCCTTTGGGAATCGTCAACACGGCTACCCTTTTCCCCTTACAGAAGCCAATCCCGGCTGTTGGTAAGCTTTGTGGCTGATATTGGAATGGTCTGCCGAGGGGTTGACAGGAAAAGTAATAATCCCCCAAAATTCCTCCTTCCTCTTGGTTCATGGGAGGGTGTTTTCTGTCGAACTTCAGATAAATTGGAGCACACCTCCCCTAGCCCATCTGTGACGCAATGTGTCAATTCACATGTAGGCACTCCGCTTTCAGAAGGGAGGAGAATAAACTTGAATGGATACCTCCGATGTACCTCTACTTTACGATACATACATGTACATGTATTTCTCCCCTCTATCACCTCCTCTTTTATCTGATTTGCCGGTGTTGTATCCACCACTGGCAGACCGACTAGCTCCTCTAGAACCTTCGTGGACATGTACCGGCGTGTACATAGATAACAGGAATTGGGAAAACAGGAATTTTCTGGGTTCTATCTACTGTATGCAATCGCCCGCCGCCACAAGTGTCTCCTGTCGTCTCGCCTTTACTTTCCCAGTTCCATCTCCCTGGGTGGACGAAAGACCCCGGAAGTCTACCGAGTCTCACTCGGTGTCTGTACTTTGTGGTACTGTATGTACTCGTACACAGGGGGTACGGGTACAACCTTCAAAACCTTATTGCATGATTCGCATGTACATCGTTATAACATGTATATTGGCTGCTCAATGATCAGAAGAATCCCTTGCCGCAAGAGGACGCAGTGAGTAGAAGAGACGTATGTAGGGCTCGTAGGGTAATATGATTAATCCAAGACATACCATTCAACGTCAAGCGGCTTGGAATCCTCGCGGCAGAAAGGGAAAGGAAAAGGAAGTATCACAAGCCCAGAAAGAACGACATGTTGCCATATTTAGAAAGGCCTTCACTCAAGCACACACGGAAATGCAAGGTTAACTTTGAATCTTATGCGAGCACAGCCAGTAGATGACGCTACCGATCATCCTCGAGAGGCTGAAAGTGCTGCTTCTTTTATCGCGATAACACCACATTTTTATGGAACCCCACTTCGCGCGATTGATTGTATCCTTTCTACCCCACGCCCACATTGGGTTTTGGCCTCGATACCTGCTTAATTCCTGTTCATGGATGTTTACCCAGCCAGAAGCAAGAAAAAGAAAGTAAATATTCGACTGTACCCATATGCGGTTCCTTTTTTGAGTTCAAGAACACTCCTGCTGCTGCAATAACTGCTGAGCAATAAGCTAATAAGCACAAGATTATTTGAATCGGCGGCGTTCCTCTTGGAGAGATCACCGGCATGGCCCCGCGGCCGCGCGTCGGTGAATGGGCGAATAAAAATAGCACTTCTCTTTTTTCTTCCTGCATCCTCATGCTCCTTCGTGAATGGAAGATCTGGATAGGTTGTTCTGGCGAGCGCGGAAGATCTACCTTGGTGGTGTCCCTTGTCCATTTTACGTGGGCAACAAAAGTGGATGGGGGGATTTTGTTAATCATGACGAGTCTGTGCGATCTGTTCTGTTCTGCTCTAAGCAGAATATGTGTTCTCAAAGGTGTACGCAAGGGGAATAAGTGAAGTTTCAGCCTGTCTCAGTTTCAACTTGTTCTGTGCTGCTTTGTGCCCTTTTGCCTCTTTTTTCCACCACGGAGTATGCCTTGTACCTACCTACACCTCCTGTGTGTGTGCACACTGCCTTCCTATCATCCTTGAAGGCAAGTGGCTTTCTCACTCACGAAACGCCATCGTTCTTCTCTCCGTGGAGTGGAGGGAGAACATCCAACCTACCACATAACCGAGGAAATACCGACAGAGCGTACTTCCAATAGGGATCTATTCCTTTGCTGCTGCTGGTTCGTCTTGGTGCTGCGCGTTCAATTCCTTGTTAGCAAAGAGCCTCAGCCGGCGGACAGGCGCTAGGATACGGTTCCATAGTGCGGAAACACGCTGTGGGTTAATCTAGGGTTTTATTTTATTTTTATCTTTCTCCAGATTGAGTGCGTCATGTGGGGTACGCACAATGGTCAAGGATTGCATTTACTCTACGTAGAGTAGAGCAGGCATCTATCGGCGTACCCTATCAACCTCTTTGTTGTTTGGGCAAGTAAGCAGCGCAGGTGGACGAGTGATTACTCATGATACAAGACATGGCCATTGTCGATCCTGAGTTTGAGTTGGACCTACCACCGGAGACCGACCATTCTTTTCAGCCGAAAGGAAAAGAAATTCATTCTATAGCTGCTGCAGATGGGTACTTCTGTTATCATTCAGATATATATGCGAGTAAGGCCACTAGCGTGGGCTGAAAAGAACCAACAGTTTTGATTTCGATGAAGCGAGACTACACACCACCACAACGACCACCACCACCACCGCATACAACAACAACAACAACAACAACAACAACATACTGCAACTACGGATGCTGTTTGCGGGCCTTCTGTTCTTCTGACGTGAGGCCTTTTTAGAAAAGACATGTACAATTGAAAACAGCTAAGCGCTTGCTGGTTAGCAGTTACATGTACATGAAGCGCAGTAGGGCAACATGCTTAGAATATGTATGAGCGGTACGGTAAGATGCTCCGAGCCTACTCACCCACCTGGCCCGAGCTTTTCCACCTTTCAGCTTGAGAAGCCAGAAAAGCATTACATATGTTCTCCGGAAGCGGCTGGCGAGCTGAGTGGGCGGGGCTTTTGTCTCGTTTAGGCTGCGGTATTGGTATTGCGGGGGAGAGATAGTCGAGTTGACATACCTGGAGTACTTGTCAGCCTACCGGCCCGCCGATGACGGAGAGTCTTATATGTATGACATGAGCACATACACTATGTACTCATTTTGCAATTGTGTTTCCGGCTATCTATCTAGAGCAGATAAAAGAGCCAGCCCGCTCGTGGATCGTGACAAACAGGAAAGATAATGCGCGGGAAAGGTCGAGTAGGTGCTGCATCATGTGCTGTCACCCGTCGGGACCTGATCAGCCTGCGATTGGAGACGAACCCGGGGTTTGAGACACCGGGTTCGGCGCAATTGGTACATGGGCCATGCGAGATTAGGGAGGGTTATCGCTGGAGATTCAGACTGGGCTCGGCGGCGGGGGTGCGTTTTTTCGTCATTTTTGAGGGTGGGGATTTGGGGGGGGGGGGGGTAAGAGTGCAATATGCTGTGCGCTGAATCTTGATGGATAAGAAAAGCTTGTTTGAGCGTGCTAGATCTGGTTTATAATCTAGATGCTTCTACATCTTTTAGGGCACCGATTGTGGGCATGTATCACATGTTAATTGTGAATTCTGATGGACGGGTGGACGGCACGTCGCGTGGTGGTTATATAAAAAGCGATATAATACGCCGAGGACCCTCTCTACTGGTACGATGATCTTGCTACGTCCTCCCCTCCCTCACCATCTGCTCCGTGGGCCTGTTTGGCTACTGGAAAACACCTACAAAGTGACGGACGCGAGATGAGACAACGCGAGACCTTACTCTGGAAGCCTCGGGGATATTTTTACTTATCTTTCTCAAATGGCGCCCATCGGAGGTCTTGCCTCCAGGAGCTCGAGAGTTCGGGGATCAATTTTATATAAACTCTTGACTGCATCAATATGAGCTAAGGGTTAGGGTTATATTGACTTAGTTTACAGCCTTAAGGGCCAAGATGGTAAATACCTTATGTTCTTTCACCATCTTATTCGCTTCGTCGAGATAGTATGTATCCGCTGTGTGAAGTCTCGGTCTGGCTATGGCACCGGTGTTGATCTTAAGATAGGGCGTAAGACGGGTTTCTTCGTGCCATTCTTTGGCGCAGAGAACACGGCGAACAGCAAAGAAGAAAAAAGAATTAGTATGATGTTTTTCTCGGTGTAGTTCCCATTGGTATTGGCCAGTACTGCGTAGCCTTCCAGTAGAAGATATGACTGAGTGTTACCTACCCACTAGTCCATGGTAACTGGGAATAAGGAATACCAAGGTTCTGGTTTCAAACCTAACCTCCTGTCCTAGAACCAAAGTTATATTGTCAAACGAAACAGTGTTGCCACGCAATGAGCTTATTTGATGATTCAAGAATAAAAGTGGATCACTTGACGTATACATACACATAGTCGGGAGCACAACCACTAGCTGCGTAGTTATTCAAGAAATTGGGTGATTCGAAACACCTACAAGACATAGGGGGTAGGTTAATCTCCCATCTTGGACCTTGAGAAGCGGTGCGCGTGATCGTGCTTATCTATTCCTTTACGGTATTGGTTGGGGAAACAAAATAACGCCCCCTCGTTTTGAAATATGCCTCGCTGGTGGCACATACTAAGCCTTAACCTATCGATATTGTAACGTCATAACTGGAATTTAAACCTCTGCATTTGTTCGTGATTTCGCAATTGGATGTAGTCATCCGGATCCGGCGTGAAGTCGGGTGCCAAACACGAGTGATACTGGATGAAGCAAAGTTTTACACCACCGTAACGAGGGTTTTTGAAGTCGAGATTTTTTCTATAGCCGGCTACATGTAAGCATAGGTACTTTGCTAAGTACTGATTATAGGTTTACGTACTCGCCTCTATAGGAATGTGGTATTTATGTATTTCTCATGGAAACTTTCTAGGTGAGTGCTATTGGGGTTGGGTACCTAGTAACCGGTAATCGAGGTTACTAAAGTAGCATAAGTTTGGAAGCTACATATATTTATATACGTATATTACCACTAACTACATACGTCTTTATTCTTTTTTTTTGGTTTTAATTTGCGTGACTTATCCAGAGCTCATACTTTAGAAAAATTGGCCCAATTTCATCACCAAGATGTAACTAAGGACAAATTAACCTGGCTATAAACTATCCAATTAAGAAAATGAAGAAAAAGACTACCTATAAAAAGAATTTACCAAAACTCTCTAAAAGCTCTACAAAGTTAACCCTAACCCATCAACGATTGCTCCACCTGCTCTCGTTCCAAAAACGTGGAAGTAGAGAAACCGGCGAAAGAGCTATGCTTCTAGTTCAGAAATTCCGAATTGGGAGAATAATTAGACTCGAGGAAGGTGGGGTGCTGCTGAGGGAGGCCCACACCGACGGCCAGCCCAAAAGCAGCATAATATGTTGAATATGGAGTTCATAAGAGGTAGATCTAGAGGAGAGGAAGTTGATATGAAGAAAACATGATTTGCAAAGATGTGAGTAATTTTGGCCGCTATCAGGATTAGTAAGTAATTACTGTTTGACACTTTTTTAAGAAGACAAGTACACGTATGTAGTTGAAGCATTTTATAACTGCAGATGCCGCGAAATAAATTTCAAACAGCTCCGGGTATATGAGTCACAAAAAGCTTTGCAGTTAACTGCAGTTCAAGGCCTAAGAGCACAAAATGGCTTTTGTGCACTCCCTAGGTCTGCGGTGGGGGCCTAGGCTGGCGTTCTTCTCTAAATTATAATCTGCAGGGCGTATATCTTAACTCTTCATGAAACACACACAACCTGAGCCTGACTCAATACCATAAGTTTTACATGTGCCTCTAGAGGCTATCTTCTCTCGGGTGGGGACAGATAATAATGGCGAGCCGCGAGCGGCTCTTCTTTAGAGGTAATACAGTGGAGTCCCGATAGTAGCAACCTCGATAATAGCATATCCTCGATAGTAGCATATGTTTGGGCAATCCCAAACGAGTCGGTACGGGCAAAGTTGTTCTCGATACAAGCATATCCCCGATAGTGGCACACGAAAATCCGTTCCCGACCATATGCTATTATCGAGACTCCACTGTATTTGCAAACGGTTATTCTTTTTTGGAAAATGAAACAACACGATGTCCTTGAGAAATGCATATGCCGGACTGAACAGGTGGGCTTTCGGCCCACATTTCTATTTATAGCTCGCATCCTGTGGCCGTAGAGTACGTGGCAGAATGTTGCGTCAAAAGAACATACATTATTGCGGAGAGTATGAAGCCACTTGGCTAGTAGGCCTGAAAAAGACATGTAATTAATATATAAAATCATATACATGGAAAAGTTGCTTCAAGGAGCACAATCGATCGACCCGTCCTCCGTCTTGATTATCACGGTCAAGCCCTTGAAACCCATTTTGTGGGCTCGATTACATAGAGCAGGGACGTGGAATAACTTTCTATAACTTTCTAGGTATTTACACACATCAGCAGTTAAAGTCGAGTTGATCCGCGAAGTTGGGTCTGGAGCCCAGTCATGATATCTCACTCGCTAGGTCTCCCTGGATGGTTAGTAAGCCCGGCTGTGGAACGATGTGGAACGAATTAGTTTTCCCGTCTGAGATTTCGTAAGACTAGGGAGAGAGGATGCAGGACCGGGAGATGAGCTGCAAATGGTACTGGAGCGGGCATGGTCCCACAGGGAGTATTGAGCATGAGATATAGTGGCATAAATACAGGACGGGGGTCCAATATCACGGATGGGCAGATTATGGCGTTCAGGTTTGCCGCACAATTTCATAATCGAAGCTAGTCTAGTCCTATGGATTTAGGCCAGCTACTTGAGCTGTAAATTCCAGGCTGAGGCGGTATCAGATAAATTTTATTCGGACACATAGGCTTCCGTCATGGATTATCACTCCGCGTTCAAAGCAGCATTCACTTTCTATTAAATTCCTATGTAGGCCGTGTGGTCTATGAGGACGCTCGAAGCGAGGCTTTGGTGTGTTCTCGTGGGCCTCTGCCCCTGCCTGTTCTCGGGTTCCTTGGGGGTAGCTAGTAGAAGGTGATTCTGAGAATAAAAGTGTTTTTTGTTGATCTTGAAGAGCACCCGGACAGAAATGGATTTAACCGATAATTCTTATATATAGGTATATTAAACGTGTGCTGCAGTCAGGCATTGTCTTTATAATGCCTCGAGGCAAGGACGGCAGTGTGTCCTCAAAGCTCCTTGTCCTCCTGGACCTCGGATATGCAGGTGTTTGCTGTAGTTATGGCGTATTGTTCGAGCATGGTGGCATATATCTAGCTCCGGGTTTACCATACCAACTGCCTCTAATATTGAGCATTCCAACAAATTCAGTCGCGGTACCAGCACTTCCATATCACATCGTGCACATCAATCTCGAAATTCCCCATGACCATCCATTATATCACTCTAAAAGTCAGAAGAAGAAGCAGAAACCCAGTAGCAGAGAGAAAAAAAAAGATCGATGCCATTTTTGAGCGCCTTTAGAAATTGACAACACGGGTAGTAAGTAAAAAGAGATTCCGGACCCCCTGGCCTTCGAAAACACTTGCCCTGCCCCATTCCCCCACATTGCCCGTAAAAGTAGTGGTTGGGGCTAGGCTCATGATATCAATTCCTCCTTTCCCATACCTCCATTTTTCCAGTTTTTTTTTTTTAATTGTTGGTGGGTTTGGTGCGTTTATTTCTTCTTGGCGGGGACATCGGTAATGGTGAGTCCTAAAAAGAGAAGCTATTAGTCAAGCCCCAGGGATGGCTGGGTTGCAAAGGAGTGGAGGGGTGCGTACCGGGAGGAAGGGACTGCTTCAGCTTCTCGGCCTTCTCGGCATCGTTGAGGACAAGAGTGTAGAGGTGACGGTGGCACCTGACCTTGAACTTGATGGAGCTCTGGCCCTTGGTGGACTTCTGTAGTATCGAAAAGATTGCCCATCAGCATTCCGTTCCAACTCCAATTTCAAGGTCCTCCCCCCCCAGTGCCAACTTTCCATCCCAGTCCCCCTTCTAGTTTTTTCAATCTTCCGTCTCCCTCCACATCTGCTACAGGGCGACTATCCGCTGGGATTGGGGGAAGGTAAAACACATTGAAAACCGACCTTTATACGGGCAGCTATAGATTCAAAATTTCGTTAGCTCATCTTTTTCCATCTCCCTCAAAACTTCCCCCCCAGCCAAAAGAAATGGGGCGTACCCTGAGCATCCTTGCGCCTGCACAGCTCAATGAACTGCTTGATGTCGTGAACCTGCTTAGGCATTTTTTTTGGTCGGAATGGGTTGGTGCGGAGGATTTGGTAATTGTCGTCTACTGGTGCTATCGTCGGCGTTCAATAATTACGAAGGTGTTGATGCTTGCCCAGTTGATGCGTTCGAGGGTGCGTGTGTGTGCCGTTGGACTGTCGCTCTAGATTAGGGCTTGCACCCTTTCTACACAGCCACTTGTGCCACAGCCACGCGGGAAGAAGAGCCACGCGGCTTGTTATCTTATCTTATCGCCGATTAGATTGTTGACTCATTTGCCACAGGGCGACGTAATCGTCCCTGGCAGTAGAGGCCACAGCCACATTTAAGGTAGCTACAGCCCACTCCAGTTCCTACCTGTCTACTGAGCTCTCAAACACTGCTTTGCTACGAAACAACTACTACAGAAACATGCCACAGACACCACTGGACCGCGCGCTACACTCTAAAGTACGTGACCTCTTTCTTTGAAAAAATAGCATGTACATGTTCTCCCGAAGGGCGTTCGACGATCTGACAGACGTGCTGGCGCAGAATGCATTTCTGGGTTTGTTACTTCCTCCTTGGTTAGTTTCTGTTGTCGGGGAAGTGGGGTGGAGATGTGCGCTGGCGGCTGGTGAGCTTGGAGTTGGTGGCTGATGTATGTTGGCGGGTGCAGCGTTCGCAGGAATCATCACGGCCGTCGCAGCGTGGACGATACTGAAGCCGGACCCGATCTTCCCGCTGGCGGGGCCGAGTGGTGGTTAGTAGTCGGTTTCCTCCTATTTATATCCATTTAGCTGGAATGGGCGCGATAGCTGATGTTGGTTGTGGTTGTGCATAGACCCGACGGACTGGACAAAGGGCGAACTGACGAATTGGCTAAGAGCGGTTTGCGACCACCTTCCTATACCCGTGGCTGTGTGCGAGTATGTGTAGTCTAAGTGTGCGGTTGCTATACAGAGAGGCATCGAGCCTGAAGAGGGCGCGACGAGAGAGTTGATGGCGGCGGAGGTGAAGATCATTAGGAGGCAGCAGGCTGCGGCTGCGGCTGCAGAGAGGTAGAGGTATGGTGTTGCTGTGGGATTAGGGTAATATGGATGGACGGATTGAGGTTATAGATACCATTCTTAAACACCAGTATTCAAAGCACAAACTATTCTTCCTTGATCAACTGATTGCTCTATTTATACTCAAAACTAAATTTAATCCCTAATTGCAATTGTGAACGCACACACCCGCCCCATTTCTACCAGCACAATGATCATTGACACCTCTAGCCGCACAATCCATGATCAGATGAAAGTCCATGTCTATTCCCGCCCACCCCAATATTCCCATTACTCAAATCTCGAACAAGCACCTCCTACTAATTGTCTCGAACCAGACCCAATTCACTCCTACTAATTCCTACTAATATATGTACCATCCGTACCTGTCCCTATCCACCTGCAGAACTATCATTGACAGTACATATAGGCTACTAGAGGCTTCACTCAACCACTCGTAATGTCAATGATCGCACTAGCACAATTTTCGACCCGTGATCTACTGAACGCCTGAGCCGCGGTCTTCCATCGCATCCTCGAACACGGACCCCATTCTATCTCCCAATCCCATCTCTTACTCTAAAACCAAACTTTCCCAGCTCCTCCCATCAAACCATCTTGTCCCCTATCAACCCACCTTATCTTATCCCCCACCAACCCACCTCTACAAACTCACGAAATCACAGCAGCTAAAACGAGCGCACGAACGACCACAGGATGCACACTACGCCCCAGTATCCCGCCCAAACCACCTCAACCGCCCCCTCTCAGATTTTTTCTGTATGTATGCCAGTTCAGTTCAATTGACCCCCGCCAACCCCGCCAGCTCTAGAACAGACGTAACCAAAAAAAAAAAAGAAGAAAAAAAAAAAAAGTAGCCACATTTTGAGCAACCCGGATAATATGTCACCACCACAAGGAGCATATACAAAGGGGCCGATGCCAATTCTCGAACCCGAACCCCTCCAATTCCAGCCATATATAAGAAAGAGACGGGCCAGAAGGAATAAGAAAGATGAGGATGGAAAAGGAAAAAAAAGGAAAAAAAAGAAAAACGGAAAAGAAAGAAAAAGAAATGAACCCCCAAGATGACAACAATAAACAAAAATATACTCCATCCCCCGTCCCTGCCGCCCATCCTCTCCCTCCTGCCCTCCCTCTTAAGTTTTTCATGCACGCGCCTCTACAGCTAGGCAGCTAACCACAGCAAATGCAATGCAAATTATTCACAAGAAGGCGAAAACGAGCGAGGTTTAAAAAAAAAAGAAAAAAGAAAGTAAATTTTCCCAGCACCTAAAAATTATAGTAAGTCTCTCAACCATCTAATCACAAATCTAAACAGGCACGAGTGCAACACTCTCAAATGCAATCTGGAAGAACTCCTGCATGGCGTTCCAGTGGAAGAGGATGCCGCCAAGGACGCACACATGCCAGATGTTGTGGCTGCCACCGAACCAGTCGAAGAACCCAGGGTACCAGCGCTCAGGGACTTGCATGGCGTAGATAAATGCGCCAGAGAGGTATACCGCAATCTACACACACGGCGAATTAGCTAACTGTCAAGTTCACGATCGTACCTGAAGGGGGATACATACGGATTTGACAATGGGCAGGTAGAAGGTCATGGTCCACATCATTCCTCTTGTCCAAATCAGCTGGAACATCGGGATTGTGCCGGTGGCTCCGAGCGTCAAGTAGAAAATGACTCTCCAGACACGCATGTCGGCTTTGTTGAACACCGGGTTCCACGGCAGGATAACACCGGCGATGCCAAAGACGAGGGTAATTCCCATGTAGATGCTACGGCTGATAGGGTGCACATAGAAAGCGGTATACTCAGTCGTCATGATCGACGCCGCAATGAGCATAGAGATACCGCTGTAGTCCACACACGCAAACCTCTCCATCGTTGTCTGGTGCGAAATTGACGAGAACGTATGCCAGATGGTTGAGCAGGCTAGTGCCTTTGCCGCCGCCAAGAAGAACAACCCGTTAATAAACTTATCGGCGGTCGTATGGTCACTAAAGATCTGCGACGTAGGATAGAAGTAAAAGGCAATCGCCAAAATAAGCATAAAACCCAGCCCATGGGTCCAGATGTTGCATGTCTCGTTACTCAGTGTAAACGCGCTCTTGACGCACTCCAACTTTGTCTCTGTGAAGCGGTAGCCTCTCAGGATATATGGGTTGACCCTCCACGGGAACGGCAGCTCCTCATAAGTGATAAGACGGCGCTCCCTCGCAGCCTTGATTGCGCGCTCGATGCTCTCCGCAAGCTTGTCCTTAGCGTCGATGACACGGTCCGCACCTGCATGTGCCTGGGCCTCAAAGTCTCCGAGTAGCTCCTCGAGAAAGCGGACACCGGCGTGTACCTTGGCGGGGAGGGTGTCCTTTGCTTCGAGGACGTCGTGGTAGCTGGACTCGAGGACTTCTACGATGACGCGGGCACGGCGACGGCCCTCGCCGCTGATCTTGCTGCAGCCATGGCGCACGGCGAGGAGCGTGGTGTAGGCGCGGCTGATACCCTCGTCGAGCTTGAGATTGCCGTAGGCTTCGAGGGAGTCGAGGCGACGTTCGAGCTCAGAGAGGAAGTGGTCGACCTGGGTAAGGTAAGTGTTCTGCCTCTACTTTTCTTCTTTTCTTCTTTCGCTTTTCTGCTGGGGGGGTGGAGGTATGCATACTTTGGCGAGGAGAACTTCCTCGTCGAGGAGCTCGGTGGAGAAGTGACGGGAGTGTGAGTGTGTGGAGTGACGGCGGGGCTTTCGGTGCGTCGGTTTGGTGGGGTTGAATGTATCCCATGAGTCCATGATGGACGTGGAACCGGTGCAGCTTGCCATTGGACGGACGGCTTGGTGCCTCTAGTTAACTGAATTCCTTTCTCTGAAGATTGTTTTCTTCCTTTTTGTTTAAATCTTTCTTTTCTTTACTTTCTTGGGCCGGGGTCCTGGATTGCGCCTATGTTATGTAGATATAGATTCCTCCACCCACACCTGCTATGTATGTGCTGTCTCTGTGACCTGTAAAGCACCAGAAGAAGCGCGCAAAAGAAACAGTGCAAGGCAAAAAAAAAGAAAGGAAAAAAAAGTAAAAGGGAAAAAAAACAGATCTACACTATATATCCTCACTTCACACACACGCCGAAGCCCCGTGGTCGAATGGTAGACGAGGTTATGTAGGTAATGTGTGGGAACAAGTAGAAGAGAACCAGATAGGACTATATATGGCAGGGGAGGGAGGGGTGGTCTGGTAGGGTCTGTTTTTTTAAAAAAGGAGACGCGCCAACCATGAGATCAGTTATTGGAGGAGGCTTAAGGCCGACGACGCCGAGGAACAAAGGAGAGAGGAAAATTGACGACGAACGGACAGACGGGGGCGGGTTGGGCGGGCGGTAGAGACCGAATGGGGCTTTAGGGCAGAGTGCGGATGCCGGCCAGGCCAAGTGTGGGGGGGGGGGGGGGGGGGGGGGGGGGGAACGAGGAAGAGAGGGAGGAGAGGAAGGGAGAGAAAGGAGGAGAAAAGGAAAGGGAGTGAATTATGAGATATATGGAAGAAAGGAAGAAGAAGAAGAAGAAGGGAAGGAAGGAAGGGAAGAAAGGAAGACTTGAGTAATGTTCAATGTACGAATATGCAGGTTAAAATTCAGCACTACTGTATTCTACTCTATCTGTCGGTATATTCAATGTTATTGTTGTTGGAACTCTACTGTTAGCAGCTACCTACATCCTCTTACTCTTACTCCAGCTTCTTTCCCTTCCAACCTAAAACTAAACCCTCGGCATATTACAACCTTACAAACACTTTTTTTTTGTTGAATTTCCGGGGGGAGACAGCAGGGTCTCTCGCCCCCAAAACAGCTCTAGCGACCGGTACCGTTCTCTCAACCCTGGCTTCTCCCAATATGGAACCAACCCCCCCTGGTTCACCTCAGGCAGGGCACCTCTCTGGGAAACGTCCACTCTCCCCTCAAACCCAAGCGACAACAAGAGGTGGCGATTCACTCTATTCTGTTAGATTAGATTAATTGCGACTCCTCCGATAGACAACTGACTGATCTTCACTGTCTGTGCCGTGCGTGGACGACCACGAGGAGGAAGAGTAAGCAGAAAATAAAAAAAAGTTTTGAACCATGGCCGGGCGCTTGACGAGTCCTATGCTCTGTGTATGCACAGAAGCTATTTTGACCCTTCTGTGCCTTGCGCCGTGGGATACGTACTCTCCAAGAACTCCAAGAACCCCAAGAAAACGGGCAAAAAAAAGTCTTTCCTCATTACCTACTACATACCTAACCTACATGTACCTACAAGGTACTCTTGCTTGCGCATACACACTTACGGTGTAGCATACGACGCCGCCCTCTCCGCCCTCTCTGCCCTCCGCCCTATCTGCCTACATACATAATGGCATAGCACAGCATAGCATGTGGGAGCTTCCATTGGCTACTGACGAACCAAGCATTTCCTACACATGCCTCCTGCTCCCCCCAAGATGCAAGACACAGACACATGTTTACTCGACCTGGCTGACATTGCGAAAAAACCGGCGTAAAAAGCAGGATTCGCACCTTCTCGCTCTGCCGCGCGCAGGTGATCGTGGGGATTGTATTGGGACCAGCTCCTACTTTTTTCTTTTTTGACTAGGAATTGTATCCTGTGCTATGGAAATGTGAGAGGTGGATTAGTTAGTAAATAGCAAGCACTGGCAAGCAGTGGTACTCTACTAGGTAGACCTCTAGATCTACCTTACCTACATTACCAATCTACAACCCCCTCCCTACCCGTCCATATCACAAAATCTCTCATTGGCACCGGCATACCCACCACTCAGATCGGGCTCCCCGAATCGAGAAACCCAAGACCCAAGAAACACTCCCTCCCCCCATTGTAACCCGACCCCATGACGGGGAGGGGAAATGATGCCTAAATCAACATTTTACTTTTTTACCGTCGTGCCGGGAAAATGCTGCTGCTGCTGTGCTGTGCCGATGACCCGCGACGCGCGCAGCGTAAATAGTGGAGAGATAGATAAATAATAGGGATAGGGAACCCCGCATTATTAGAGAAGAGCATTATTAGAGAAGACAAGAGGTCGAGCCGAGTTTGTTTAATAAGGCAGGTGGGCGAGGTGAGGTGGGTGAGGTGGGTGATCCAAGCTGAATGGGTGTAGGGGTGGGCGGGTTGCGAATGCATAAGTACATAATGTGGATGTAGGTGCGGCGGTGGTTCGGGGCGGAATATGCAGGGCACTTTATTAGAGTGGAGGTGGGGTGATAATAATGAGGAATAAGAAATAATAAATAAGAGGAGGGGAAGAAGAAAGTCTGCCAGATCTTTTTTGTCTGTGCTGTGCCAGATGGTAGGCAGGTGGAAAACTCCAGAGGAGTGCGGTCAGTAAAGTAGTTGAAAGATAGAGCAGAATATGATCTGGTTCTCTGGTATTGGTATTTGTAATTATTACTCTGCTCTTGCTATGCAACCAGGTATGCAGAAATATGAAACGGTAGCAAAAAACGGAGATGGAAAGGAAAAAGAAAAGAAAACAAGAGAGCCAAAATGCGCAGTCCATTAGTCGTCAACATTAAAGCATGCCAATAGATTAAAAAAAAAAAAGCCAAATAAATAAAACCCCGATTCTCAAAAGTGCAAGATGCGTTGCAGCTACGACATTGGCGGGGGGTGGGGTACAATCACACCCCATCACTCACTCACCCCCTTCCCACACCTTCACCGCCTCCCCCACCCTCACCAAGCCCACCCCTCCCGCCTTCCCTTCGACGGCCAAATGCTTCATATGTACTCCAAAGACCACCCGCCCGCCTACCCTGCGACTCTTTGCAAGCGTCACATAAGGCTCCTCATTCTTCACGGCCGTCTCCTGGTCCACACACACCATATGGCACCTCCGACACGCCCCCAGCACCTCGAAAAACTCGCCGCCGACCTTAACATGCGCCCAGCGGTCCTCGGCATACGCACCCGCGCCACCGCGAACCACAATGTTTGCGCGGAACACATCGGCCCGCGCGGCCTTCCCGCCGGTACACAGGATGGCGGCGTTGAGCGCATCAACACTTGCGCGGTGCACCAGTAGGATGGGGCTCTCGTTCGACAGCCCAATGGGAGCCTCGCCGCCGGCTTCGGCCTTGGCTGCACCTCCAAGGTGCGGCTTGAAGTGGCGCTGGCCGCTGGTCGCGGGGAAGCGCGCGAGCGTGCAGGGGACGCCGACGGCCGCGGTAAAGAAGTCAACGATGTGTTGCGCCGAGTACGTCAGCGCCGTTATCTTATCACCGCAGACGCGGGAAGGGCTGGGATGCAGGGTGTGAAGCTCCTCGGGGTGCATGAGAGCGGGATTGAGAGCTGCGGGGAGGAGGAGGGGCGGTATGGTTGTGGATGGTGATGTGCAGCATGCCGGTTTTGAGGTCGACTGAAGGGCGGATGAGCGCCATGCGGGGGTAGCGCTTCTGGTCGATTGCGGCGCCGGTGCCGAGGTGGACAAGGCACCATTCACGGTCCCAGGCGAGGCCGTGAGGGCGCAGCTCCCAGGGTTGTGAGGCGGGGATGGAGTAGCCACCGCAGGATTTTATGGGGTAGATTGTGAGGTTTTCAACAGTGAGAGCTGCTGACGCTGATGGCTGGCGGGCGACGGCGGGGGTAGGGGTTGTGTGGTCGACGTAGAACTCCTCGAGGAAACGGAGGAAGACGAGAAGATCATTGACGGTGCTCATGGCGCCGAGGGAGATGCGGATTGCGCCGGTGGGCTTGCCGCGCATGACGTCTTGGTCGTCCCAGCAGCGGTGACCGGATAGATAGTTTTGCTCGATTTCCCAGGCTGCGAGGCCGACGTGCTGCTCGATGCCGCCGGGGTTGCAGAGGCCGCCGGTGCGAAGGTGGATGTTCTTGACACTGGCGAGCTTTTCGACCTCGGCATAGCCCACCCAGGTGCCGTCTGCGCGCTGCATGTTGAAGGCGATGATTGGGCCCTGCGTTAGGGGGGATTTGTAGTCGCTGGAGCTATAAATCTGGCAGAGCTTGCGGCCGTTCCCATGCCTGAGATTAGAGAGAAGATCGTACATGATAGCGACGAGTGAGAATGCATGTCTCGAGATAGTCCCATAGTCGCCGTATAATCTCTCATGCGTAGTAATGGCCGCATCCAGAGCAAGTATCGAGTGAAACGCACTCGTCCCGTCCTCGAGATGCGAATGCGGCGAGTCCTCTTTCCGCGCATTAAAGCTCCCCCCGCACCCCACCACAGCATCCACAGTCCCTCCCCCAAAGTACCTCCGCGTCTTCAGTATCCCCGCCGACGCCCTGCGTACAATCAACGCCCCTAGATCCGGGAAGCCAAACATCTTATAAAAGCTTAGTACCGTAAAGTCCGGCGCCGTCTCGCTATCCCTCAGATTTAGCAATGACGTCGTCACCAGCGCCGCCGCATCCAGCAACGAGTACCACCCGCTCTGTGCCTTCCTGACCCTACCCGCCCAATCCTGCGGCAGTCTTCGTCCAGTGAAGTTCGACTGTGCCGGCCACCCAAACAGCCCCACCCCATCATCCTCGCAGGGGCTCCGTAGCCACAGCTCAACCTCAGCGTCCGAGGTGTAGCACGTTGCTTCTTTTGCAAGCTCCCGGATCCCAACGAGGCTTGTGTGGGCGTCGCTGTGGTAGCGGTACCGAAAGCCCTCCGGCTGCGCTGTGAATGCCTCGAGAACGAGCTTCATCCCCGTGGTGGCATTGGCGCAGAAGACGACGTCGAACTCCTCGGGGTCGGCATTAAAGAGGCGGAGGACACGGAGACGGATGTCGTCGATGCGCTTGGTGGTCTGTTGGGAGGAGGGGGATGGCGAGTGAGGGTTGCCGTAGATGTTTGAGCAGAGGTCGGAGGAGAAGGCGTGGATGAGCGAGGTTGCATAGAGGGTGGTGCCAGCGTGGTCGAGGTAGGTTATGTCTTGCTTTTGTTAGCTAATTGCTCTCTAGTTAGCTATAGAGGAGTCAGTTAGGTTAATTACCTTTAAGCTGTGGGTACTCGGTGGCCCTGAGCTCTTCGACATGGGGATTGTAGCCTAAGGACACAGCTCCCTGGAGGATGGAGTCTCTCGACGGGTCCATGTTCAAGGTCTGTACGAATTAAGGTATTCTGTGTAAATTATTAGGTTAAGGTTCTATCCGCCAGCGGGATGTATTATGTTGCTTGTTCTCTTTCTGCTGCGGCACCCTGCATGTGTGGACATTCTCCAGAGTCGTGACGGCGGGGGGTGATGGTGATGGTGTTGGTGATGTGTTGTGGGGAATGTGGCGATCCCCGGTCGGCTCTTGGATCCCGCCGTTATCCTATGTGTAGATCCAGGTCCGGGCCTTATCCGAGATGCATGCTTGGCGATAACGGGGTCAATGATACCGATAGCAGACAAAACATCGTGGGCCTAGGAGTCTTGTTATCGTTCCAATTAGGTACTAAAAACACAGTATCGAGCCTTTGAACGATCCCGTGCAGAGCCAGACTACTGTATGTATAATAAACTCAGATTATTATTGACATCGGAAGAACACCATAGTACTAGCTTGACCACCACTACTACTTAGTGGTGTTAAAGATGCCCATAGGATATTGTTGGTAAAAAAAGGTAGATCTCTCAGGCATGAATCCGTATTTTATGTGTAGATTTCATCCTCTTTTTCGGCAAAGTCCGAGGTCTACGCTGCCCCCACTAACATCGCTGTGTAGATGCTTTACCTTATGGGCGTTGGTTCGCCATTCGTGGACAGGGTGCCCCGCCAATGACTTCCCCAGTCCCCAGGGTACCCACACAGGCCTTGACCAACGGAACCGGTAGATCCTTTAATTATTGTCCTTCTCCCTAGGTTTATCCTATTGTAATGCCAATAGCCAATTCCCTTATATCTACTCTTCTTCGAAGAAATTAATCTAGATCCTCTCTCTTCAGATATAAATGAGCTTATTTTCGTTAATACTGAGATCCGTATGTGTAAACAACACCGCATCTTAGTTATAAATACTCCAAAAAACGTTTTTCTAAACGTTAATAAGGCACTTTTTTCTTTTTGTGGAAACATTTTAACCTTTTGATGTGTTCGTTGATGGCAGATTGCATATTTAACAATCTCCGCCAATGGTAATCTTTCCAGAAGCCTGAATTTCCCTCTCCACAAACAATCCAAACTACAGGCGAAATAACCTGAGTGGGACGCCCTATTTGTCAACTGAAAAGCTTTTTCAATCTGGTATAGCATCATGAGCTTAACCCTGAGCTGTATGCGTAAACATGCGTCCCGCGAAGAAAGATATCGTTTTCGTTTTTTTTCTCTTTCTTTTTCCCTAGAGAGTGTTTCCATTAACTCTAGAGCTATCTTCACAAATGTGTTGATTCCTGAACTATTCCTGAGTGAAGATGTTAATTAACTGTGAATATGCCGGAAAGTCCTATACTGTAATGGCTTTATATCCACATGTATAGTCATCAGTAGAGACAACTCGATCTGTCAAAATCGTCTTGGGTTGAGCTCCAAAGGCAAGTTAGTGATCTTAAGCCCTCCTTAGAAGAGTTACCGGTTATTTCTAGCTGTCTCCAACACGGAGTAAAACCCATGCTAAGCACCAAGCATATTCCGGCTCTGGTTAATGTCCGCCGTCCAGCGTTCATAGCCCTATGGTGTCCCTCTATTGTTACATTCTTTCTCCAAGATCAATAGTGGCTCAGATCCAAAGAACTTGGTCCTAAACCACCAATCGCAAGTAAAACCTAGATCAACAATATTAATAGCTCCAAGCGGTCGCCATCATCACTGCTGACTGTGGCAATTTTAGAGAGCTTTCATCTCGGAAATGTTGGATCTTGCTCAGCTATTGTTATGGTGCAGTTATAGCATGGCTAGTGTAGTCGACGAGCCCGATCGAGTCGAGTTTGAGGATTGGCTCGAGGAGCTCGTTGATTTACGAGGCCTGCTCTGCTCGACTCGTGAGATCACCTGTGCTCGTGAGGAAACTCGAGCCCCCAACAAATATGTTTAATACCCTACATAGTACCTAATCAGGCAAAGACTGAAAATGATATTTGCGAAAAACAGATCTTCGGTTCCAATTTGACATAGTAGCCTTTGATCTATCAATATATGCTAAGATCCTACATGGCTAAAAGGCTCGAGCAACTCGAGTCGATTTTTATCAAGTGCTCGTGAAAGCTCTGTTCGTGGCCCCTCCTGCTCGTCCTTGCTCGAGTACAAAGCTGTTTCGCCTTGGGGTTACTATTGCGTCCAGAGTCGTTCTATTGCAGGTTGTGCGGGAAGAAATGCCAGATCATGTTCATGCGTGTCGTTGATTTGGAGACAGAGGTTCGGTGGGAAGTTGGGTTGGGTTGGGTTGGGTTGGGTTGGGTTGGGAGTTAAGTTACCCAGCCGATGCGCTGGTACCGGACCTGCCACCCACCACCCACCCACACACAAGTTGGAGAGGCAACGTGGACATAAAACTGGTGTGTGGAAGAAGGTCTTTCCCTGGACAGTGGTACGATCTTACGAGAGATATTTGAATTTGACCCTAATGCTACATGTACTGGTTGGGAAAGATTTCTACTGTACGTGGCTACATGATCTTTTCAAGTCTCCAAGTACCAGTACTCAGCCCCAGTCCCACACCATTGAGGAAGACCACCAGGCATATGATCGGCTTTTCACCGCTGGGATAAGGATAGAGGCTATATCAACCTCTACAGACCTAAGCACAGATCCCAAGAGATAAGATACTCTACTTCAGATGAGCCAGCTGATATTGATGAATGATGTCCACCATTCACTCATGCTACTGACAAAACATTCAATTCACTTTTAAAGTTGTCGTTTAGGGTATTAATAAAAACACTGCAAGTTTTCTCTCTATTGACTGATTTCAAATGTACGGCCACGGAAATGTATTGACATCATATAGGGATATGGGCAGACAGAAAACGTTAAAGCAGAAGCAAAGCAACTACGATTATCCATTCATACACCCTTCAAGATAAGTGGTGTAGTGTGGTCCATGAGCCGGCTAGAGCTAGCTTGGCTTGTGGGAGGCAGAAGCTCGTAAGGCTCGAGTTTTGGTGGCAGGCTCGTAAACTAGCTCGAGCCGGTAGTCAATAATACAAAAAACAGGTTATCCTTACACCAAGTGCAGTAAAATGGTAGATATAGGCTTCATTTTATGGAGTAATACCGTGAGAAAGGATTTATTATTGAGGTCAGCATTCTAGTGGGTAGAAATTTCCTTTATGGCTTCTAGAGCCTAGTTCAGAGCGAGTAAACTGAGCTTGAGATCAAGCGATGTATATGTGCCTACTTGCCTCGCTGATCTAATTTCCTCTGAACGAGAGAACTCTTTTGCTACACGGAGCTTAACTACAGTTCTAGGACGACTACTACAGTCCGTCTCGCCCCCCTCTCTAACTCCACAGTCTCTTACCACCATCAGACTACCGGCTGGCTTCACCAATATATAAGTGAATCGGATAAGGAGAAGCGGGTATCTATTTCACTCCGTGAGACAGCACCCACTTCTTCACAGACTCTCACTCGACCTACTCTAGTCCAGTTTGGGACGTCCTTCGGTGAAGGATTAGCACATTCCGAGGCGGGAAATCCTTGGGTTTCCCGCCCTTTATTTCGTTGGCCGACTTTGTGGAGAAGAACGACACTCAGACAAGTGCCAACGATGAGAGCAGAACAGCAGCGCTTGGCAGACCTTCGGCGAGTGAGATTTTATGAAGTAGATACTACTTATAGAACTAGAAAAGCAAAAAATGCTGTTATTCAACTGGAAGCGCTAGGCATTCCGTACTAAAAAGACTGTATGTCCCCAGCGGCTCCATATACACCAGCTGCAGCCGCTGCCTACAACCACATCTATCATATCTATCAACCCCAATAAACAACCCCCCAAAAGGAACCAAAAGAAAGGAAAGTACACCAAAAACTAAAACTATGCTATATAAAACAACCCCCCAAAAAGCCAAAAAAGCCCCTGCCCATTCTACACAACCCAGAAAACTATACCTTCATCGAAGTAATCACACTAATAGGCCTCCGATTCCTCCTCTCCCACAGCGATCTCTCGCGTAGCAGCTCCTTGCCCTCCATCGTTCTTGACCGTGGCCGCAGTTCTAGATAGAACGAGAGCACATACGCCGTGAATACGAAGGAAATCACTACACCCTCATCATTAGTCAATCACCTTTCCCCGGAAACCGAAAAGGGTGAAACTTACGCCACTCCAGCACCGCCGCAATGTTGTCTTTATCTATTATCATGAGTACCGCCATCGCTATCGTCCTATCAAGTCACTATTAGCCCAATCCGGGGTTTGTGGGAAGGGGAGAAAGGGCTTACAGAGGGACTTCGATAATAACGATCCACTGTTTAATCTGGTAACTAGTCTTGAGAACTGCGCGCTCAATAAATGCTGTGCCGAGAACTCGGTAGGACAGTGTTGTGAAGACGGCGGAGAATATCACGCCTGGGTATGTGTTAGCTGATTATTGTGGGGTTATGGGCTTTTGGGACAGTACCAAGCATAAAGAGACACAGAAAGCCGTTATGGAAGCGCGGGAACGAGGCCGTGTCGAAGATACTGAGGAGGATGAGCGAGACCGCACCGAGGCCGCCGGCGCCGATGGCGGCGATATCGACGGATGTTTCGAGGCGGCGTTGGTTTCGGTCTGGTTTTTGTCAGTGTGTTGGGCGGCAGGAAAAGAATGGGAAAGGGGGGCGTACGGATGGCGTAGAGAGATGAGAAGAATGTTATACTGGTTACTGTGCAGCCGATTACGAAGAGTGGTTTAAGCATGCTTGCTCCTATGAGTATATCAATATCAACATCTACCATACTACTAAAGAAGAAGTAGGAGAGAATAATACCTATATCGGAGATATACGCAACCGTCTGCCCGCCGCCCATACTCTTATACACTGGCGACCCCTGCGCCAGCCACGTTATCATCAACACCCAATTCATCACTACCTCCCCACCAACAGCCAAAGAAAATCAGCCACACGATCATTACCCCCCTTCCACTCTCCCTCTGCAACCCCCCCCCCCCCAACTCTCCCCAGAACCCCCCACAACAAAAAAGGAGTAGCACCGACGTACCAAACCAAACAAACGCACACACAACCGGACAAATCCAATACGGGAATCTCCTCTTCTCCGTCTCAATGCAGCTCTGCTTCTCGTTGATCTCGGGCAGGCTCATGTCACTGTCGCTGTCGTCCGAGTCCACATCGTTGCTGCGCGCCTGCTGGTAGATCTGCAGCTGGCTCGCAAGCAGTAAGGGACGCGGGAAGGAGTAGTTTGGTGGTTTTGACATTCTAAATTTGGGGGCAGCGCAGCTGCAAAAAAAAGGAAAGTGGGGGAAAGAACGTGGTGGGGGATCAACCCCTAAAAAAAAAAAAAAGAGCGACGGGCTAGTTAGCTAGCTAGTGGTGAAAACAAAAGGTCTCGCCGAGAATTAGACGGAGAAGACTCGCAGCGTGGGCGGCGGAGGGGGGGTATATGAACCCCCCCCCTCCCACTCCTCTCACTCCGACTGCAACTACGACTACGGAGTACACACGACGAGAATACACCCTACACCCCCGGTTCCAGCTATTCGGTAGGGTATGGCGCGTGTTCACCGTTGAACTTGGTCATGAGTGATTCGCTTGTGGTGCATACCTGGGGTATGATGTAGGCACGGTTGCGCAGGTACCGGTGGTCAGACCAGGGTACCACTTCACCGGGTTGGTGATACAGACAAGTACCAGACCCGGGATGAGAGTTGTTATCGGACTAGCTATTGAATTATTCCTATTGATATTGATCTTATCGATAGTGGGTGGGATAAGATGTATGTTACTAGCTACATCATCAATTATATACTTTGGAGTGAACACCTGCTTGGTGGTTAAGTCTTCACCGGGGCAAGAATCTTTTTTGTTTATTCCGCTGAGCTGAACAAGACAAATAAGTGAGACCAGAAAGTTTAAACACCAATGGATGACTCGTTCTGAATGTTGTCAGGAGATAGTTCGAGATTTTTGGGGGATGATTTTCTAATCCATAAACGGATTCGAAGCGTTATCCTCACTTTATGCTTCAGCCTGCAGGTGTCGACGCCGAATAATGGAGCGGAGAGATATAAGAGGGTATGCCTAGCTATGCGCATTCTGGAAGCTTATTATTATAATATTCTTAAAGGAATATATGTAGTTTTGGAATCTTCAGATTGTCCGGGGAGCAAGGATAGGGTGTTTCTCTAGATTATCATTGATTTGGAGAGTGGGCTATCTGTTATTTGGATTGTTATTTGAATGCATTTTGGCCTGTCTGGTCTGAATAGAATATTGTGATGAAAGTTGTCTACATGTCACCTACAAGCTTACAAGTTGTCCACAAAACATTCTAATATAAAACAACATCGGGTGTAAATATATTAAACTCAACGGCCCCGCCCTCCCTCTGAGCACGCACGGGAGAAATATCGATTGATGTATTTACACGGCCAGTAGAGTATAATATCCGCCGACGTAGAGCGGGTAGAGTGAACCACATGTATCCCTCTATGAAGGACTATCTACTCAAGTATTTAGATCTACTTCTACTTGCTAAACCAACGAACAAATATCTCGGTACATCCGCCCCCTCCCCCTCAAGTGCTATCAGCCCAAGTCTAACTCACTAATCAGAAAATGAAGAAAATATATACCCCACCAATCCCCGAACAAAAAAGCCCCGCAAAAAAGGTCCCCCACAAGAAGTTGCACAAAGAAAAAAGGAAAAAGAAAAAAGAGATTAAATTAAACCCCTTCTAACCCCCTATCTAATCCCACACGCATCCTCCCCTCCGCCGCCCCCGCCAACATCTCCCTCCTCACCACATCCTCCACCACCTTCCCGCGCCCCCGCCCCTACCCGCCCCCGCCCCCTCCCCCTCCCCCTCCCCGGCACCAAACACACACTCCCACACATCCGCACACCGCACCACCTCCCCGCCGCCAATCCCCTCTCCACCAGCTCCCCCACGCCCTTCTGCAGCTCCACTGAGTTCGCCACATCCAGCCTCCTCTCCCCCTGCTCCTGCTCCTCCTCAGCCGACGACGACGCCGGCGACGACCCATCACTAGCACCCCCACTACTCTCCTGGCCACTACTATCCCCCTCCTCCTCCTCCTCCTCCTGCGAAGGAGGATCCGCAGCCTGCATGAGCGCCAACCTCCGCCGCGTCGCCAGCGCCCACACATTCTCCTCGACCGTGCCGTCAACCACATACAACCACACCGTCGTCGGCCGTTTCTGCCCGATCCTGTGCACGCGCGATATCGCCTGCAGCTCCAGCGAGACGTTCAGCAACGGCTCGCAGAGGAAGACGTGGGTCGCGTTGACAAGGCTTAGCCCCGCGCTCTGCGACTTTGCGTGCAGAAGGAAGCAGTGCGTGGATGGGTCGGTCTTGAAGGTGTGGATGCCGCTGCGCCCGCGTGTGTCCCCGAGCGTGGCGAAGCCGATGTGCGAGCGGGTGAGGGCGGTCTTCATGAAGTCGAGGAAGTCGCCCCATTGCGAGAAGAGGACGGCTTTGAAGTTGGGTTCGTGCTGGCGGAGCCAGAGGAGGTGACGGATTACTGGTGGGGTGTTAGGTTCGTATTTCAACTAGAGGGAGAGGGGGGTGGGGGGTAATATACTCATATCGATCTTGGAGCCAAAATGCTGATTGATCTCGACACGCTTTATCTCACCCATGATGCGCTTATCCATGCCGGAGTAGATGCTAGCGGAGGCGGCGGCAGCAGGACCAGAGCTACTAGAAGCCGGGGCGCGCTCTTCCTGCATGGTGGCTTCCTTCGGGCGATATGATATCTGGTACATATCCTTCAAGCTCAACGTCGCCGTGCATGCCGGGCACTTGTGTGACGCCTTGTACCATTCGACCATGCACTCCTTGCAGTAGGAGTGGCCGCAGCTCGTGAGTATGCCAATCTCATACGTTTCTAGAAGAAGAAGAAAAAAGGTTAATAACTAACTAAACCACACCACACCACACTACTCTCCTAATCAACTACTTCACTTACCTTTACAGATTAGGCACTCCTGCTCCTCCTCGACGCCTTTTCCTTTCAGATGCACCAGGTAGCGCAGTTTACTCTTTGCCCTTGTGATTTTCTCGGCCAGGGCCTTCTCCTCGTTCAGCAGTTTCTGGAACAACGCATCATCGATGCGCACGCTCCTAGGGAAGAACACCTCCGGCTCAAACGGCGCCACAGTATCCGAGATCGCCTGCATCTGCGAATAGTACTCCTTCCTCGCATTCGTCACATTTCGGAAAAACTCAATCTCACTAACCAAGGGTCAATGATCAGCGCAACCAGAAAAAAGAGCAAACCGGGGACGGGGAAGACAACAGCCCAACTTACTTTGACAACTTCTTATTCACCTCCATCTGCACGCCCACAACCTCCGCCAACACCCCCATCTCCACCTCCACCAGCTCCCTCTGCATCGCCAACCTCCCACCCCCACCCCCACCCGCACCCCTAAACCCCGCCACCTTATGCCGCAGCTCCGCAATCCCCGCCTTCACACTCCGACACGCCACCTGCTCCGGTAGCCTCAGCGCCTCCCTCCGCGCCATCATCTCCGCAAAGAACGCCTGGTGTAGCCCCTTCCGCGCCAAGTCCGCCTGCACATCATGGCGGATGAGCGCGCTGCTCGCCTCGCCGGCCAGCGCCTCGGCGCGGTCCGCAAGCAGCACGCGGATCCCCGTCATGAGGCGCTCGCTGAGCTCCTGGTCGGACACGGAGACCTCGAACTCGTTGCCGCGGTCGTTGTCGTCCTCGTCCTCGTCGGTGGTGGTGTCTTCGTCGAGGATGGGCTTTGCGAGGAGCTCGAGCAGCTGCGCGCGCCATTGAGTAATGAGGTCGGCCTGTGCGTTGAGCGTGGTGGCGATGTCGACCATGTCGTAGAGGAGGGTCTGCGTTTCGATGCCGCAGTTGGTGTTGATGGCGGGGATGGCGGGGATGGCGGCGAAGCGGTTGGTGGTGGCGCGGGTGCGGAGGGTGTTGAGAAACTTGAGGGCTCGACTGCGTGTCTCGTGCATCATCTAGGAGAGAGTGTATCAATATATATATTAAGGTAGGATCTGAAGGGAGGGCTCACTTCTTTACGGACAAGTTTGGCAGCGTCATAGTGCTCCTTCTCCTTTTGGCGGAGCTGGGCGATTTCCTCGCTCTCGGGGTCTACTTCCTCCTTCTTCTCCTTAAGCTGGAACCATGCAGTCCCAACCCAGAAGAGACAGGCGTGCTCGAGCTCCAAGATATTCCGAAGCCGGTTCCGCAGCGTCCCATGGCGGCTTGTATCAGCCCTGCCATCATGCTCCACCGTCTCTTCATTCTCCTCCTCCTCACGCCATTCCACAGGCTCCTCTATAGCCTCCTGCATCTTCGTCTTTGGCTCCGCCTCCAACGCCGCTCTACACTCCCCCACCACCTCCCTCACCTCCGCCAACACACCCATCCACACGTGCAGCGCAGCGTTAAAGTCCTTCTGTATCTCACGCAGCTGCCCTCTGCGGATCTTCGACTCAAACAGCGCCCTCTCGTCGTTCCTGACCGCAACCGAATGCGCATCCGCCATAAGGTCCAACACTTCATCCACCGTCCTCAGCGGCGCCCTCGCCCCGCCAAACGTCTTCCTGTTCCTCTCGCCCGCCTGCGGGTGCAAACACGTCTGCCGCAGCCTCGTCAACCACACCCGCAGCCTCTCCACAACCTCCGGCAACAACTCCCCATCGCCGTCGTCCCTCCTCCTCCCGCCCTCGCCCTCCTCGGTGAGGCGGCACTCGTCGCACATCTGCTGGAATAAGTGACGGTAGTTCTGCTCCTCGATCGCGCTGAACGGAACACGCACCACGACCCGCTTCTGCAGCGGCAGCCGGATCTCGTCGCCCACCATGTCCTTCGTATGCCGCAGCGCAATCTCCCCCACCACCGCGCCAAACGCAGCATGGTTGTACCTTGCCAGCGTCGCGAACAGCGCCGCCCCCCCGCCGCGCTCATCAAACGGCGCATACCGCAGGAACCGCAGCAGCCCGTGCAGGTCATTGATATCCCTCCTGATCGGCGTCCCAGACACGGCCCACGCATTGACACGGGGTATCTGCCGCGCCACGACGGCCGCATTGCTAAGCCCGCCATCAATCATCTGGGCCTCATCCACGCAGACGCGCCACCAGGTCAGCTCGCCGAGGGGGCTTCGCCGCGCCTCGTAGCGCTTCGTCTTCATGAGCCGCTGCGACCAGTCCTTCCCCGCGAGATAGTGCAGCTCGTGCGACAGCGCCGCATACGTCGTCAGCACCACGTCCGCCGCGCGGAACAGCTCCACGACCTCGTCGGTGCTGGCGCACAGCTGCTGCTTCAGACCGCGGTAGTGGCACACGCGCACACTCGGCGCGTGCGCGGCGATCTCGGCCTTCCACTGCTCGAGGATGCTCGGCGGCGTGATGATGAGTGTTGCGGCGATGTTGCGGCGGTCGGCCGCCAGCGCCGCGGCTGGCATGGCGTGGTGCGACAGCAGCGCTATCATCTCGACTGTCTTGCCGAGCCCCATCTCTTCCGCTAGCAGGCCGCCACGCGGTAGCTCTGCTGCTCGCCAGAGTGCCGGCAGGTCTTTACTGACGATGCCGTACACGTGCGATACATAGCACTCGCCGCCCTCTGCGTCTCGCTCGCAGAAAAACGTCGGTGGGGGCCCGTCTTTCTCCGCCGGAATAGCGGCGGCGGTGGCGGTAGGGGGGGCACCTTCACGGTCCAGCATCCACTGGACTGTGCGGCGCTGGTACGGCAGCAGCGTACACTCCAGTACCGGGTGCTGCACCGAGTCCGGCACCACCAGCGTGCGCGCGGGTGTGTGGCAGGCGGCATAAAAGTCCTTCGGCGTGACCGCGCGCGCGCCCTTGACGACCGGTGCGTGCGCCGGGAATGCGTCTGCGAGCAGGCGCCACCAGGGGTCGGTGCTTGCCAGGGCGATGGTCGAGGATGTGGGGGCGTTGTGGCAGCGGGCGGTGAGGGTTAGGGTTAGTGATATAGTTGCGGGCGCGGGGAAGAAGGTGAGGATGCAGGAGCTGCTGAAGGGGCGGGGAGTGGTGGGGGTCTTGGTGGGTGGGAAGTGGGTGGTGATTGTGGATGCCCAGGTTATGTCGCGCGGGAGGGTGGCGGGGAGGGTGCTTGGGTCGAGACTGGGTGGTGGTTAGTAGATGGTTCAGATGGTGATGTATATATAATTTGTAGAGATGGGCAGTTACTTTAGAGCTATAAGCTCCCCCCATTGTTAGCAGAGGAGAGAATCAACCGTCCAGTCCGCGCACTCCCGGTATCTATATCCGCATCCATATCGACATCCTCCCCCCATCGAGCACCCGCAGATCAACAACAACCGGGACCTCAGAGCCCGCATAAATCCCTAGGACCCCAGCCTGCTCGGCGGGGTTCACAGTCTAAATTTTGTTAGTAAAATCCAGCCTTTCGAGTTGTGGTGGGGGGGAAAACTCACGAAGCTGACATGGTGCCGCGCTAGAACTACATGTGCTGGCTCTCCTCCGCTACTATCGCTGTCGCTACTACCGCTATCGCCGCTACCGCCGCCGCTGATGTTGCCGCCGTTTCGTTTCTGCCGCTTTGGTCGTGGGGTGGGGATTGTAGCAGTAGTGATAGTGGTAGTGGTAGTGGTGGTGCTGGTGCTGGTGCTGGTGCTGTTGGTAGTAGTAGTAGCGGCGATTGAAGAAGCAATGTTCTCGTTCTTTATGTGTGCGATAGCTATACAGCTCCAATCAGCATCTGCAATTCGAGCTGTGTGCATGTGGGAATGAATAGTAGCTCACAGGCAGAAACACAACAGAGACTCCCGGTCGCCATTTTAGTTTTTTGGTGTGACGGTAACGGTAATAGTAGAATAAAAACAGAGGAGAAAGGAAAAGATGGAAAGAAAAGAAAAAGAGAACAGGCTGTGGGGCGGCCTTGTTACGACAGCTCGTCCGTCGGGATCCTCAAAAGCTACAAACAGCCAGGCTAGGTGTGCAGGGATGAGGCGTGGGGGTGGGGGCGGCGGTGGTGGAAAAACGATGTTCCAGATTTTACGGGTCTTGGCGTGTGGGGGAGGTGTGGAAGAGTTACACGGGAAGAGAAGAGAAAAGATGAGAAGAGAAGAGGAGAAGAGAGGAGAAGAGAGGAGAAGAGATGAGATGAGATGAGAAGAGATGAGATGAGAAGATGAGAGGGGAGGGGGGGGAATGGGGAAAGATGGAGGAGTGAAGGAGCGAGGGAGACAGCTTGGTCGGTGCTAGCCATTCTAATGAGAACGTAGACAACTCCATGACGAAGGGACGAAAGACAGTCTACAGCAACAAAGGCAACACCTCAACCGTGGGCACCGTTACTTCGACTTACCCCCGTAGAGAAATGCTGAGCACGGGCACAACACGCCACTGCCAGCAGGGGTCTCAATGGGCCAGTCAGTAGAGTACATGTACATGTAGCTAAACCTTAATTCTCCACCTGTAGCCGACCGAGTGACCAGCGATGAGCAGCCCTCCTCCCGGCCCGTCCAATTGGTCGTTTATGTAGCCATACTGGGACCCTACTCCACTACTACGCCGCTACACTACATGTACAGACAGGATCCCCACCCACTACGTACATGTAGTACTACGGGTACAATTGCCACCAGTCAGTCAGAAAACCGAGTGATGTCGATGTCCATATATATATACCGGTATTGATATTTACACTTCTTAGACCACCCGCCCCACTATCATTTCTTCCCCGCCTTGAGTTTCTCCACCTCTGCCATAAGACCCTTCACCTCCTCTACACCCACCAATTAGCCCACTTTCCCCCTCCCCCCCAAAACACACACACACACACACACACACACACAAAGAAGAGAAGGATCAGAACATACCCTCCTTCCCTCGCTGCACCTCCTCCTTCTCCAGCTTCAACCATGCCCAGTAGCACGCCTGGTACGTGAAGAACGACATCAAAAACACCTTTGACAGCGGCCGCCCAAGCTCTTTGTAGAACCCAACCTACCCCACCCCCATTGTCAGCGACCCTCTCTCTCTCTCTCTACTCTCTAACCAGAATGGTGGGGGGGGGGGGGGAACATACATGCTTCGACACCTTCTTCTGCTGCTGTGGCGCGGGCTGCGGGGGCGCCATCTCCGCCATTCCCCTCCTCTGCCCACCGGCGCGGAGTAGGCCTGGTAGTAGTGCTCGTGCTGCTCGTGCGCTCATCGTCGCTCCAATAAATCCCACGTTTCAATTGACGACGTTGCAGGAACCGTCGAGCAGGGTTTGTTAATTACCACCTCTAGTAGATGAGGCTTGGCAATGACTACCAGCCAGGTTGTGTGGGTTGTGGGTGAGTGGATGAAATGACTCGGTAAATTAAGTAACTGTAACTGTTAGGTGTCCTCCTGTCAGACTGCGACCCCTAACCCCGTAACCCCGTTGGCCTTTAAATCCACGCCTGTGCCTGCTGTCCTCTAGGGACTGACGGACGGATAGAACAAACAAACGATAGACAGACAGACAAACAGATCTACTCTCAGCTACTTTGCAAACCTCTTTACACGCACGCACACTCTACAATCTACGGTCGAGACAGAACAGAAACCCACAGCAGTTTTGAAACAGAAGCAATGGTAAGTCCCCTCTAGATGATCTGCCTCCTACCACCTCTCCCGAGCTCTCCTCCCAACAGCCTCTCTCACACCCCCCCCCCCCCCCCAAGAACCTGCTCTCCCCACACCCGCAACCCCCGAAAACAAAACTATACAGCAAACTAACAAACCACAGGCGCAAACCCCCCAGCAACGCAAAGCAAACGAGCGCTTCGCCAAGCGCGAAGAGAGCAAGCGCGGCAAGCCCGACGCCGCGCTCGCAAAGCGCCACAAGTTCAAGTCGCCCGTGTCGCCCATCTGGCTGAGTACGTTCTTCTTCTTCTTCTTCTTCCCCCCGTATTGTGGGTTGTGTGTGGATTGAAGCTAATTGAGAACATGGGATGAATGTAGTCATGCTGGCGTTTGTGGTGTTTGGCGGTATCATGTTTGAGCTTATCCGGCTGTTCTTCTAGAGCTGAGCTCTGATTTAGGTGGCTACTAGGAGAGCTAGCTAGCTAGCTAGGAGAGCTGGGGAAGCTAGCTAGAGAGCTATGGGAGCTGTGTGGGGGGAGAGTAAAATGGGGGTTTTCTTTTCTTTTTTTGTTATTTTCTTTTTCTTTTCCGTTTCGTTTCGTTTCGGGGTGTTAATGTATTATTATTATACTTCTTTTCTTACTACTGCTGCTATGAGTGAGAAAATCAGCTACATATCTGGTCTGCGCCGGTACTCGGGACGGCAGCCATCCCACACAAAAGAAAGAAGAGAGCTAGATGCGAATTACATGTAGATGTGTTGTGGCCTCATCAAGGGTTGTGGCCTATGTGTCCTACATCACAGTCACTCGGCCGGCCGGGCCGGGGGTGTATCATACTTTCTCACTCTCACTCCCACTCTCTGCCTACCCTTTTTTTCTTCTCTTCTTCTCTCTCATAAATATAAAAACAACGCACGCACACAATGCAAAATCCAAAAGAACAGAACAGGAAAAGAATAGAATAGCCTAGAATAGAAGAAAAAAAACATTTTTAAATATTACACTCGATACCATAATATCGGGCTCATGATCCACAATATTTATATTCTACAAAGCTCCCAGCCCCCTCTTCTTCGCGCCCTGCTCGTTCTTCATCTTCATCCCCGTCTCAAACTGCTTCTCGAGCTCCTTCTCCCTCTTTGATACAGAGTCCTTGGCTGTACTACTCGCGATTGCGGCGGTGGCGGCGGCGGCGGGGCTGGCGCCGAGCAGGCGGAGGAACTTGGACTTTCGGGCGGCGTCACCACTGAGCTCGGAGGCGTCCCAGACGGTGCTTGCGGCGGTGGTGGTGATGGGTTCGGGGGTTGAGGAGGTGGTGGGCTTCTGCTTCTTGTCGGATTTTTCCTTCTTTTCCTTTTTGTCCTTTTTATCTTTCTTTTCGGACTTGTCGGCGGACTTTTCTTTCTTGTCTTTCTTTTCTTCCTTCTCTACCTTTTCTTCCTTCTCCTTCTTATCCTTCTTCTCATTCTTGTCTTTTTTCTCCTTCTTGTCCTTCTTGTCCTTCTTCTCCTCCTTATCTTCCTTTACCGGGGTCGCCGCCTCCTTCTCTACCTTCCTGCGCTTTTCGCCGCCGTTCGAGTCCTCTTTCTCGGTCTTCCGCTTCGATTTCGACTTCTGAATCACCACAATCAGTACTCCACACACACCAACCCACCCCACCCCACCCAACTATAGTTTCACACAAACCTCTGGAGAATCCTCCTCTGACTTCTTGGCCTTCTTAGCGGCCTTCCGCTCCTCCTTTGAGAGCTTTGGCTCTGGGCTGTCGGTGGAGTCGGTGGAGTCGGTGGAGGCTGGGGATTTATCTTTCTTGTCCTTCTTGGATTTCTTGTCTTTCTTCTCTTTCTTCTCCGAGGTGCCGTTGGTCGAGGTGCCATTCGTAGCTGGTGTCTCTTCCGTCTTTAATTTCTTCGACTTCTTCGACTTCTTCTTCTCCTTCACCGGCTATACACGCACCCACACCATACTGTTAAAATCTTCGCTATCAATGATCACCATACAACAAAAAAGAACCAACCTCGACTTCCTCCTCCCTCTCCCTCTTCCTCTTCTTCTCCCGTCCCTCCGTCTCCGCCTCCTTCTTCTCCCCCGCAGCGGTGCCATTGGGCGCACTCTCCTTCCTCGCCGGTGGCCCACCGTTACCGTTCTTCAGCGCAGCCCTCCTCTGCAGCGCCGACGTCTCCACCTCCGCAGCAGCTTCAGGCTCAACAGACAGCGCGAGCCGCGGCGACGCAATCGCAATGTCGTTAGCATTATCGCCCGACTTTGCATTCCGCCCATACCCCTTCCTGCCCTTTCCGCGGGTCGTGAAGCCTCTTCCACCGCCTCTGCCGCCCCCGCCGCCGCCTCTACCGCCTCGTCGGCCTGCTGCCGGTGCGTGGTCGGCCGCACGAGAAGGCCCCGATTGCATGAGCGCCAGGCGCGCAGGGTTGATTCCTGCGAATGGGTCTTCGGGTGACATTTTGGTTTGTTAATTATGGAGGGGGTTGAATAGTAATTTTTTCTTAACGTTGCTAAGTGTGTGAACTTTTTTTTCCAGGGCCTGCAGAAACTTTTTTTGTTGCGCACAGACCAGTCGGTGCAGGAGACGGGACTTGGCGGGACAAGGGTTTTGTGTGGGTTAGGGCTCGGGACTATGGTTAGTTCGCCCGGTGTGGTTAGGACGGCGTGGTTAGGACGTGGTAAATTCTCCGATCCACCAATGGATAGCTGGACACCGTTGAACTGGCCACTCTGGAGTAAGAGTAGGGGGCTCAAAGCTCTACAGCTACTACATGTAGTAAATGTTTGGAATTCCCGTTCAATCCATTGGAGCAGTGAGTTAACCGCTGCGCTCGCACCTTTGAGGTCCTGGATAAAGCCTATCACGACACCAACAATTAACTCTTGTTTATATCTTGCGTCGTCCATGTCGATAACTCTTTCCGCCGGCTGCCAAATTCCCCCAAATCTACCCGGGGAAGATCGAAGCCATAGATACATAGTTCCTTGGTGGGCTGTAGTTTCGGGGCAGTAGCATATATCACGATCACCCAAATCTGTTTTTCCAAAAGGTCGACGGGAAAAATTTGACTGCGAGAAGGCTTCACGGGGGCTAGCTAGCAGTCTTAGTGTAAGAGCTATTTGGAGCTCTAAGGCACCCCGGGGGTGTGGGATGTGGGGTGTGGGGTATACTTGGAGATGATGATTCCAAGTATCTTAACCTCGCCTCGCTCGAACCACTCAATTCCAGTAGATACACAGGGAAAGAAAGACCGATTGGCAGCTAGAGCTGCTCCTGGGTATCTCTAGCTATAGCTATTATTAGTTTCAACAAGCATACCTTGAAAAGCCTCCAGCAGACCAGGGTGAGACTCACTCACCAGCTGCAGATAGATCTTTCCGTGTTCTGTCCCTGTGTATGGCTATCCGTCTCGCTCAAGTAATATCTCTCGCATCTCCTAGGAAGCATGGGGCATTGACCAGGGAGGCTGCAATGCGGATATCTCCGGGATCCTTCTGTTTCTTTTGAGACTTGCGGAATAGACAGGCTCGTATCAAAACCCGATAGGTATCTGTGGTCACAGCATCTCTCTGTATGTAGAGTGCTAGCTGCAGCTACTAAAGTTTAAACCCGACCGCTGATCATTGTAATTGGAGGTTACTATCGCTGGTTGGTTGGTAGGTAGGTTGTGCTTCCACGTGTCCAAAAGGGTCGCAGCAGAACACTTGATAGATGCGTATTTAGCTCGTTATCTTATCCACGAGCTAGACAGGACAGAGTGTCGTCATATACATGTATTTGGGAGACGTATTTCGGGCTCGTAATATGCTATCTACTCCAAAGGGCTATGTACGCATTTTGGGTCCGAGTGAGAATCTATGAACATGGGCTTTTGGCTCCGGATCGGTCAATCCCTATCCCTATCCCATTGGTTACAGCCGATCCCATCTTTCGCCGTGGCATGGTGGCTTCTTGGATTCGTTTTCAGAGGAACGTTAGAGAAGCGTTAGCAATGGGGCGGTTGGAAAGAAACTACACTGTAGGCGCTATGCTATAGACCCGAGTGGGTGAACACTGAACCGTCCACCCCAGTTGATCACGATAACGAGCGCGCCATACATCGGGAAGAATCTCTTCGCTCTCCTCGGCTCAAGAAGTGCATGTGCATGTGCCTCCGATTCGGGGCGGCATTACATAATTTACCACGGCGTCATGGCCGGCCATCGGAACACTTGCACCTAGAGTAGCTGCACTTGCACTTGCATTGCATTCCCCAACCCAACCCAGCCCAGCCCAGCCCAGCCCCTCACTTTTATCGCCATTGCAAACACGGCCATCTGGCCCTTCCACCATGGCCAAATATCCCTTTCGTGGTCCGGGGGGGGGGGGGGGGGCAAGATAATTTCCGAGATGTTTCAAAGGCGCAATATTGTGATGAGGAATTATTATCAACGATGATGGTAATCTCTTGTGTTGCAGCTATCACTACGACTGGTCGGGGGCTTTTGTTTACTGCTAGTTCAGGCCGGACCTGACTTCTAAGGATGCCACTAGTTTTCCTGACCTGATCTCCTGCCTGGTCCCTTTCACTTACTCGAGCTGTCCCTACAAAATAGCTACATTTATGCGTGATTTGTGGAGTTCGGACAGTCGTTCCTTGACTATCATGGCCATGAATTATCAATCAACCAATAAAATGACTGCCATCATGAAATATCACTCGCCACCATATAACCTGAATAAGCCTTGCAACCTGTGTTTTATAGGAAGCCACCCAGACAGTCTTTCTCATCTATTAAGATTAAATACAAGAGAATAAAAAACCCTAGAGCGGAAATGATATTCACAGATATTAGAAGATTCGAAAACGAAGCTTCAGCCGGCCAGAGGAACCACCATGTACCAGATAGATAATCCCCAAGATACAAATGAAACACTCGCCGGATCGGATCGTGCGTCCCGTCCATGGGGAGGTTGTTGTCGCTAGGAAGAATAAATAGCCACAAAAGAATAGAAACTGATATAAAGGAATGACCACAATTATCATCAAGCATAAATCCTGCCAGGAGCAATACATGCATCGTCATACATCATTATTTCAAAGAGGAACAAGCAGCCACTCCCTCAGTCCTCCCACTCCCAAATCATTCAACCGTAGTTTAAGATGACGATAAATAAAAAAAACCAAAAGCAGATCCGACGTGTATGACACATAAAAATATAGGCTATAATGGCACTTACCGTCTTTGAAAATGCTTGCCTGTATATAGCAAGCTTACAAGTCCTCCCGAAACCTCGAGCTGACACTGCCTTCCCCCGCAGAAAACCTCCTCTCATCATGTGGGAAGAAACCAGAAGAAGGTCTATTCGTGGGTGCGAACGTTGGAGACTGCTGTGAGAATGTGTCCCTTGCCTCGTCGGGATACTCCGAGTGATCTTCGGTGCTCGAGATCCGGCCATTGATCTTGGCAAAATCCTTGGTTTTTTTCCGAAGGAGTTTTCCTTTGCCTTTCTTGGTACCTTGATCATCGGGGGTCGCTGCGTCTCCTGTCCGTCTCCTAACCGTAAAGTGGTAACCACCCGCCCCTATACTAGATAACGAATGTCGACGCCTCACCAGAGTTTTATCACCTCCATCTGTCCTTATCGGCTGCATACCCGCTGCTGAAACTGACCGCATCCCTACAGGTCCTTGGGGTGCTCCATTCACTTTCGGTACTATAATCGATGATATACGGCGGGGGATTCTGAATGCAGATTCTGGCCGCGGACTCCTGTTGAACGCCGTTCGGTCTTCGCTGGCTTCATTGATGTGTTGCTGCTCGGAAATAGCAGCATGCCCCCACTAAAAGTAGGGTCAATCGCAGTACCACCTATCGGGGCGCTGATGGCAACAGCCTCTTTTTCATCACGACTGATTTGGCGACTTTGGCGTCTTCTAAATCTATTGAAAAGCCCTCTAATCCTCCCCTCTTTGCTGTCCGGTAAGGGTGATGTGGGGGATATGGGACTACCATCACCTAGTCCACCCAAATCCCCACCACCTCTGCTGTCGATCTTTGAAGGCTGTCTCCGTCCCTTTACTGCTCGCTTTTCCTCTTCTTTCCGGCGTTTCTCGTCCTCTTTTTCGATGGCTTCCTCACATATTCTCAGCAGTGGTTCTTGTGGTGAGGGTACAATCTTGTCCTCTAGGGGTAGAGTTAAGGGGAAATATAAACTTTAAAACACACCTCTAGCCCTCCGGATATCCTCACGTGTCTCCCTTTCTCTTGCTTGATGTAGGGCTTGCACCCGTCTTGATTCTCCAATATCCAAATGTTCCTCTAATTCTCTAGCTCTTTCAGAATCTATCCTAGCCCTCTCTGCGTTTGCCCTTCTATTAATATTTTCCAACAACGGCTGTACATTTCTTTGTGCAATTGCATCGATTTCCTCCGGCGCCATATATGCGCCGCCTCCGATGCTGATCTTCCCATGGTTCTCTGTACGTTTTTCAGACTCCGCCTGTGCAATTTGAGTGGCCCTGGGTTCCCAATCTTCACGTCTCGCGAGCCCCCGAGAATCTGCGACTTGCTTATCTATTCCCGACAGCTTGGCTTGAACGTTTCGCTGAGCAGCAGACATGAGTAAGAAAGCGTTCTCACCACGCTTTTTTGCATCAGCCCGCGCTATGTCCCCACGAAGAAGTGCCATATCTGCTTCGGTATTACGAGCTTGGCCAATATCACTCGATCCTGCGTTGGGGACAGTATGAGAGCGGTTGATCGAAGTCTGAGCAGCTTGAGCCCCGAGAGGAGAAGCTGAGAGTGTACGATCAGTATCGTAGCCTATCTTTGCTAAACGCTCAGCTGCAACTTTGCGAGCGGCCTCTTGGATATTTGAATTAAATCGCCTCGATGGCGGGGTTGTCGCAGGGACAGATTGCGCTGAATGGTCATGTCTTGGTACATCAGGTAAGGTGGTACGGCGGCTACTTTTAGACATTGAAATTGTGGCTGCACGGAGTACGTCCGACTTGCGCTTATCCTGCTGTGGAACCCTGCCCGCGTTGAGCACCTTGCTTTCTGCGACGTACTCCGAAGTCGGGTCTGCTCCTGTGGCGACAGAGAGACGCCGAGTAGGTGGCATGTGAGCAATAGTTGCAGCTGTCAAAGCGCTATTTCCCGCGCTGGCCGCTTCGGTTTCCTGACGAATAGTCAAAGGCATCGGAGAAGATCCGGAGCGCCGTCTTTTTTCCTTTGAGCTTTGCATCGCTCCTATGGCGCCAGACAACGACCAACGCTTGAATGACTCAGGCATTGTATATGGCTGCGGGAAAGAAGGGTCTTCAAGGGCGTGGAGAGCAGCTTTCCCCGCAGGTTCACTCGGGGCAGGTTCCCAAATGTTCACGGACTTTGGGTTGCTGTGTGCAAGGGAAGCGGCGGCTCCAGCGGCGGCAATAGAGTTTGGTCTCCAGATTTCCACCGGTCTATGATCACGGTGAGCCAATAACGCCGCCGAAGCTCCAGCAGCCTCAGGATGTAGCAATCCTATGGTAGGATAGCTTGGCAACTCGTGAGCTTCCGCTGTGCGAAGATAGTGAGCAGCTGTTACAAGAGGAGAAGGTTGTTAGTAAAGATTACCAAAAATCCCTTCCGTGTAGTGATGTGAAGGGTAAAAGAAAGAGAAATAAACCGGAGTTGTGATTTATCTTTCAAGGAGGACAAGTGGGTAACCCCTTTCCAGGAGAATTACCGTAAAGTTCGGTAGTGGCAAAAAACTTTGTACCACGCTGCAATTCGTTGTTATTATCGGTCTGAGTTGATACAGTCTGCATAGTCATATCTCGGGGTCCGGTCATTCTTGCAGGAGTGTTTAAGGCCGAGCTAACGTCAGTCACGGCGGTTGCATTATTCAAAATCACCCCCTGTGAACCGTTTTTCGATAAAGATGTGCCCAATTCATCTTTATTGGGTGCAGTAGAAATAGCCGTATGTGGGGATGTGGAAGTTGCAGGTGGGGTTGGGGTTGCAGTTGTGTCAGACTGGCTAGGGATATGAGTATGAGAAGTGTGGCCGTTTGTCAACGGCAGCAGCATATTAGAAATGGGAGCCAGGGGGTGCAATAATGTTGCCATGATGGCTCTAATTTTGTCAACTTGGAATAGATATTGGTACTGGTGTAACGATCAAGTCAGACAAATGATATAAATTGAGCTGGCTGCGGGGAATTACAGATCAATATGTGGAGTACAGGGTATAAAATAGCACAGACTGCAGGGGAATAGAGGCGGGATGCCGTCAGTGCACCGTTGAAGTCGAAGTGAAAGATCACCAGCAGGGAACTATGGTCATAAAGCTGCTCGCTAAGTTACCGATAACATAAGTAATGGACAGTTGGGCTCGGCGTCTGGAGATGTTCCGATTATTGGAGGAATGACTTGTTTGGCAGGGGAGGACGGTGTATCTGACTTATCGGGAGGCACTACTGTTTTCAGTGGTTTATCACAGGCCTGAAGGCTTAAAAGTGTGACATTTACTCGTGATGTCATCCGTTTACTGTCTGTCACAGTACCGTCATCGTTTACCATACCCCAATGTACTCTACACAGAGGTAACACTCAATGTCATGCCCCCGAGTAAGTAATGGCTGCAATTACCTGGTACCGGCTCTACGTATTACTTGTTTTTGAAAACCCTTACTGCAGCTGTGGACGCATGCCCGGTAATGCAATTCCCAAGATCGAAGCCGGTAATTGGCATGCATTTCTATCACAAAACCCATTTGTCTGCTCAAATATAGATTCATAACGGTGTTACCTGTACCTACAGCAGCATGTAGAGCCTTTCCAGACTCGTATGCTGTAATAGTTGACTGGTCCATACGGTCCTAGGATCCTACATGCTCACCAACATAAACGTTATCGCCTACCAGCATGGCCATTAATTAATCTGGTGATTTATTACAGCGCCAGTCCGAGATGTTCTTAGTGGACGGCATTCACTGTCCGTTCATAGGGTGCGAGGCGAAGAGCTGCCCAAAGCTTGGAAAGCGGTTGGCCCGATGTCAGGTTGCGTCAGAACCGGGGGGCATCTTGGCCATCAACCGTGAAGCGAAACTTTCCTATGACGTCCGGAAACTTGAAAGTTTATCGGGACTGCCTGTCTACCGATTGGTGCCTAAAAGCCGTTGAGATTCATGGGTATGATAACGAAGCTTAACGACGATAAGTGACTTGTCCATCCTTTTGACAGCTTCAAAGTCTCTATTTTCATCGATAGACGGAAGGGGTGGCCGCTGCGGGGAGTGTTGTCTGACAAGGGAGGGGCAGAGGGTCGACCAGGGATTCTTTATGAACTCGAACCGTCTCGAATCACGGATCAATTCAAATGTTGTTGATATCAGCTTAACCGCTAACCCTACAACGCCCTGTTACTTGCTCTGAAAATTCTTGGGACGGCAAAATGACCTTTTCAATTGGTAGACAACAAAACATTCGAGTGAATTTCTTGCATGAACCCTAGTACAAATTCGCAGCTGGGAATAGGGTTCTTCAGTAGTACCTTCTACTTAGGTAAGTACTTTTCTGAGGCCTTTTCACGCCAACCACTAGCCACTTACAATAAGCATAGTTGCACAGCTAGCCAGCTGATTAAGACTCATGATTAGAGGATTAGAGGGAAACAAACTCGTTCCTCTATCAAGCTTGTTTCACGGCAAATATACTGGAACATGTGCTAGGATTAACGGCATGATGGATAAGAGCCTACAAGCTTTAATACCTCTCCCCACTACCATTTTTCACCCCTCATTCTCCCCTTCTAGCAGAGCGGGACCTCTGACAGGTTGTTCCGAGTGCCCAGAGACTCAGGTTCAGAACAATAATTAGCAGGGATCACTGACACGGTAGTACTATTTGGCTCTGTTGGCATGGTAAAGTAAGCAAGCATGCCACCATAACCGGCAATGAACGCCAGACTACAGAGGTTACGTCAAGCCTCCCCCGCCCGGAATCCCAGAGTTGCAAACAAAGTAATTTTCCCAGAGATTTCAAAGCCAATATATAAACTTTTTACGCCCCTGTCTGTTGAGAAAAATTTACTCTCATCTTATTTCTCTGAGGTTCTTTCAGCCTTGGTGTTGGCATCTTGGTCTTCTCTAGCTTATTTCTATCTCACCCGCGTCTCCCCTCTTTCAGAATTACATTCCCCATCTCTCATTTAATCGTCTTCTCTTCCACTCTTCCGAAATTCTCCCAAACTTTATTCGTTCCCGCCGATTTGTTACACTCTGTCGTCGATATTCGAACATCTCCGGGGACGATATATGGGAAATTGATATTCCCTGCGGCTTAAACACTGGCAACTCTAAACCTTTGTTCGACTACATCCACCTACGTATCACTACTAAGTTTGGCACAACCGGCCATCCCTTGGCCCGCTAACAGTTCCGAGAGCAATCATGACTACCTTTGTGGCTTCTTTGTAAGCTCTCCCATGTTATAGACGTGTTTTTCTGAAGGATATATGTTGTTCCGCATTACCCTGCTGTTCAATGATCTCGCATCGAATTTCCGTGCCTGCATTAAATTAAATTGCATACATTTCTCGGAGTCTATATTTCGCGCAGATCATGCAGAGTTGCTAATACAACCGCTGTTCTTCATCCAGACATCTTCCATACACCGTCCAGTTTGACAATGAGCCTGACGCCCTCAATTACAAGTCTCCATTTGGATCTCCCCAGCAAGCTCGGGAAAGGCCTTCGGATTCGGCAGCTCCCAAGAGCCCTCCCCGCATGAAACTTTCAACAGTCCGCGTGGATCCACCCAGATTTGAGACGCCAGCTCTGATCCCCAATCTTTTGCAAACTCTTGGACGATCCCTGACTTCCACGAACGAGCCTACCCCTCCATTGACTCCAACTGCTGCTGGAAGTCCTACAAGTGAAGAACTTTTCTTCAAGCTTGCCCATTCTGAGAATGCTCCTCTGGGCTCCCCCAGCGAGCCTTCCTTTACGAGAAAACTAAACCAGCCTAAATCTCGTCCACGAAGCCCCCAGGCCCCGCTGAAATAAGTGAAGATGCCCAGGGTCCAGGTGACGGATACTTTGCTCTCCCACCAGCACCTACGCGACACCGCGAGAAACGCCGTTCATCGGCCTCGGAAAGACCATTTAAGGGCAAAACTTGGCACATAGAGAGGACAGATCAAGGAAATGGGGGATTGAAAAACGCGGTCGAAGCTGCAATTGCCGATGGAACTTTACATGACAAGACCTGGGTAGGAACTTTGGGTTTCCCTACTGACAGTCTTGATGAGAGTGTCAAAGTTGCAATCGAGGGGCGTCTTCGGGAAGATTGTGACTCAATTGTAGCTTTCCCCAGCGACAAAGATTTTGATGGCCACTACAACCATTATTGCAAGGAAATTCTTTGGCCGGTTTTCCATTACCAAATCCCCGACCACCCCAAGAGCAAGTAAGTACCCGCATATATAGTTCCACAAGCCAGTCCACAGATACTAATATAATATTTAAGGGCTTTCCTGGATCACTCGTGGAAGTATTTCGAGGCAGTTAACCGTTCCGTCGCCGATGTCATTATCAAAGACTACAAACGTGGTGACACTGTCTGGGTACATGATTATCATCTTCTCTTGGTTCCCATGATGGTGCGCGAGGCGCTTGGCCCCGACGCTAAAATCGGATTTTTCCTTCACGTGGCTTTCCCATCATCCGAGATCTTCCGTTGCCTGGCCCATCGCAAGCAACTTCTGGAGGGAATGCTTGGTTCGACCCTTATAGGGTTTCAAACGGAGGAATACGCGCGCCATTTCTTACAGACTTGCAGCAGGCTTCTATGCTTGGAGGCCAGAAACGACGGTGTTCAGTTGGACAACAGGTTCATTACAATATCCATCTCACCAATCGGTATTGATCCAATCCAACTGGACCAGAAGCGGAAGGAGGAGAAAGTAACAGAGTGGCTGGAAGCACTCAAGACGAGATATGCTGGCAAGAAGCTTTTTGTTGCCAGAGACAAGGTACGTCCTTTCCTATATATATATAATTTTAGCTCTTAAAACACCATTGATTTTGACTTTATTGTAGTTGGATGGTGTCAGAGGAGTTAGGCAAAAGCTGTTGGCGTTCGAGTTGTTCCTCAAGAAACACCCAGAGTGGGTTGGAAACGTTGTGTTGATCCAGGTCGCCCTGACAACAACCTCGATTGTGGAACTTCAGTCCACTGTCATCGACATCGTCACCCGTATTAACTGCGCATATGCAACCCTTGACTACCAGCCCGTTGTGTACTTGCATCAAGACATCAGTTACTACCAGTATCTCGCTCTTCTTACCATCGCAGATGCACTTGTTGTTACTAGTCTCCGTGATGGTATGAATCTCACAAGCCATGAGTACGTTTACTGTCAGGATCAAACTCATGGCCCACTTATTCTCAGTGAATTCACTGGGAGCGCTTCCATCTTCAACGGCGCCGAGATATCTGTGAATCCATGGGACCACAGCAGGTGTGCATCGGCTTTGTACCAAGCCCTTACCATGGATCCGGCTGAGAAAAAGCAGCGTTGGGATAAGCTCTACAGTGCCGTAATGCATCACACTGCATCTTATTGGCTGAGAACGTTTTTGGATGAGCTGGAACGTGCATGGGTCGAACAGCAACGTTGTGGATCAACCACAATTCCGCGGTTGTCAACAAAGTCTCTTGTGGATGCCTACGAGAATTCAAATAAGAGGGTATTCTTATTGGATTACGAGGGAACGTTGGCATCTTGGGGATCCCCAACAAGTATTATTCTCACGAGTCCTCAACGTACCCTTGATGTGTTGCACGACTTATTACTGGATGAGAGGAATATCGTTTATATTATGAGCTCCAGAACCCCAGAGGTCTGCATCTTCAATAAAACTTGATGCATGTAAAATCTAACAAGTGGTGTAGGAACTTGAGCGCCTCTTCCACCGAGTCCCAGACATTGGCCTCATTGCCGAAAGCGGCTGCTTCATGCGCAAGTTTAAGAGCGGTCAGTGGACTCGTATTGCTGACGAGCAGCTCCCATGGAAAAAGTCAGTCAGGGAAATCCTCGAATACTACGTCGAGCGTACACCTGGTACATTTGTTGAAGAGCGTAACTGCTCATTTATTTGGCATTATGAAAAATCCGAAGATTCAACGCTTGCTGCCCGCCAGGCAGGAGAATGCTGCAATCACGTCAATGATTCTTGCGAATCCTATCGTGTTCATGCTGTTCCCCTAGGCGGTACTGTTTTGGTAGAATCTAGGGACTGGACTAAAGCTACGGCGGCAAAAACCGTCTTAGAACTTACGGCTGAGGGTGGTTCTGCGGTGGACTTTTTGATGGTTGTCGGAGACGGACGTGATGATGAGCCAGTTTTTAGCTGGGCTAACGATCTGGCGACTGACGGGGAGGTTAAGAGCGTTACCACTGTAAAAGTGGGGACAAAAAATACGCAAGCCAACGCAACGATCACAGGTGTCGCAGGTGGGTTACTCTTTTTTTTCCCTCAACACTTTCCCTTTTCTGTTTGGCGACTATCCTTTCCTCTATTGGCGATTGCTGCATGAAGATGTAAAGAGGTCCGTGGTTACTTGATTGGCTAACGATTACTCGTACTACAGGTGTAATTGCTGCCTTGCAGAAGCTGGCTACCATCATCCCGAACTAGCCTACACATAATGGAATGGAGGTTTAGGCAATTCCGGACAAATCGGCGTCATATCGGATTTATCTTTTTACTTTTATGTTTCCCTTTTTTTTTCAGTTACATAGTTATGGTCTGTTTTGTTTTTGTTACAATTTAGGGACTTGCTTTGTTTCATCTTTTCTGTTGTGAGTAACATTAGTATTTGTTCGAACGGATGTATTATTTCCGCAGTGCCTAGCGAAGTCTTTTTTTTTTTCTTTCTCCCTCATTTGAATCATCACCATTCGTCTTCGGCTTGGCAATTGGCCATCTCCATTAAAACCCTTTTGGTTGATCGAGACATTTTTTCTTTTATGATAGCGTCTGTTTCCTACATACCATCGTTCCTGTCTTTAGCGAATGTGCTTGTGCTTTTTTGTTCAGTTTGGTAGAAATCTCGGGAGTTGGCTAAAGACGACAAAACGTGGCTTTTTGATTTTGGTTTTGTGAATTTTATTTATCTAGGTATTTGTGGATTCTCTTAATCCACATGGGTTTGCTGCCGTTTTCGGGAGTAAAGATTATACATAAGCTGGGGTGGAAATCTATAGATGAAGATTTAAGTACCGTATCGTAACTGACATATGCGGGGAATAAGGAATCTTCTATAGGTACTCCGCAGATGAGGAGGCAAGGAGGGGTAAACGAAAGATATGGTATCAGTTCTAGTATCTAATCTACCCCTCTCTATTCATAGAACGTTTATGCGATAAATGAAAAGAAACGAAACCCAAACAAAACAAAACAAAAAACAAGGGTGGTGAACCCTCTTTGCCATGAAAAAAGAGAAACGTAATTCCCACTGAATCTGATATCGGAACCCGCCAAGAAGGCGTGAAGTGATGTGACCCGACGGCGCGCACGGATCTGGTGTTGACCATTCCTTAACACTCTACGTACGAGTCTCTCTACACTCCACATAGCCGGTTAGATTATACCTCCGGCTTGGCCAGATCAGCGAAGAGGAGTAGGTACGCGGACCTTTCTTCTAAGAGGGCTGGCCGGCCTGTCATGAATCATGACTCTTGAACGGTGATTGCGTGCTTTGAAGTCTTTGGCTCAATATGTGAGTTTCCTTTCTGTATGATGGATATACCGACTGCTTGCGGTGCTGGTGGATAAGAGACTCGCTCGCTAAGGACCACACACCCAACAGTCATTAATGTACATGTATGTATTCTGGTTAAACTTACCTGGTAGAAGGTTATGTACATGTATCAATCGTGCCTACACGCAGAGTGCTCTCTGCCTATCCCAATCTCTCGAACTTGAGGTTGCATCTCGGTACGGAACTACCCACCACCCTCCTGGTACGTGCAGCGAGTGATTCTTGATGACGCACTCACACTACGGCAATAGTACCCGTCGTCCGAATCCGATTAGTTAGTAGCTAGCCCAGCGGTTAGCTCCGCCCATGTACGCTACGATACATGTACTTTTTACTTTACCATGCGTATGCTTTCCGGGATAAAACTCTAAAGCGTAGAAAAAGTATTAAGTTGTTGTCTTTGTTCTCTGGACCAACCGGAGCGAGTCGAGCTCCGGGGTCGAGCTCTGATTCGCTCTCGAATGTTACTCTACGAGGAAGAACCTTATGCAGATGTTTAAACTCTTTTTAGGGATTGGTCGACACTGATGAGGTGGCTTTAATAGCGAGAACCCCAAATACACCCGGTATTGATGGTTTAGGAAGGTTTCCAGAGTACCGGTTCTGCTCTGTAAACTCAATAAACAAAGCGTGCAAGCCTAGCCTAACCGCCATCATCATAAGATACCTACAGTATCGATCGTACCATGCCAGACTCTGCTGTGGTTCAAATGCCATTTCATTCCAGCTGACAAATGGCCGCAAAGGAACATGCATTCAAGAGGTTGGAGGAAGGCTAACGAACCCGCCCTCCGAGTTCAAAATGCCAGATCATTTCCCAGCAGGGTGGCAGCACGATCGAGATAACGCAGAAAAAAGCAAGCAAGGCGTAAAAAAAAAGGCCAAGGCTCGCTGTCATAACGGGGGTTAACTTAGGCTCCACCCTGAATTATGTATGGGTTATTTACTCTACCCGGTCAGTTGGAGGCAGGTAGCGAGGTAGGGGCGAGATCTTTATCTAGATACAAGACACAGCCAAGACGGTAGATGGAAGGTACTGGAACGTTTTTTTGGTGCTGCTCTATCATCTATCTTTCTATCTTTGTACAGCCTACCAGCACCTTTCTCAAGGGAAGCTTGGGTTCGTCGTCAATCGACCTAATCGTCAATCGGGTTTAATCTATTGGGTTTGTTTTGAAATGCTTTCTTTTCATTTGTGCTACCTACTCTAGGTTGGGTCGTGTTCGATCCCTGTTTTTTGTTTGTTTGATGGAACGGAGGGAAAGGCAGTCGTTTTGTTTGGTAGGGTGTTGATTGGGGCACGCATGTGAGGTGGGTGTGCGTTCAACGGCGGCGATGATCAGTGATTCACTCTACATGATACATACAGGTCGGTAGACTAGCCTTTCCCTCTAAGGCGGAGGAGTAAGTCAGAACCAGGGGGCTGGCTGGTGATAGAGTCAAGCGGCACAAGAATTAACAATAATGGGGTCCAGTCTTTTTCTCTTCTCTCCTTCTTTGCTAGTACATCATGTATCATAGGTAACAGATGTGCACGTAGAGGGTTTTTGCTAGATATTCTACCTCCCTCCGCTATCTATGAAATCACCTGAGAAGCTACTGTACGTACGTGCCAATATGTCTGCCACTTCACCGTAGGCATTGTAGGTTGGGTTTAGTATGGAATGTGTTGTAGGACTTCTGAAGCAGACCAAAGACAAAGAAATGTCGTTAGTGGAGATCAGGGACCATGGTTGCTAATCGCACAGCACGCTTGAGGAGGTGATGTCCGATGTCGATGTAGTGTATGTAAGTAGGTATTTTTTTTTCTTTCCCAATTGTGAGCAGTAGTTACCGGTCGTCCGTGGTACAGACATACTGCGGTTTGGCGGTTGATTATATTTATTTCTTTTTGTTACTGGAGAGAGAGGGAAAGAGGCCAAGCCAGCAGCCGTCGGCACGAAGCTTTATGCCCAGAATCGATTATTTACACTTTTCAGTTTTCCTTTCTTTTTCCCTTTCTCTCGGAAGCTACTGTCTTCAATCGGATCCGAAGGAGAGGATCAGAGACGGGCCAGACACTGGGCTGCCTGGCAGCTCAATTTGATAGGAGGAAACGGTGGAAGGAAGAAAGAAGGGGGAAGGCAGGGAAAGTCAGACAGATTCATCGTCGTCGTTGTGGGGGGTGGAGTGGATGGATGGATGGTTGCTTGGTTCGTTGGACACCTTTCTTTAGCACCGTGTTTTTGGCCCGACTTGGTCTGGTGGCAAAGGCAAAACGCGTTGCGACTGAAAGGAAAGTGCGGGGAAAACTGTAATTGTGGGGTCTAGCAGGCAGGCAAGCAGGCAGGCAGGTGATGGTGCAGCACTAGTGTCTTGAGGTACAGGTACAATGCACGTCTGTTGAAAATAGGTGAGCACAGCACCAAAGCAGCGTGCCCTTATCTTCGAGTATGTACTGATACTTTACGATATTGTATCTCCTTTTCTTGAAGGGTAACAATTTTGTGTGCTACATGGAGTGCTGGAATATGTGCAATGTATGTAATGTACGGTACTCTAATTGTAGTCTGACTGCAGCATTGATTTGATTGACTGGAAGCTACATGTAGGCTCTGCCTCCTTTATCCCCCCCGGCCTCCTCTCTCAATTGCTAATACATTGCGTTCATTATCGCTTGAACTTTCCATTATCTTGTGGTAAATCTGTTCTTTTGCTGCTAAAACGGTGATCCAGACTCGCTTTATCGTACAGTTACAATGAGGGTTCGGTAGATATCATAGACGCAAAAAGCCACCGCCCGCAATATGTAAACCCACACACCTCTTTTCTTTTTGAATTACTCGTGGTACAGGTAGCTCAAGTGCAAGTCAGTTCTAGTCGTGGAGTAGTCTGGAGGCAAGCAATTGGGCCGTTGACCCTTCCCCTTCTTAGACTGTAGATTGTTGATCATCACCCTCAATTGAAACGCCGTCATGCCCACCACGATCGAAGGTCTACCTACCCTTACCGTACTCTGGTTATCCTTAGCTCTTTCACGATAGATAGCTGGACAATTGGGGGTGTCGTAAGGCTCTACTACTCAAGTTAGTAGGTGAGGTGTGTTATCATACGTCGTGCCAATCTTGCCCTTCCACCCACCCCCCCCCCTCTGTGGGTTTTGATATGGGGTACAAAAACCCCCTTCCGTCCCCCGCTTGAGATCCTCACTCGTCACCAGTCATTCGGACACATCTGCTGTATAATCGAACCTCGACAGTTCTGCATACCCACTGAAAGCGCCTACGTACATTAAATCCTTCACGCATTACATACCAACCGGGCCCACCTACTCACTCACCTACCTGTCTAAGCACAAAGGACACACCCCCTCGATCAACCCCCCAATCATACCATTATCGTTCGAGTAGACGGATAGTCGATCCCCGATTTGAATTCAGCTTGCTTTTTTCCCGAATCCCGACTTTCAATCTTTTGGCTAGAAATCAACTTTCTATAAATCCGTCCTGCCACCTCACCTAGTTTCGAGCAAGCAAACAAGAAAGAAAGGAAGATAATAAAAAAACAATTACAATCTCACTCAATAACCTACCGTCTAAGAAACCTTTAACCCGTATCACTTATTCTTTATAATCATAATGTCTGCACCCCACGCCAACGACCAGCCCACCGAGCAGCAGCCCCGCCGTGGCAGCCTTTCCCGCGGTCTGACGGACTTATTCTCGTCCAGCCGTAGCACCACAGCCGCAGCCTACCCAGGGCCCATTTCGTCCGCGGCCAATAGCCGTCGCCGTATGAGTATTTCCTCAGGCATCACTGGAACATCTCCGCCACGGATCCAGGCACAGATGCCCATTCGCCGGGGCTCAATTGCATCGGTATCTTCTGCGGCGTCATCGGTGGTCGACGAGAACGCCGTGGAGGACGATGAGGGCCCGACCCAGCCGTTTGCGAGGAGGTTGAGCTTTGGGGCAAGAGCGTTGAGGGATATCAGGATTCCAGGAGGGAGGGTGCCAACTGGTGCTGCTTCCCCGACGGTTGCAAGAGGTTAGTTGATCAATTCCCGTGGTTGCGTTTATGGTTGCATTTATGGTTGCGGTTATGGTTGCGGTTGTACTGACTGGTGGTGCTTCTATAGGGTTCTGGGGTGACAGCGGGAGGTCAAACTCGATCAGCCAGGGAGATGAGGCGGGCCAGCAGCGTAGACAGTCTATCGCTACCATGCCCGAGCCAGTAAATACTATGCCGAAGCGGAGCAATACCGTGGATCCGATGCAGGAACGCATGCTCAAGGGAGATTTCTATTTCGATTAAATACTCCTATCGAACAGAGACGACCCGACCCGGAGAAGAAGAGGAAGATACAAAACACCACCGTCGCTTTCGAACCTCGTGCTGGACCCGAACGTTACGAACAATCAAGTCGGTTTTTATATATATAAAAAATGGAAAACAAAAAACAGCAACTCAAAAAAATTTATGACGATGTGTACGAATAGTTTTTGACGATAGTGGAATACGTTCCTTAAGACCAATACTTATGGCCCTGGACGATAACGATGATATGTAACAGTAGCTAGCTAGTGATAACGGAGTTCTTGGGGTGGGGAGCTGGTGGGGGAAATTAGGAAATATGATTTGATTCGCTTTTGGTGCTTACTATTATTCTTTGCTTGCTTGGTTGGGTCTGAGCATGATAACTCATGATTGGTGCAGTTACAATTTTGTAGTTAAATTTGTTTTTTGGCAAGGATTTTTATTTTGCATGAAATTTCACGGAGCGGAAGCGGCACACACACAGAGTGGGGAGAAGGAAGGAGGGGCTGAGGAGCATGTAGAGATGACACTCGCTATCATTTCCATTGGAGTTCATTGTTTTGTTTGCGGTTTCACATCCGGTGGTTTAACTGTTTCCCTTCCCGCTTTTTCGATTCGAGCTGGAATGGCTCTTTTTTGTATGCATTTCCTCTACTGCAGAGTCGGATATCGATAGGACAATCTAGTCGCAGGCAGGGACATCTAATCTAAGTGCTATATCTGCTTTATTAAACTACCTGGTACCACGATCATCCAATATCCCCAGGGTGAGAAATACTCATACTCGTGTGAAGCGCCGTGTAAGAAGAGGATGGTAGGAGTTGCAACCTCCACTCTAGATAAACAAAACAGGATTTCCCTTCAAAAAGCTCCAGGCTCTCTGTACCCCGGGCACTGGAGTTTAGTGCTGGCATGCCCACGATCCTTACCAACAGTATGGCTCGAAACGATCATAAATCTCTTTTCACCGGGATTTATCTCGCGGAAGGTAATATAACCACCACCCATATTCCAAATTGCACTGCGTGACTAGAACAGATCGCTCAAGTCTCCCCTCCTCATGTGGGTTTTACTTCACGTTGCATCGCTGTTTAGGATGCGTAACAGTAGCGCCACACCGGCTGCACACAATCTCTATCTCTCTCCCTATATTTGTGGTGGTGATAATAGCAATAGTAGTGGTGACATTGATACTGGTAGAGAGGAGAGCTTCTATCTCGAGCGGCTTGAACCTGATATATTATTTCACAGCGGTGTACGTGCAAATCGAATCAGTGTACCACGTGAGCTGAGCTCGAGCCGCCGTTCCTTCCAGAACCCGCAGAAAAATAAATAACAAAAGGCCATGGCGGGACGCTGTTCGGGAAACCCAGAACCACGTGTGGGGGATTCCGGGAACCTCATCGGGCAGGACAGGGCAGGCAAAGTTGTCTCGTTTGGGGTAGGAAGGTTGTCAGGAATGCAAGTCAAAGCAAAGCAGGATCAGCTCTTACCAGCTATCTCCTCTCCACTACCTACCCTACACACTATCTACACCTAAATAATACCTGAGTTTGAAGGAGTTGAAGAGTGAGGGGAGGGGGGAAAGCGGAAAAACAACAACTTCCCTCGCTGCATTTTCGGTCCCTGCATTGCAATTTGCTGAAACTTCTGCCCTTTGCTTTATCCAGAGAGAAGAGGATGCTCATCAGCGGGAATTGGGATTGGCTGGGATGGGAGAGAATGACGTCTGGAGACGCATGATGATGGCCAAAAAAAATGGGCGAGACATCTGGGAGCGATAAAGGATTTCTAGATAGCAGCTAGGATCAGGCAAACAGTAGTTATTTTTAATTGTGAGCGTTGTTTGTGTTGAAAATATGGGAGGTGGAGGGGCAGCACCCAGCAACTTAGCAGCACAGCGACGATGTTCCTGTCGCTGCTTGGTCCTGCCGAGCCACACATCAGCATAGGACGACGACTACTCGCTCGGTCTCTGACCTGGTCCACCGCCCGCTTTTCTTTCTCTTTCCATCAATATCTGAGCGCTGGTGTCTGCGCCCTCCGCCTCCTTTCTTGCTCTCTTTCCAACTCCGTCACTTCACTGCACTACAACTCTCTCTCCCCCCCACTACAACAACAACCCACCTCTTCTTCTACTCCCCCCATCCATTCCCCATACCTTCTCCATCATCCATCACATTCTTCATCAACACCATCAACTCAACCCCCTAATCCATCCTAAATCTACCTTCCAAACCAAATTCTACTAATCCTCAATCCAAACTTCTTTTCTAGAAAACATGACTACTGAGGTGAGTTGCGGTCGTCGTTGTTGTGTACTTTGCTCGCCCTTGCATCGCAACCCCTCCTCCTCAACCCCTCCTTTCGAACTTTTGATCATCCAAAAAGATGTACCATGAACTTTGCTAATATGTGTATTTCGTTTTTTTCTTCAAACAGCGTGAGAGGTAATTTTTGACCCTGAGATATCTCCGAACCATTATCCTTCCCCTTAATCAGTCACTAAACCTCTATGCAGCAAGACTTTCCTCGCCAGGCTGTGCGAGCAGGCCGAGCGTTATGACGGTTTGTCCTCTACTTTCAGGCGTTATGAATATTCCGTTTGCTAATCGCTTGGTTCGATTGTTTTCAGAGATGGTCACCTACATGAAGGTATGCTTCCCCCTAACCCCGCTTTTGCTACATCACCTGCGAAGGCTACGATCCACAAGAGACTATATACTAACTCATTGAATTATAGGAAGTTGCCAAGGTACATAAGTATCCTCAGAACTTTGGGACCCCCTTATGAGCATATCAGATTGGTTTAATTATCAGTTCCGCGATGGTGCCCCTTTTTTTCTGTTTGGGGCAAGGACTAACACCTAGTTTTCTTAACAGCTTGGCGGTGAACTCACTGTCGATGAGCGCAACCTCCTGTCTGTTGCCTACAAGAACGTTGTCGGAACCCGACGTGCGTCCTGGAGAATTATCTCCAGCATCGAACAGAAGGAGGAGACCAAGGGCTCCGACAAGCACGTTGGAAAGATCCGTGAATACCGTCAAAAGATCGAGACAGAACTGGAGCAGGTCTGTGGCGATGTACTCAACGTTCTTGACGAGTCCTTGATCCCCAAGGCCGAGTCTGGCGAGTCAAAAGTTTTCTACCACAAGATGTATGTTCACCCCAATCCCATCACCAATCTGACAGGCCCCCTCTTTTATTTCTTGGCAATAGGAAACTAATTTTCTCTCTCAATGTGATATAGGAAGGGTGACTACCACCGTTATCTCGCCGAGTTTGCCTCTGGCGATAAGCGAAAGGAGGCTGCCCACGCTGCCCACGAGGCTTACAAGGTAACCTAATACCCCACTCCCCTCTGTGGCTGAACCCCAACATTTTTTTTGGAGCACGTGCTCACCATCCATGTTTAGAACGCCACCGACGTCGCTCAGACTGAGCTCACTCCTACCCACCCCATCCGTCTCGGTCTCGCCCTGAACTTCTCTGTCTTCTACTATGAGATCCTGAACTCGCCCGACCGTGCTTGCCATCTCGCTAAGCAGGCTTTCGATGATGCCATTGCCGAGCTCGACTCATTGAGCGAGGAGAGCTACCGGGATTCCACTCTTATCATGCAGCTCCTCCGTGACAACCTCACCCTGTGGACTTCAAGCGAGTCAGGTGACGCTGAGGACCCGGCCGCCGCCGCAAAGGAGGAGCCCAAGGCAGAGGCTAAGACCGAGGAGGCCGCCCCTGCCGCTGCTGCTGAGGAGTCTAAATAAGCTCACCAATCTTTGGCTGAGCTTTAGGTGGTTCGATTTGGTTGTTTTTAGGGCAGTTAATGCGAAAAGAATTGTGGAAGAAGTGTATTTCTTTTGCGTTTAAAGGTTCTATGCTCCATCGAAACAACAAGGAGCAAAGTTGAACGAGGGATTAGTTGGTGGGTGTCTCGTGGTTGGAAACATATAAACGGTCTGGGAAAGGATGGTTTTTGTTTTTGGTGGGAGAATCGTCCTATTTTCTTGTTTTTTTGTCGAGGGCCACAGAGAAATCCAAAGCAAAGATCCCGTTCGATCAAGCTTCTTTTAAGTGTCCGTTTTTTTGTGCTTATTTCCTGTTAGCGGAATTCCTTGCTCTTATTTCTTTTTATCTGCTACCTATCCCCTCTATTGATTCCATTCCCCAGATATCACGTTTGTCTATTTAGTACCCTTTATTAGGAAGTGTTCAATCCCAGTTCGTTCCCTCTATCTACCCTTTACACCATTAGCCAATTGTTTGCCTCGTCCTTGTTCTTGCATGATATCTACCACCGGTGCCAACCCTATTACGTGTGTGATTTTACGGATAGGAAATAGGTTTTTTTTGCCTTAGTTGTCATGGAAGGCTTTCTGCGTATAGATAGCTCTTTATTAGTTTCTCCGTGGTGAATGGATAGAAATCAAAACAGTCCTTGATCATGAATAATAATGTTTTTAATCGAATTCTCGTGGGCCATGTGATAAGTTTTGACGGGGTAAATTTTTGCCAATGACCGCAGCATAAATGCTACGTCACGCTCTTTTTTCTTTTTCTTCGTGGTTTGGATGTTTTTTCCCCGCTCTCAGTATGAAGTTACCCGTCCGTGGCTTTATCAATATTATCCGTGAAACTGTGGCTGGGAATTATGTGGGATGTGATGGCATGTTTGCAATTGAAAATATGATTCGTAAGCCCTGGTATTGAACGATGTTTTTGTAGATAGAGTCACAGTCAAGGCTAATAAGGATTGGTAATAGTTGGATATATTTATTCAGATTAGCTCTACCGCGAGACTCTGGAGTTCGTGGCGTGCACCTTGGGGGGTAAGGCGGATCTGGTACAGTACCAAGCTTTATTATCTGACATAAGTGGGATCATTGCTTCTCACTCGATTCGATCGAGGGAAATATTTGTCTACAACTTCGGCCATGCACTTTTTTTTTTTTTTTTTTTACGTTTAACTCATTACTGCGGCCACGCACTCGGTGAGTTTAACTCTAGACCGACAACAAAATCCCAGCGTCTTCAGCTCATTATGTTTGCCTCTATCAAGACTAACTGAATCTCAGCTCTGGCAGACTCAGCATCTGCATTCCCCTTTCAATATGACTAAGGTGTGTCAAGATCTACATATCTTGACCTCGATACCAATTGCAACGGAAGAATTTGTCCTGAGACCTCTAGGACCTCCCACTAAATCTCTACATCGATTTTTGAATCATGAAAACTAGAGAACCAAGCTCAAGTGCCCCACCGATGACATCAAGTCTATTTAGTAGTTTAATTTCGAAGAAGTTGTTGGAATATGGCCGATACTGTCATCACCCCCTTATTGATAGGTCCTGACGTCATCCAGGCGATGCGCACTCTAATTCGACAGCATTGGGCCACGTGAAACCCTTGCATAGCGCTGCCTCGAGGCAAGGACCTTGAGGCGAAAATGCGAGGCTCTGATGGTGTCGGATACCTAATGTAGTACTCTAATGAGAACTGTCTCTCTCTCTACTCGTCAAGACATGCCGCCCAGTTAAAACACATGCCACAGATTGGGAGGCGAAAGAGCTAAGGGCAGTCATGAATAGTACTGCATGTAGTAGGGTGATCACTTGATGTGGCTTTTAGGACTTGCCGGTCCTGCAAGTCCCATGGGTTAAAAACCATCGAAAGAAAGGCGGCGGGGCAGGTGAATCGGACAATAACAAAGTTATGTGGCCGTGGAACATTGCTACTCCTGCTCGTCGGATTTTTAGTGGAAGATGTGATTAACGATCGACCGAAGCTGGAAGGTGTATGATTCTCTACCTATATGGGAATCTAAGATTATTTGCAAAGAAAAGAAACACCTGTATGTACCCAGCATCTCTAGGAGTCATCCCAAACCCAGCCAACTAAAATCCTAGTAATCTTCCACTCACATCCTCGAAGCAGCCATAAAGTGATAAAAAAGAAGGGCATTCTCTTCAATAAAGATGTTCTAGAAGCCATCCGTAGTTATCTCAAGGTGCGTAGCACGCACTTGCCACACACACTAATGGCAGCCCCTACTTATGTAGAGGTTAGGCCTGCCTGAAGCGTTAAGGGTAGAATATACGGGGCGCTAGCTTGGGTTTATGAGCCTCGAATCGCAGTTGTTCTTTCTTGGGGGAAAGAAGGTCGAGCGTGTGAATGTGCACTAATAATTTCTGGGAGACATATGCCAAGGACGTTTCGGCTGCTGGTGCAAAGATGTGATACTGATCCATCTTGCACAAAACCTTTTGTGGGAAACCCCCAAAACCCGAAAGTACATCCTCATCATCTAGCAAGGTTCTTTAGTAAGTGAAGACAAGAGAAGCCGCGAGGATAAGGAAGTGAAACCCACTAGCGGTAACCTCGAACAAGATAAGAAAAGCAATTTTCATCTCGCATAACAATTTGGAGTACCTTTGCTCTAGTAGACACACGGACAATAAATTTCAGCAGAGCATGATAGAGAACCATGAACCACGACAACGCAGCACTAGGGGGCGCAAATTCGAGTATCACTTTGGACGCAGTCATTGATACTCCATGGCCTCACACAAAGTGAACCTCAGGTGTCGGCACCTCAGCCAGTGTATATTCACTTAGAAATGACCGTTAACTAGATTCTTTGGGAACACGGAAGAGAGAAAGTGCACAGGATAAGTTGTGTAGGAAAGTCACTTCCCTCCAGTTTGTCAACTCATCATTATTGTATTAAACCTCGGGTTGCGCATGTCTTATCACAATGCTGTAGATTTATCGTACGGCTCGGGTCATATTTTGTGTTTGGTGATATGAGCGCTAAATGGGAACAATAAGACGAAGTTCCCCATGAAAGGGCGCCCGGGCTACGAACAGCGTTAGATAATTAATAGAGTTACAGAGTGGGTGTGGGTTTTGGGAAGGCGAGCTGAGGATGCGAGGAAGTACATGTAAGTGAAAAGTATGGTGGCTCCATAGGGAGATCCAGACACTACTCTAGATTACATAAGTCCCTCGCATAATCTTGTGTTTGTTGGCTACCAAAGCTAAAGCAGGGCTAGGACCGGGCTTAACTCCCACCACCTCCTTCCGCTCCTACCTTTTTTCCATCTCTCCATCCACTTTACTGCTAGCCAATCTTAACTACATTTTCGTATGGTAGTGCATACTTTAATGCACGATGGGGGGTTGAGCAGACCCAGCAGAGGCTTGTAGGAAGCAAAGGACATAAACTGGATAAACGTACGGCTAGTTATTGGTGAAGTCTACAATTATACGAAACCCGCTGCTCTCGTTTTGACTTATTATAGCGAGAGGCAGACAATCCCACGAGACAGACCTTCTAGCGAGTGAGAAGTCATGAAGTAACATTTTCCCCGCGGATCCTTGGTCATGGAGAAAGGCCTATTACCTAGTGATTTTCAACAAAGTCATAGAGATACCATTCAAATTAATGGAGAAACCTGTTCCCCTTTCCTCTTCCCCTCCACCTTTGCTTACTTCCGGCCGCCTCATTTTTATTCCTAACAACCTCTCTCCCTCTCCTCGCTTGGAGGGATATTCTCCTCTCTCACTGCGGAGTGGGGTGATGGAAAACAAACCAAGTTCTCATTGAGGGGGGAAGGGGGGAGGGGGCTGGAACCTGTTCCTCCTCTCATGGAAGAGGGGAAGATACGAAGGGAACCACGGGGGAGGTGGTGAATTTGGAGAGAAAAAGGCAAAAGACAAAGAGGTATACACAAGGGTGCTAGTGGGAGGAAGTAGGGAGGAGTAAATACAGGGTTAGTGGTATAATTCTTAGTTTATGTGGCATCGACTCAACGTCATGTTATATCACTCGGGTGCCAAGGAAATACTTTATCCAAATAACGAGTGGAATCAACTGAGTTTACATTTAGTCTCCACAGGCCCTATATTATATCTCCTACAAATGCTGTGGGTAAAGTGCTACATACATTACCCTCCGGTCTGCATCACCTCTACAGTTTGTCAACGCACCAGCGCACCACCCTTAGAATATCTACGAAATAGGCGCTGAGCGAGGTGCTAATCGAAAATCCCTACCAGCGAAGTGATAGAGACAGTCGAAGAAGGGCTTCCGCAGTTCTATGTGGTGCGGCTGTGAGGAGTGCATGTAGCTAGTTGTATACTAGAGGAATTGGTTACTCACTAACCACCTTCCACCGCATCAGTGCATTCGGTCCCATCTTTTCGTCCCCTGCTTTAAACAGACATTTTATGCAGCAGTTAATTCCGCATATGTATATATATGAGGGGCTCCGGAACAAAACTTAAGCAGTTCACTTCGTGTCAGAGGCCTCATGAGGCTTAGTTGAGTAAATGTTATGAATCACAGAATATCACTCGCCATATTCACGCTACGCTACGGGTTGGTTGGTTTTTTACTTCCGAGCCTGGGAGTAAATCTGAGTTTGATTTGTGAACTAGATTAAGGTTTTTATGGGGGTTTCTTGTATGAGGTTTTATTCCTGTAGTTTTTTGTATTCAGTAAGGACTAGTATTTCCCGTATTTGTTAGTTCTTGGCAGGTGTTTGGGCATAGGTAGAAATGCGCCTGGTATCAGTAGGACGTTTGCCTGATAGCTAGGAAGAGGGGATTTAAATACCCACAAAGTTTTTTTTTTTTTTTTTTTTTTTTTTTCGGCTGCAGGGGGATATTATAGATTAAGCACGAAAGCGAGAGACAATAACGGAATGAATATATAGGAATAGAGGTAAGTTATTCTGATATTTATCTATACATTGTCTCCTATATAATATTCCTTTAGCTATGCCACAACAACCACCATAAACCCCACCGCACCAAGTAAAAATGAGTTATATTAAATTACTATAATAATATATACGCCCGCTCTATCTGCATTACTATCGCCACAACATAGACACATACATCGTAAAAACGCCTCATCCATTAACCACTAATCCAACCTACACAGCCTCAAGATATCCCATCTCTGCATGAGTCTACGGTTCTTCTTCCCCCACACATACATTGGTATACTCAGCGCACAAACCGCGATCTGCGCTATGCCCATCGTCCAAAACAAGCGCCAGGTCCCCAGCTCCATCAGCCAGTCAAACTCTCCCGTCGTGAGCGCGTACGAGAAGAAATTCTTGAATAGCAAGAACGTGGTAAACACCTCGACTGCAATACTGCGGTGCGCGTCGACAATATATAGCGATGCAGCGACAGCGCCAATGATCATTCCCATTACCCTGGTTGCGCTTGTTAGTATGGGCGAGTATGGAGAAATTGGAAGAGGGGCATCTTACTCCATGCCAAAAAAGAAGTCGGGCAGCGCCCATCCATACGTCTCTGGCTTACTCGCCACCCAGCCGAACAGGAAGACACCCGTGATTCCTGTAATCGCCTGCGGCAGGACAAGGAGAATGCGGAACTCGGGCTCAAAGACACCTTTATTCCATCTCGTCATGACTCTCGTAGACCAATCCGCCAGCATCCCGGCGAGCAGGAAGCCCAACATTGCGCCCAGGAACGCGCCGGTATACATGTACCCAATCTGCTCTTCATGGAAACGGACGGGCGCCATCATGAAAATGTATGCAATGACGACACCGATCATCACCGACCAGCCAATGAGTGCGCCCTGCGTGAGCATTCCCCAGAAGACGGCAGGATGGACGATGAGTACTATGGGGCGGAGGATGAGCTTCCAGAGCGAGTCGGAGGTCTTGCGACCGTTGAAGAGCGCAAGGGATTGTAGGAAGGTTGCGCGCGGAGGTGGGATGTCAGTATCGAGATTTTCGATGGGTGTGGCCCCGGCTTCTTTACTGAGTACAGGGATGGGGTCGGGGAAATCCATAGCTGCTGGAGTGACACGGCCATTGAAGGGGAGTATGTGTGTTTGTGAGTTCGAGGAGAGATCAGTGTTATACTGGGTCGCACGGCGGTAGGCCGTCTCGGGGCAGAAGAAAAACACCTACGAGACCTGGGTTAATAGGGGGTCTTTTTTATATACTGACTAAGCTTAGATTGAGGGTTGTGCTCGTCCTGGAGAGAAGAACCAGAAAATTTCCCGAATCGTGGTCAAGGCAGATAAACTGGCTTTGTGCACAGAACTTTCTCATAAAAGTAGTCAGGCGTGCAGTAGACGTCATGAAATCAGTGAAATCGGGCGAACATCTAAACTCGACCGTAGAACCCCAACCCATAGACCAAAAGACAATGAAGGAAGGGATTCCTTATCGCATCTATGCAGTTTTGATGTTGTTGATCATGGCGGGGCCCGTATTCAACCAATTCTGATGTTCGATCACTTGCACTGATCTCACAAGGTCCCACTGAACGCCCCAGCACTATCCCTTGATTCCTTGGCCCTTCTCTCCAACCCGTACGCACCCAACTCTGATCCCCGGGGCTTACTCACGAATGGCACACAAACGCCCGCAAAGATCCCCACAAAATAAAACGGCCATCTCCATCCCATCACAGTCGTAATCTTCCCAACCACCACCGGTGTCATAAAAGCGCCCCCAAACAGCGCAAAATTTGTCATAGCCATCCTCTTCCCCCTTTGGTGGACACAGTACAAATCTCCAACACTCGCGTTCACCAGGGCCTCAAACGGGCACACCGCTACGCCCTGGATAATGCGCGCCCAGAGGAGCGACTTATAGGACTGTGCGGCGCCGGCCCAGATGGAGGTTATGCAGAGCAGTACGGTACCGAGGACGTAGAGATGTCGCTTGCCCCAGACGCGGGCAGTGGCGACAATGATAAGGCCAGAGGCCCCGACGCCGCAGAGGTGGTAGCCAGTTAGGGCAGCGACACGGTTGACATTTTCATTTATGTGGATAGCGATATAGATAGTATTTGAAGCGAGGATTGAGGAGAGGCTGATGGCGAGTTAGTTGTTGGCTGTTTTACTGGTGTTGCAGATTGAAGCGATATTACGTACCATGATGCCAGGACCTGGGTAGGAAATTATATTAGCCATCTTTCCATATATAGCTGTTTAGGAGCTATACTTACAGAAACACAGCACAAAATAGCCGTGATGCAATCCCTCTTCACCAACGACCAATTCTACCCATCATCAGCAAACTCCCACCTCAACCACACCACCATCCAGAACAACCTACTAAAGGATCATTCGGGTCATCACTCGGCTGCGGCACCAGCACTATCGGCACCGGCCCGCTCGTATCGTACTTCAGCTTCGGGTCCATCTGCTCACCCTCATATCCACCAACATTATTCTTGGGCCCCATCGCCCCCATGAAGGATGTTCCTGCGCACATCGTCAGCTACATAAAAAAGCACTTTTCGCAAACAAGGAACAAAAAGGAAGCTTACCAGGGACATGCCCGCCCGCAGAAGGCTCAAGAATCCCAAGTCCCATTCTGACTTATTTTGCTGCTACTGTACTGATGGGTGTTTGTGGGTACTGTCGCGAGCAAGCGCGAGGGAGATAGGGAGACAGGGTGTTGTGTGTATGTGGTAAGTAGTTTGTAGTTATCCGGAATCCGGAATAATGTCGTGGTTGGGGGTGTGTACCTCATGCGGGGGGGAGGCAGAGGTGAGGTGTCTGGATGGAAAGTTCCGTGTTTCGTGTGACTCTGGAGCGCCTACATATTTTGTCTCTTCTGCGAGAGGAGATCACAGTTTGTACAGAGAAACCTATCATAATTCTGACCTCGTACCTGGCCTCGTACCCAGTCTAGTATTTTGTGGTTGCTGTGCCAAGACTTTCTGCAACCAAATACTTGCAGAATCACGTGACTGCCAAGAAGCTTGGGGATGGGGTCGAGCTCATCATAATTCCACCCTCTCGAAATTCCATCCTCTCGAAATTCCATCCCTACCCTCTAGGAGGCCTTTCCTCCTAACCTTCTACACGATAGTCAACAGTAACCTCAACCAAGCGATAGCGTCCACAACACACGAGAGAATGGCACAAGCTCTTGAACAACAGCTTAATCTCGGGCCACAGCCCGATCTGCCGCTGGCTGGGCAAGGCAACATCATTATTCAGCTGCTCCAACAAATTCAAGGCACCATCCAGCAAGTGCAGCAGCACGATATCCAGCAGGTGCATATCCGTGCGGAGTAGGTAAACCTTATGGTTTTTGGTTTGGTATAAAACGGAGCGAAGCGGAGAGTAGGATGAGTCAGCATGGGTTATCTAATCCATCTCATCTACTAGGAGCGGAGCGACCGGGGTAGCCTTACTAATACCAGGAGCGGAGCGACCGCTCATAGGCACCTATGTTGTGATTGCTGGCATTGGAATGGATGAAGGAATCTACAGCTATGTACTAGGGTGTAGCGAAAAGTGATCAGAATCTGATAAGACAAATACACCTATTCACCGTAACATTCACTTATCAGATTCTGATCACTTACCCTCAACACCCGGTACATGTAGTGTGTTGGGCTATTATTCCTGGGCTGTACCCTCTATGATATTAGAATATCATGTACTCGGGGCAGGCAAAAAGTACTGGACAATGCAAGTTTTGTCTCTGGGCTTTTTTTGCAGTAGTTCACGCCTAGCACGCGCGCCCATTGGTGAACCAAAAACCTGCATTGTCCAGTACTTTTTACCTGCCCCGAGTAGGTACAGCTTGCGGTAAGATTGTATTTGTAGAAATATGGGAGGAGTCGCCCAGCCGTAGGAACCCCCTGTTTCTGCAATAATTCTACCTCTCGCTGTAAGTCGCAGTAGCACAACACGGCATGGTAGAAGAGCCAATCCGTTCCCACCGTCGCAATTGTACCCTCGAATCGATAGGCCATTCATCCCATCTTCCCTCCATCCTGAGACAAAACCGAAACCAAAACCAAAACCATGGGCACCACCAAAAAGATGTCATGGCATGGTCCGACCACCGCAAACACCAAGAAAATGCATACGTACTCTACTGCTTTGAAGAATTATTCTCTAAAATCGTGCACCTTGACCGTCTTATCCAAGAAAAAACATCTCCTCATGGCTGTCGGGCTGTGCTGCAACTAGGAATCTATCTTTAGAGCACCCACCTCCACCACACAAAAATAAAGTCCCGTTTAGAAGCACTTTAGACACTGCCCTACCTATGTACCCTAGATACTCTACACCTTAAACTGTACTCTAGATACTAGATAGACTCTCCCCAGGTCTCTCCTGTCAATCAATCGGTTAGGTATTGAACTTGGAACACCTCTTGTCCCAATTGCAAGGAAGGGGAACTTCCCACTAGCGCAGGGCAGATCCCCGCTTGCTCCACGCATCCGAACTCTAGCGTGACCTTAGAACCTTCAGATCAGCAAACAGATCAACACTTCAACCGTAACGAGAAGTAAAGACCGACCGAGGGACCGCCGGCCATTGCCAGCTCGCTCTCTTGCTGCCAGCTCACCTCCGCCCCTATCTTTGAGAAATTCAGCGTTTGTTGTGTTGTGTTTAATGAAAAAATGAGTGCCTCTACTGCGCCGCTTGACAACTTTGCCAGATGGGTGATTTTGGGCGGCACGTATTTGCTATGCCGTCTGCAGGTACAGCTAGTGCAAAATATTTATGGAGCCTTCAAAAGTAGAGCGTAGTGCCTCCAAGAGATAACTAGGATAGATACATGTACCTATTGTAGCATTCACTCCTTTGTGCACTGCCATCTTTCGAATTCGAATGTTATCATGTTTCTCTCCACCCCTGTGCGTGGAAGTACTCTATGTAGGTACATGTATGCAAGCACTGGTGGGTGACTACATATGTAGGCGGGTGGGTGGATTGCATGGATCATAGCTTAAAATCCTCTGCTTATGGCTGCAGGCGAGTGTGCTTGGGACCGACTTCAAAAGCAGACGTCGCCGCCCCTTCTTTTCCCACCCTCACGCTCGCAACTACATACACTCTCACCCTTTCATCTAATCGCCCCACACAATACATAATCCAATTACAACATGAAGGCTTCAATCTTTGCCTCCATCTTCGTCGCTGCCGGCTTTGCTGCTGCTCAGAATATAAATATCAGCGATGTCCCCACCTGTGCTGTAAGTAGCCCAACCACTGGTGTGAGAGAGAGTAGCGAGGTATACTAACATTATATCCCCTTCCCAACAGCTCTCCTGCGTAATGAGCTCATCCCCCGCTGGCTGCGGAGCTACCGACTACGCCTGTTGGTGTGAGAGCAATAGCTGGCTCAGCTCTCTAGCCGCCTGCGTTACACCCGCCTGCCCCAACGAATCCGACCAAGCCAGTATGTCTCCCCACCCGCCTCTCACCTTCTAATTCACATCTAACACGCGTAATAGAGCTCGTTGCTTTGGCACAAGGTCTCTGCGGTGCTTACAGCGTCACCATCTCATCAGACATCTTGGCAAGTGCTACTGCGACCCCATCGGGGAGTAGCGGGAGTGCTTCGGCGACCACCACTCGTGACACTTCCGCTTCCACTTCCACTCCAACGTCGACTGGTAGCGCTGCATCCCAGAGCTCGAATGCCGCAGGGCACCTCGTGGCCGGGTCAGGATTGATGGCGGCGGCGGCGGGTGTCGCCATGTTTGTCTTATAGGTTAGTTGTCAGAACATGGGGGGGATCAATGATCCCTAAGTAATTATTAATCGAGTCCTTTGTTTTACTGTGTTTTGTGTCGCGTATGGTCCGCATTGTTGGTACATGAATTCAACTTGTTCCGTGGTGGAATGGGCGAATTGACGCGGTAGCAAGTCTAGTGATGAATTAAAAGATATTCCTGTGCTATATGTGGTGATTTTCATGGTCATGATAGTAGTGATTTAAACTTGGATCTTATGAGGAGTTAATTTCCCTTGGTGTAACTGGTATTCATTCGATGTATTCGCATACTTGCTCTGTGTTCCCAGTAGCAGAATCATCATCCAAAAGCAGAGCCTTCTACCAAGAGTACGAAAAGTACGCCTGTAGACTCAAAGAACCGAGACTTTTCGCTGATGCCGTGGTAAGACAAAATTGACTGTACTCTACTGTTCCCGTGATTCATTTAATTTACATTATGGCTGTCGAGTTCAGCCCGAGGGGTGGGGCGTGTATGATTGATTGGTGCCGGTTATCCTACAAATGGGGCAGCATCATGCAGTTTCCCTACGTGTTTGGGCTTTGTGCGTTTGTAGATGTGATGGGGTTTACTGCATGCAGGTACCGATAGCGATTGTAGATAAGTGGGAGGGGGGGAAGCGAGTGATACGTCATGCAACAAAGCTCGAGAACTGTTCATGATAATGATCTGGATGTTGAAGCCGGATAAATCAATAGAGAGGCTGGGGTTATCAAGAGTGAAAAGGTGGAAACGCAGACGTTGAGATCCCACCTTTGAGTGCGTCGTAACTACAGCTAGAGCCTTATGCCCTTGCGTACGGCCTGCACAGAATGGTGATTGTATTGGGGAGGATCAAGGGCTCAAACACGGGTTTAGGTCATTTTGATAGCCCTCGGCTTTAAAGACACGTAAATTGCGGAGTGTCTACACGCTGATTCGTACGGCTCATGATGTAAACATTCCACAGTACTACATACATACGCGCAGCAGTCCAGGATGAATTAGTAGAACGCAACAGCGTGCCTTGAGCCGTCAATTTCCTATTTGACCGCGTATATGAACCGCCAAGTCTTTCTACTCACTTATCCAGGATACCGTGGATTGATATCAACAATAAGGCCAATTGCAGGGAAAAATCGAGGTAAAGTAGCAGGTTTCCATAATACTGAATCAGGAGGCTGCAGTAATAAAATACAGGGTTGGAGTGCATCTACGGTCGAGGAGGAATGCGGGTGAGTCATGGGTTATCACTCGTGCAGTCTGCTTACACCATTAAAAGATAAGTGAAGGAGTAGGGTTCGAACGAACGTCGCTTACACTGATGGTTTCCAAAGATTACGTAGGGACCGCTAGTGCTCGTACGCATGGTTATCTCTGGTAAAAGGCAAGAGATAAGTACTGATACGCCGAGGCCGGTCCACCCCTGCCTTGCACAAGTTGTTATTATGTATTGATTCGCTGTCTAGGGGTAGCTAGTTCCACGCATAAGCCTATATGCATTCGGATTCCATCATTTTCAGATGCTGTGGTTTGAAGGATATCACGCCAAGGCCTCTTATGGCCTGACACCCCGCGCATATTTAATCCACAGGTTTTACCACCGAGAGGCTGCTCTTCTTATTTCGCCCATGATCTGCATTGAACCTGTTCTCCCATGACTCCATTAATGAACCACAATGTTCAAGCAACTACTAATATCGAGGTGGTTTCGGGACTTTCATTGCTATTATAAGCCATGTGACTACACATGATAAGATCAAATTTTTTCGGGTCAGGCCTATATGAGAATCTTCCAAGCTCAGAAGCTTCATAGTGAGTATATGTTACCCCAGAAAGAAGGCGAACTTAGTACCCTGTGTTTGTGGTCAGATAGGTCGTAAGCTTAAGTCGACAGATATCATGAAGAACAAAGGTGAAAGATTATAGCTGGCCTCGTACCTGCATGTAGCCTTGTATTCCGTTCCAAGTACCCAGATTCGGCCGTATAGTAATAGAATTGCCTCCCTTGATTAATCCTGCTTCGGCCGGGAGCAGTTGGGGTGGAGCATATTTTCGAGTGACCACTGATGATTGCTGCCAAGCATACACTAAGCCATCCCACCTTGAGCCTCACCCCACACAGCAACATCACCTCCGTTCAACCACCCCCCTCCTCAACCCAATACCTCACTCTATCTACAACCACTCGATAAAATGACCGAGAACGGCCCCTCCGACGCAGCTACTTCTGATCCCTCCGGCTTCCTCCAGGAGATTATCGGCGCACCCATCACCGTGAAGCTGAACTCGGGAGTCGAGTATCGAGGTTGGCATTGCACTAGGTTACATGGCGAGAGTTAGCAGGTAAGCTGACAAAGGTTATAGGCGAGCTTTCATCCGTAGACGGTTACATGAACATCGCGCTCGAGAAGACCGTCGAGTACGTCAATGGGGAGGTTAGAAATAAGTATGGGGATGTGTTTATTCGGGGGAACAACGGTTTGTCTCCTCCCCCCCCCCAGCGTGGCTTTGTATGGTAATTATAAGAGGAATGCTAATTGAGGCGTGGTTTAGTGCTATATATATCCCAAGACGCGGTATAGGTGGAGTGCATAGTATGGACGGGCGCTGGAAAGCTTTTCTCTTTCTCTCTCTCTTTTTTTTTTTTTTTTAGTAATTGAGCTCTTTTATCCTCCGAAGAGCGGTATCTCGTTTGGCCATGTTTACGAGAATTGTCTTGCGTGGAAGATCGACCAGATATCCTTTTAATCGATCAACTAGCCGATCAAACATCTCTGACCGGGCCACTTCCGTACCTCACAGTCTAATTAATCTGGGAAGCCGCATGATTATTATCGTGGAACTGTTACTATATTTCACGGACCACTGCTACATCTTTAGGCCTGCCTTGTTATGCCCTGGGCCAGGCTAGGGTCAAATAAGCCCACCTCTTATGAAGCTCTGAGGCCCAATTTGTTGTCGTCCAAGCATTCAGACTATGGTCAGGTTCTCACCAGATAATAATGTTGTGTAAATGCAAGCAAGGTATATATGTAGACTGGTGGGAGGAGGGTGGGAATCAAGGGCGACGGATGATGAGACGAAGGGGATGACGAGGCTCGAAAATGCATTGAGGCCTGGACAAAACATGGGTAACAAATCATTAGAAAGAGCTGCCAAGTCTCGCGATCTCCTTCAATACTCTACAATCCACAGCCCCCCCCCCCGGGGGGGGGGGGGGGGGGGGGCATCTTAGCCTTTTGCCGAATAAGTGTAAGGCCTAAGCTGTTTTTGCGCGGCCACTATGACATCACTGCCAATTATGTTTCAAACAAAAATAATTTTCGGTAGTAAGGTACCAGTTCTGCTTGCGATATGCTAGATGTCAGGAGAATTTGTGGACTTGCTGGTCCTTGCCATAGCTTAAGTTGACTTACACCATGAATCAGGAGCTATGTATCTAGATTTTGGAACTGATTTGCTGTTCCGAAAGATAAATGAAGGTGGGGGTAATAGAAAGGTAGGGCGGTGCCGCCTACTTGTAGTCACCATTTCCACACTGTATCAAAGGTTTAAATCACTCTAACAAACTAAACTTGAAAGCGTGATTTGCTTGCTTTACCTTGTGTCTTAGATTATAGATGTAGGGGTGGCTTTCTCTCGTCCATGTTCATGCTTTCTTTACTTGAGGTTGTGCAGTAAAATCTACCAATAGAAACGTTTCCTGGTCACGATGGCTGTATTGCATACATCTACATAAATATTCTTATCTCGGTATTAGTATGTATCATCATACTTCAACTATCTAGTCTACTAACTCCATGATATAAGAAATTTCCCCAAAAGATCAAGCAAAGAACCTACCCATTATTGATGCTGAATATATTCCGGAAAGGAAAGTGTTTACTCTTCAGACAGCTTCGCTAGAACTTCGGCATCCTCATCTAAGATGCCCTGGCGGATTCGTTGAATCATAATCCAAATGTACACTGCTATGGTCAGCACTCCCTACGCATCACTTCAAGCAAACAAAGGGAACTCACAAAGCTCTATCAACAACACCCAGGCTCTCAATTACATACTGTAAACTCTCTCCCAAATCATGACTATCCTTCAATCCCAACCTCTCATCAAGGACTATGTCCACCTCCACGTTTAACAAATCCCCGTTCCTATATGCATTAACACTCGTGATCGCCTTGATGCTCTTTGCAAACCTCATGGCCATATACAGCAGTACATTCCTCTCATCTCCGGACGCTGCAGCACCCGTCAGATTTTCTACATGCTCCAGACCGATCCCCGCCCAGGAGGTAATGACATATGCCGACAGCAGTGCACCACCGAGGGCGTCGAGCCACCACAGCTCCAGCCATGTCCCAAGCAGAGGGAACAGGATAGAGAAGAAATTGAAAACAACGTCGGTGACGGCGTCGGCTGCGAGGGCTTGTACAGAGGAATTGCGCACGGAGCGGCACCAGAGGAAGCAGAGAGTTTTGATCACGATGGTGCTAAGCATGATTATGATGGCGCTGGGGGTGAGGAGAACGATAGCGTGGGTGGCCGGAGTGATGAGGTGCTTGAGGGAGGTCAGGCCCACTTGGAGGAATGACACGATCATGATGATGGAGAAGACGAGAACGCCGATGGGTTCGAGGCGGGAACGGCCCACGGGGTAGAGGTACTTGTCGCGGCGTTCGATAAGACTGTGAGAGGTCAGTTTGGGGTGCGAGTGATGGGTGGTGAGGGCATTTACGTGGTGGTAGTCCAAACAATGGCAGTACTGAGGAAGTCCAGTGCAGCTGCAGGTTAGTTAGCAAATAGGGTTTCTCCCCTCTGTTAATTTTGCGAACATATTATCCATATATACGCACCATCTACCAAACTAGCAAGCACGGACAACGAATTCGTCATAATGGCTACAAGAATCTTCGATATCAGTAGCAACGTATTTGCCAACAGGCTGAGATAAATTGCCAATTTCCTACCGAACCTTGTTAGCCTATATATGTTTATCTCTAAAGATTAAGCATTCGGAACTTACACAACTTTAGCCGTGTTCTCAGCGCTTCCACTTCCCCCGCCGCCTACTTCGTCACCGAGTAAAGGGGATTCCTCATCTGCAATTTTGTAGAGATAGCTTGGCCGTTTCTTCATGGGTGGTGGTGGTGCATCAGGGATAGAATCGTACCCTTGGTGCGGGTTAGTGTCGGAAGAGGATACCGGATATGTTTCAGGGATTGTTTCCGGCTGGGGTGTGTTAGAGGGAATGTAAAATTGAGTGAGATAAACCAAACTGGCATGCTCCTATCTGTAACAAGAGATCTGCGGGTTGGAGTGTTATCTTGTAGATAGGAACACTAACCGGATTATAGGTTTGCAACAAATCCCGCGGGAGTGTTGAATCCAGTAGACTATCGATGTAGATATAGCGATCAATCAATGAATTGGTCCTCTCATAATACTCTCGACTGAGACAGACACCCCGACATATAAGCTTCCTCAAAGTATAATTATTCAAGATAACTTGTGACTCACATTTTCTTTTTCATCTGCTTCAATTCTAAAGGCGTTTTTCTGTACCGCTCCCATTGATACCTCGGATTGTTATTCCCAATCAGGCGCATATACCTCATATGAGGATTCTGCAGAGCTGTGATGCTAGGGCGACGGACATGTCCATGATTGACTGAGCTATGCGGTTCATTGCCGAGGATCATGAGTGCTGGGAGAGTGCGGTTCCGCTGTGGTAGTAGCGCATCGGGCTGTTGCAATGGGAGGAAACCTCCAGTTGTGGGTAGCGAACTCATAAGATGTATGTTTGTAGATGTGTGTTTAAGGGACGTAAGTGTGGAAGTGGTTGGTCTTCAGGTATTTATAGGGAGGGTTGTATCTGTGAGATTTTATTGACGTTATGCTTGATTACATGTAGTTTAATCATTCCTAGCTAGAAGGGAGTGCAGGGGATGTACATGTAGTAACAAGCTTGTGCTGGTTTGAGAAAGCTTGTAGAGTAGGGGTCGGGTATCTCCAGGGCCTGACGTCGACGTCATAAAGGTCCCCCAGTTCTATTCATAAAGAGAGCACAGAGACCGTCGTTATCCCGAATCCCCTTTGTGATATAACTAGCGCTGTCAACAGGGGGCATCAGAGGGGTTTTGCAAAACATTTGTCTAACCAACTCCTGCAGCGCTTCCTAGATCTAAAGAATGCGGGTTCCTGTCCGCGCCGTTGGTTGCCGTACCGGACCCGTGTTCTTGGCGCTGGTGAGAACCCTGTCGGAGATCATTACGGGCAACCGCGACAGTGTGAAACGGGTTAGAATTGTTGCGTACCAACTACATGTACATGTAAATGCCAACTAGCGCTCTACTTTACTAGCAGAGCAACTCCGTATACCTCTACATACTCTGCGTGTATGATACGGGAGTTTACACGCCCAACACGAACTAATGTAGGATCTGGAACCAGCGCGCATCTGTTGTCGGATGCAGTTCACGAGTTACAGCATTCCGTCTTGGAAAACAACATTGAAAACATTGATTCTTGTCCCCTCATCAGAAAGTTCAAGCTGGAAAAGGGGTTTATGCCCACAGCTCCACACTTGCTCACCACCACAAAACTCAAGTCCAAAGAGAACAGAGTTCAAAATTGCGTTAATCGGTTAATATGACTAACGGCCTGCACGGCTATGTTACTTTTCACGAGCAGTTCGGTTTTTCTAGGTTTAACTTTGTCGACCACCTCTTGTCGGCGGGTAATGGATGGATAACTTTATAATCGAGTCCGATACTCTCAACCTGGACAGGATAGAGAACTAGAAAAATGTCTCTTGGACCGTGGGTTTTACTCATAACCCCCATATCAATAAACCAGGACAGAGGTTTGACGAAGGGAAGTCCGGAGACCTAGAAGGACCACTTATTTTACTCGATACCTACAGTATGGGGCGAGGAGCCCCAACTGCTTGTTAGCATATACCTCACCATGTCTAGGCATAAGGAATTGATTCCGTGGATACTTTATGCGCCATCGGAACAATGGGAATTAGTGCCTAGGTTGGAACTAGTCTATCCTCGACTCAAGCATAGCTAAGCTTACACGCAAAACATACTCCAGTATAATTCCTTTCTGACTCTGTGAGTCTGCGGTAGTTTGAGATTCATAAACATATCAGATTCGAAAGATAAAGGCTGCCGCGGCAGATTTGCATTACGAGTGATATTTTATGACTCAGACTCAATAACTTATTTGCTTGGTTCAGTGGTTATAAACGAAAGGGATTGAACAATTTAACATATTGACCAGGGTTTGTGGGATAAATGATTGTTGGGTTGCGAATACGGTACCTCGACCCGCCGTGTATGACAGTAGTTCTTGCACTGCAGCGGTGGTGGAAGCTCTCAGCAGCTGTTCTATCTCCTCTGGTTATAAAAGATAGCTCAACCAGTCCATACTCACCAGCCGCTAGCTTTGAGATGCCGCAATACATGATATAATTTTCAAGCAGGCCTGGTTCTCCGATAACGGCTCCATGGTCTCAAGCTCTCTCTAGCTCTCGGTGGCCTATCGCAAAGCACACTAGCTTTCTTGAAAACTGTCGTCAGTAGAAAAATTATCAAGCATGAGATCTCACTCGCTTGAATTTTGAAATTCAATTCAACCATCAACACCTCCAAGACGAGTCCCACGGCATATTAGGTCCATATCCAAGCCGTATAAAGCCCATAGACTCCCAGAATATTTCACTGCATAATCAGTAAGAATTCCAATCTGAATTTACACATCAATATTAGTAACATCAATAATATCAAAGCACCAGTAACATCAATCACATCAACATTCAGTAATACTTATAACATCAACACCAAAAAGCACACAAACCACAAACCACAAACCACAAACCACAATGTCCAACCAACCCACCACCCTAAAAGACCTCTCCCCCGAACTCCTCATCCAAATCTCCCAAAACCTCCCCTCCTTCACCTCCCTCACCTCCCTCCTCTCCGCCCTACCCCACACCAACCGCGAGACCATCACGCACTACCAATTCGACATCTGCGAGGCCATCGCCGCCACCGAACTCACACACTCCCTCACGCCCCACTTTCACGCACTCCTCAAAGCCCAAGGCAACATGCAGCGCCTACTATCCAACACCCCGCCGCCCCCGAGCCTTACCCCGGCCGCCATGCGCACCACAGGTATCCTCTCCGGCGGCGCCAGAATAGGCATCGACGAGGCCATCCAGCTCGAGAGCTACCTCCGCCAGCTGCGTATCTGGAAACCGGTGTTTCTGGAAGAGACACGCCGCATGCCGCGGGGCTGCGGAAACATGTTTCCGGACCTGCTGGGGCGGTGGAACACTCTAGTGTTTCCCGAGGACGACCCCGAATTCGACTCGGACTCGGGGGACTCGGGGTCTGACTCGGACGGCATATTTGCGCTGGTGGACCTCACGCTGGAGTGGCAGCTGTCGGGGCTGTCGCGGGCGCGGCATGTGAGGATTGACAGGGCGTGGCTGAACTACTGGACTATGCTGTTCTCGCGGGTGGGTGATGAGCGGGCGCACGCTGCGTTTGTAGCGGCGGTGGCGGCGGGGGGCGCGGAGGAGGGGGAGTATGCGCTGTGGACGCGCGGGTGGGTTAAGGGTGTTGAGGAGTGTCCGGAGGGCGTGCGCTACTTGGCGCCGATGTGGGAGTGGCTGAAGTTTGTGCCGCAGCTGTGTGAGCCCGTGGCGGCGGCGGGGAAGGAGATGTGGGATGTGGTCATGGTGGGGGGGTTTGAGTATGTGTGTGGAGATGAGGTGATAGGTGAGGAAGAGGTGCTGCCGGTGCCGGTGGTGGGTGGGGCGCATATGCCGCCGGGCGTGTGGGGGGTGGAGGATAGGTTTGTTGGGGAGCGAGTCGGGGAGGAGATTGTACGTAGTTTGGAGAGGTTGAGGGGGTTGTGGGTGTTGGATTTGCATAGGAGCTTGTGGAGGGGGCATTAGGCGTGGTACTCGGATTGGTGGGGGGTGTTTGGGCTTGGTGTGAAGGGTGTTTTGTGGGTTCTGATAGATTAGATTGCGTGTTTTGTGTCTTTTGCTCGATGTTGCTTTTGGCCTTAATTAGATTGCATGCTTTGTGCTTTGAGGACAATTGAGATTTGTTGCGGACAATTGAAATTTATCGTACTTCACAAATTGATATATCTCCCAAGAAAACCTGTCTACGTGTCTTTATATCTACGGCTGAACAGCACGGGAGAAATCGTACTTGTAGATATGAGAGTTCGACATCAAAGTTCAGTAGACACCTACCTTGGCTTGGCGCGAGTGATACCCCATGATGCGTGTACGAGCCACATCCACGTTATTCGAATAGGTGTAAGGCCTCCGATAGAGAGAGCTCGAACACAAATAGCTAGCCTGAGAGCGTTTCTCTCATCATCAACACACTTCAAGCACTACATTCTCTCCACCCCGTTGCGGCCGGCCACGAGATCGAGGGCTTTCCCTCTCGATCTCCCCGGCCCCTTGAGGTTTAATTGCTCATGGCGAATATGATATGAGTAGGCGGGAATACTAGCTGTTTCTCCTAGGACAACATTATACTACATATAATCTAGACCGAGAGCCGGACAGAATGTTCGAGTCCACCACCCTTGGCCGTTAATTGTGGTGTAGCGTAAACTAAGCGTAACTGTACATGTGTTGTGACACGATATATTCAGCGGAGACGTGGCTGAACCGGGCGGGTCAAGCGGATCTGTCCTTTTTTCAGACCTGTATAAAACTACATGGACTTTGTCACCTACATGTAGACCAATACATCATCTCATCCATCATCGAACTTGAGCATCACTCACTCATGCATAGTGAGACTCCGAGATTCACGAACAGCCTGAAACCGGTATGTACCGTCCAGAACAGAAACATTAAACAATTGGAACATCCGAGTAAAATACATTGGTTGTGGATACACTAACTGGCTACCCCATAGTACTGTCTGGCATGAAGACTGCTCGATCGGGCCAGTATGGGGTGATAAAGCTGCTTCCTGGGCTCAAGCACAGCTCCGAACGGTAAAGCACGCAGAGCTAGCCCACAGTATACATCTACAACCCACGCCTTTATCTCACCAACTAACCAAAGGATGAGCAGACAGAACTTCAAGCACCAAAACGAACCAGCTACAAGAATAATTAGGACCTCACATGTACATAGCTACACACCTTTGGCAAAAAGCGGGGCGGATATAATCGTTTGTAACTGAACGTCTGCGCATATACTAATGACTGGAAAAAAAAAAGAAAAAAAAAGAAAAAGTAGCGAAAAAAAAGGAAGAAGGAAAAAGAAGGAGAAAAAAAACGCCAGAACGGAATTGAAAACGAGCAAAAACACCCTCCCAGACAACTGAGCAATCGACCGAGTCTTCAACGAGTTCCACCCCCCGCCTCAAAAAAGCGACGCAAACGCAAGCAAAAACGAAGAAACTGTAAACCAACCTTCTCAAGGCACGCAAGCAGGCAGGCAGGCAGGCAGAGAGACACCGCAGAGCGAGAAGATCGAGGGGATAGAGAATCACCTCTTAACCAACCGCGTGCGCCAACACCCTCGACGCAAGGTCTGATAACAACTATACACCGCAACCCCGACCTCACACGTCAGCCCGCCCCAAAACCCCATCCCAAAAAACACCAGGGAAATCCCCACCTTTGCACGATCGCTCTGCGGCAGCTCCTGGAACACCTCATACACGCTCTTGCCCTTTGCATCTCTCACGGCCCCCAGGCGGTTCCCCGCCACGGCCCCCGCCACCAGCCCGGGGACATTTGCCACGATGAAGCCGAGCGCCCCACCACTCAACCCGCCGATGATGCCCCAGAGCGACTTACCCCGCGGGGCGGTGGCAGTGTCCGTGGATTCGCCGCCCGCGAACCCCTCGTCGCGCATCATCTCCTCAAACACATCGCTGAACTGGGCGTCCTCCCAGTGTGCGTCGGGGTGCGGCGGCGTGTGGAAGGCATTGGCGTTGGCGCGCTGGTAGGCGCGCGTGGCGTCGTAGTTGCGGCGGCGCACAGGGTCGCTGAGTGTGTAGTAGGCGTCGTTGACTTGTTGGAACTTTTTTGTCCGTGTGGGGCGGCTGGGGTCGGTGTGTGGGACGCGGTCGGGGTGGGATTGGAGTGCAGCGCTGTGGAGGGGGGTGGGGTGTTAGTGGGGTTTGTTTCTGCGGGGGGAGAGGGGAGGGAGGGAGAAGGAACCGTTTGTAGGCTTCACGGATCTGCTGTTGCGTGGCGGTGGAGGCGACGCTAAGGATCTCGTCTGGGCGGGTGTGTTAGCTACGGGAGAGTGAGTAGGTGGCTGGAGAGAGGGTGCTCACAGTAGTCGATTGCTGCACCTGTTGTTCACGGAGAGCATTGTTAGCGAGTAATGATCAAGCGGTGGGTTTTTGTGCGGCACTCACCAGGCGACATGATGCTGGGTTATACTGGTGCGGGGTGGGTGCAGGGAAGAATAATCTGGAGAAGGGGAGCAAACAATGGAACGGGGTGGACAAAGGTTTTACTGTAAGTATCTGTATCTATGTAGGTAGGTAGAGTGGGTGAGTAGAGTGGAGGATGTAGTCTGTGGCAGTGGCAGTGGTGGTGGTATCCTCTCGGGTATTTAAACAAGCTGCGCGCACTCGCAGCCAGCAGCCAACAGCCAACTCACCGACGCAGGGGATTACAGTAGTGGGTGGGATGTGTGGGAAGTGGGATGTGGATGTGGGAGCACTCTTTTCCTCTTTCTTTTCTTTCTTGCGGGGGCGCTCACTCACCAGCTGCGATGAAACCTGCAACGTGTGCTGTGTAGCGTAATTGAATGTCGCTCGCTTGCTTCTTGACCTTGTGGGCCAATGATGTGGGGCTGTGGCGCGTGTGGGTGTGGGGTAAGGGTTTGTGGCGCTCAGCCACTGACGGATGCAGGTGGCGGTGGTGGTGCACGTGATTGGCAGGGTCAGTGATCGAAGGGGCGGTCTTGGTTTCAAGTGCTACATAGATGGTGATTATTACATCTATGTACGTATCTCTGGGAATGTGTAATTTGCGTTCTACCAAAGGGACAGCGCTAGCTAGCATCTCTCACAGAACATCACTAGAAAACAGTACCCACAGCACGCTACCACTACGTCAAGAATAAAATTCATACCACCCACTATTACCCCCCCCCCCCCTTTCCCCCACGCAAAACCGAACCAGAACCGGAACAGAAAAAAGAAACCCAGTAGCAGCACTACTTCCTCCCCTTCCCCAGCCCAAACAGCGCCTTGAGCTTATTCTCCTTCGCCTCTCTATCCATGGGCCTCTTCTCCGGCGCCTTCCCCTTCCACCCCTCGACGCCCAGCGCCCCACTACCTTCATCGTGCTGCGACGACGCCGTCTTGGCCTCCGGCAGCGCGCGCGACGCGTCAAGGTACTGGTCGTTGAGCGCGGGCTCGATGCGCGCGGCTTTGGACGCGCTGCCGTCCCAGGTTAGGTGTACTGTTGCGCCGGAGCGGATGCGGAGGTCGATGGTGAGGCGTTGGCGGGACTCGGGGATGGGGAGGCGTGGGGGGATCACTATGGGGGTGGTTAGTAGGGTTGTGGGTTGGAAGGGGGGAGGGTTTGGTACCAAGAGTGAAGGGCTCGAGGGGGTGGCGGAGTGTGGTGCGGATGGTGTCGTAGAGGTCTTGAGCTGTGGTGGTGTTAGTAGTTGCTACTGTAGGAGAGGGAGGGAGGTTTGGGGGGGAGGAGGAGGGGGGGGGGGAGGTACCGGTGTGTTTTGCCTGAAGCGTCTGCTCCGAGATGTACCCGTCCGGAAAGCGGACTTTGATCACCAGCTACACCCGTGTCCGCCATGTCAATGATCATTCTACCACAAACCAGTGAAAGGAAGAATAAAACATACAGTCTGCACCTTCTCGACCACGGCGAGCGCAGCGGCCTCTTTCTCTTCAATCTCCTTATCGGAGGGGAGGCGCCGCCCGATGGCCGCCTTCTTGAGGTGGCTCTGAATGATCTTTGCCTCGTTGATGCCAATCTCGTAGGCCGTTTCGGGCACGTTGACTAGCCGACCATCATTGTCAGCGCATATTGCTGTTAGAGGTGGTGGGGGGATCTTACTCTGCGCTGCGGCAAGGGTCTGCGAGTCGGACGGCCGGTACACCGACACCGTCGGCTTCTCCAGCTCCCCCGACGCCGGCGCATTCTCATCGCCCTGCGGCGCACCTTCCGCCCCCACCGGGACCTCCACGGCAGCACCCTCCACCACCGCCGCCGCCTCCCCCATCTCCACATCCCCCTTCGCCGCCGCCGCCTCCTTCGGCCCCTCTCCCCCCACCCGCTGCTTCGGCGCCGCAGCCGCAGCCGGCGGCAGCACCTCCTCCACCTCCTCCCCCGCCCTCGGCGCAACGCTCTCAATCTCCTCCAGCGCCACCTCCAACGGCACCTCCGAGCTCCTCCACCCAACCACAATAGCCACCCGTCCCTCCCTTAGCCCCAGCCCCACCAGCGTTGTCTGCATCTCAGCCACGCCCACAAACTCTCTATTCGCGACACGGACCGCCGGGACCTCGTACAGCAGGCGGCCGGCGCCCGATGTTGCGCTCGAGGCGTACCGCTCCGTGAGGTTCAGCCCCGCATGGCGCTTCTCGAATGTCCGCAGGACGGCCCAGAGGGTGGCGGTGGGGCGCACTGCCCGCTGAGTTCCTGTGGGGGGGTGGATTGCAGGCGCAGGACGATGGTGAGGGGGGTGGTGGGCGCGCGGGAGGGGATGAGGTCGAGCTTGGCGCCGGGGCCGAGGTTGGTGAACCGGATTTGGAGGGAGAGGTCGAGGGGGGTGGTGCCGCGTCTAGAGGGGAGGTTGGGTTAGTGTTTTGGGTGGGATAGTAGTGGGGGAGTGGGGGAGGGGGAGGGGGGAGGGGGGATGAACTTCAGGGTGTATTTTAGTGGGTCGAGGTTGAATTTCTGGCAGGCCTCGGTGTGAACGTCGCTTAGTGAGCGGGTGGGAGTGACTTTAATCTGGTGGCGCCGCTGGTTGTAGAGGACGATGACGTTGGAGGCCATTTCGGGGCGGTTGGGAAGAAGAAGAAGAAGAGGGTGATATTAAGTGTATAGTTATAAATATAATATTTGGGTATTTGGGTATATATTCAGTATTCTTGATGCTGATAAGAAATGGCGCAAGTGTGGATGGGGGAGCAGTGGAGATGGAGATGGGGAGCAGTGTTGAGCTTGGTGTTGATGTTGAATTACTGAAGATGAATGGTGAGTGGTGGGAGGGAGAGGGAGAGGGAGTGGGAGAGGGAGTGGGAGTGGGAGACTGGGGCTCTCACTCTCTTGGTAATGCGGATCTTAGTCCAGGATGAGGGGAGCTTTGACATGCGGCTCGTGGAGCGGAATGGAAGCTTCGGTCTTGGCAACGGATCTGACGTATGCCTCATCACGCCCCACTGTGAATACAAACATTCAATGTGCAGTTTTTAGGGAATATAGAATCCTACAGCTTTCTAGGGTAGCTGCTGGGACATCCCGAATTTCAATTCGATCCTGCAGCATCCAGATTCTAGGCATTGTCACAATTACCGTCTAAAACTACCCTCTTCATGAAACATCACTCATTCAACACAATTATGCCTGTTGGTTTAGTCTTAATGGAGTTAATATATCTCTTCCTGGCATCACGTTATGGGCTACCAGCTGGCTAAATTTTGGATCACAAGTCGGTTCTCTGAAGCACCTCAAACACACAGATAGCAAAATGTAGAATCCTTAAAGCGATGTGATTATCTATTGTAGCATACAAACACAGACGCTCTCTTCCGAAAAGCAGAAAAGGTATCCACATCTAATCCTGTCTACCTGCACCCCCAAACCAAGCCACATTAGCCCATCAATCCCCGAACCATCAAAGATAGAGATATACGTACCCTTGAGCAGCCTCTTAACGACCTTGTCCTTCGTAATAACATAGACATGAGCACCCCAACCAGATAGCGCATCACGATCAACAGAGTTCAGCATCGCCTGCGAGATTGTCTCGAAAAGATCCTCAGGTTCCTACCAGCACAATCAGCACCCTATCCACAACACCCCACAGAAGCCAAGAAAGAAGAAAAAAACACTCACCATATCCGGCTCCCACAAGCTCTCGCAGGTACCAAACAACTGGTCACTCGCCGTACCGCTGACAATAAAGTCCTTTGCGAAATCGATGCACCTATCCACCTCAGCACCCCCCCATCAGCCCCCCACCCCACATCTCACCCCAAACAAAAAATATAATGAGAACCATACCCAATAGAGTCAAACCCACACACAAACGGCTTCTGCGAGTGCGGGTTGATCCCCGCAATCACGGGGCTGACAAAGTACGGCCCAAAGCGCTTCTCGTACAGCGATGACGACACTAGGTTCGCCATTGTCTCGGGCTCGATATCACGCTCCTCGCGGAGCCGGTACATGTTGACCTTGTAGCGGAACATCTCGGACCTGCACACCACCCACGTCAGCTACAGGTCTGGAAGGACATAGGTGGAGGAGGACGGGAGGGAATACATACACGGTAGTGACATCGGTGGCCAGTCCGGTGAGGCCGAGGTAGACGTCGCCGTAGTTGAAGATCTTGGGAAAGTCGTTCGAGACCGTGAGGGCCTGCATCCCCAATCTCAGATCGCAAGCGATAGCTACACAGTCCTTCCCGACCCTGCCCGCCGCGAATTCCATCAGATCAGCCATCCACTTATCCATCCATCCATCCATCCGCCGCACACATCGATAATAGCTAGCTAGCTCCACAAGCAAGGGGAGCACCTACATAGCCACGACCGCACCTCCGTTTATCGAGAATGGATTGGACTACAATACGGAAGCTTTCATTAGTTTCCTCCTTCCCCCCCCCCCCCCACTAGACAGCTTCCGGGGATGGGATGGGAGCCATACCATTTTGTAGTAGTTTGTTTTTCTGGCGAGCTGGGGTGTGTGAGTGTCCGGGACGAGATGACGGAGATGGAAATGAGAGGTGCTGATGGGGAGCTGTTGGTGATACTGGCGTTGTAGCACGTTGGGGGAATTCGGGGGAGAACGTTGGTTGCCAAGCAAAGCTGGGTGGGCGAGCCTCCCCTCCGATTACCTAAACCCCGCTATTTGTGGCTTGAGCTCTAGGAGCCCAGACTAACCAAACTCGGGTAGGCTGGGGAGCGAGTGATGGGGTATGAATACACATATGCTGCTGGCCTTGATATTTAGAGTAGGTACATTGTCCACCCATAAAGCAGTGACAATGTTGTATCTTGGGTTCTCTCGTTTACTCTTGAGCATAGCCTCTTTGGTCTAATGAAATGTATACCATTTGACTAGTGCTGACATTACAAACTACATGTAACCAAACACCACAACACCTTCCTCCTCATGAGTAAACACCGCCACCTCGTCCAATGCGTTTTGAGATATACAACACCGTCCGCCGCCCCCATCCAGTTTATACACCCCTCATAAACAAATATGAGGGAATGGCCCTAGCTAAACATCCATATCTAGTGTCTAGAAGAAAGAATGAAATACAAAAAATTTAAATAAAGATACATGTAATCATGTCCTATGCTGCTCGAACATTACTTTATTCGCTCTTGGTCTTGTTGACAGGGGCGGTGAGGTATATTCTCCGCTCTGCAAACTTAAGAGCTTCGTCTATGAAACTATATTCGTATCTCAATTAGCAAGCTGGCCATGGCCATGACAAGATTGGGGGGGCGATAACTTACATTACTGGTAATGAAATATAGATAACTGCCTTCCACTCGTGTCCGTTAAGGGGCACAATTGAGAAAAGCGTCTGTAGGATAGGAGTGTACAACAATGCAAAGTGCAATGCCATACTCAACGTGATGGCATACACAAGCTTCATGTTCTTCCACAGTGGCAAGGTAAGTAAACTTTCGCTTGATGACAGGGCGTTCATGGCGTTAAACATCTCAATAACAACCAAGATGCTCAAACTCATGGTGCTCGCTGTCCTCGACATAGTGTTGCTAAACATCTCGCAGCCAATTTCGGGGTACTGAACACTGCATCGGTGGAAGTGAGAGAGTTGGTAGAAGGTAATTTGGGGGCCCTCGGTGTTGTACATGAACCACCAAGCGTAACCAAACACTGTAGCGGCACCAACATAGACACCAATAACCATGTAACGGAAGAAAAGCCATCCAGTGACAAGAGCTTCGTCGCGGCCACGGGGGCGGCGGCGCATGATGTCATGATCAGGAGGATTGAAGGAGAGAGCAGTGGCGGGGAGACCATCAGTGACCAAGTTGACCCAAAGGAGCTGAACGGGGATAAGAGCCTCGGGCATGCCCGCTGCCGCAGTCAAAAAGATTGATACGACTTCACCGATGTTGGATGATATCAAGTAGCGGATGAACTGTTGGGTGTTGTTGTAAATAGACCTTCCCTCCTCGATAGCAAGCTCAATAGTAGCGAAGTTGTCATCGGCGAGAACCATATCAGCAGCCAACTTGGCAACATCAGTTCCACTTCCCATAGCAACACCAATATCCGCACGCTTCAAAGCCGGAGCATCATTTACACCGTCACCAGTCATAGCAACAACCTCGCCAGCGTTCTGAAGAAGGTCGACCAACTTTGACTTGTGAGTGGGTTCAGTACGAGAAAACAAGCTAGCCCTTTTCGCGACCTCGAGTTGTTCCGCATCGCTAAGTGCATCGAATTCACGTCCAGTGTAACTCTTGCCGGTGAGGTTTTCGTGCTCTCCAAAAATTCCGATTTGACGACAGATGGTTTCCGCGGTTTGCTTGTTGTCTCCGGTGATAACGACAACACGAATACCAGCATCACGACATTTCTTGATTGACGCAGCGACTTCCGGGCGAGGGGGGTCCAACATTCCAACGAGTCCGATGAAAGTCATGTTTTGTTCGAGTTGAGCGTACTCCCTGGTGGTTTTGGCCGAGCGTGTCAATGGGTTCCCGGACATGTCGTCGATAGTGGCAAAAGCGATAACACGGAGACCCATGTAAGCATATTCAGTGAGTTTTGTGTTGAGAAGTTCACGAGTCTTGTGGCTGAGGGGAACCCTAGTCCCACTTGATCCAACGAAAGTATGGGTGCATCTTTCCATGACAGATTCCGGAGCTCCCTTAACCAACAGGCGCTGACCGTTGCGATCACCAGACAAGACAGACATGCTCTTCCTGTCACGGGAGAACTCGTATGTGGCAAGCTTGGGGCATTGAGATTCGTAGTACCTGTTGGCTTCATCGAGACGTTGACCGAGGGGTTTGCGCGAGTTTTGGAGGTTGAGAATCGGATCAGGGGTGCCAATCTTTTCAACCAAGACTCTAAGAGCTCCTTCCGTAGGTTCACCAACGTTCGAGAACGTCTGTGTCTTGGAATCATAGGAAAGCTCTGAGCCGTTGCACATTGCTGCGACCTCCGCGAGCTTGCGAATTGTAACTGAGTGGGCGGCGACCGATTCCAAAACATGTCCCTGGGCATTCTTGATGGCTCCAACAGGTGAGAAGCTAGTACCTTCAATAATAAGATCTTCAAGCTCCGTCTGGGATTCCGAGATGACAACGGCCCTGGATACGCTCATTTGGTTGGTGGTCAAGGTTCCTGTCTTATCGGAACAGATAACACTGCAGCTTCCCAAAGTTTCAACCGAAGGCAAGCTTCTGACAACAGCGTTCTTGGCAGCCATTTTACGGGTTCCTAGAGCAAGGCAGGTGGTGATAACAACAGCAAGACCTTCCGGAATAGCAGCAACACCGAGAGAAACAGCGATCTTAAGATAGTAGATTGCTCCCTTCAACCATCCACCATGAGCTTCATCATTAAAGTTTCCGATGTTGATGAGCCAGACAACGATGCAGATAATCATAATAACTTTCGCCAAAACATCTCCAAAGTCGTTCAACTTTTGTTTCAGTGGTGTCGGTTCCGAGATCTGAGACGTGATGCTGGTGTGGATATCTCCGATAGCAGTTGAATTTCCAGTCAAGACTACAATAGCTCTAGCGTGTCCAACCGTAACAGTAGTTCCCGAGAAAAGCATGTTGACTTGATCCTGCTTGACAGCCTTCTCATCATTTACCTCATGCACATCCTTGCTGACACTTTCACTTTCACCCGTAAGAATGGCCTGGTCAATGCGGAAACTGTTGCTTTGGATAGAAAGAACTCTGCAATCTGCGGGAATGCGGTCTCCAACAGCGATATCGACAATGTCACCAGGAACTAGTTCTTCGGCGCGGATCTTGCTGACATGTCCATTCCGGACGACCTTGGCTTCATTGGCAGAGTATTCGTTCAGTGCGGCGATCGCCTTTTCGGCGCTGCTTTCTTGGGAGACACCGACAACAGCATTCAGGACAAGGATCGTGAGAATCTAAAAGAAGGCCCGATTAGCACACTTTTACCCCCTTGAAGTCGAAAGGGCCAGAATGCTACTTACCACCGCAGGGTCCACAAACGCAGTTAATCCCTCGCCATCCTCCATGATAGCTAGAACAAACGAAACACCAGCAGATACCAATAATATTATTACCAACTGATCTTTAAACTGCTCCAATATGAGCTTCCATATAGGTGTTGGGGGCTCCTCGGGAAGAGCTGTTGTGAAGAGAACGTTAGCAAATTCATAGGAAACGGTAGATAAAGTTTTGTCCCACCATTTCTCCCATATCGCGACCTTGCAGCTCTAACTTGTCCATCGCTCAGACCAGTGCGCTGGTCAACGTCGAAGAAGCGCAGAACCTCATCGCCTGGTTTGGCGTATGCGCGCTCCATGGCTCGCTAGTACTGCGTGAGAGGCTTCCCTATGATGATATGACGTTCTTTGTATCGACGGATATGCGAATACAGGTTTCGCGATTGAAAAGCCGGGATTGATTGGTGGGTGGCAGGAAAGGAGGCTACAAAGAAAGTCTAGAAGCCTCAACTGAACGAGGGAAGAGAATAGAATCAAATCAAAAGACGAGACAGATAGAAGTCTGCTCGATAACTACTACAGAGGATGAATGAATGAAAGAAAGTAGAAATCAGGATATTGAGAGGAATCGAAGAGAGGTAGTTGAAAGGTGGTCTTTTCGCCCTTTTTCTGTACCTGGGGGCGAGAATGTTCTCAAGCTTCGGTCAGCAATAAAAATTCTTGGCTCGCGGCTCAACTGGCCCCGTGCCAAGACATTATTATTATCCCGTTTGGGCCTTTAATTGAACTGCACAGGCCAGCAGCTTGACACGGAGGCAGTAACAGCTTCAGACAAGCTTCACCACCACAGTATTCATCATCCTAGATAGCTGTGCAGCATCCCAGACACTGGCCGAGGGATCATAGCGATATATAGCCTCTAAGCCGATTATTACTGGAGTCCAATCCCCCCCGAAACTTTGGGTGACTGGATCGCTTGGCAGGAAAGACATCGCCTGAGTGAGACTGTGAAGCGGAAGCTGTCGATCATGCAGGACCGTAAACAAGACATATGCACGGCACTTTTTTCCCACCTCATCTCGAGCTTCTTCTGACTTCAGCTTCTGAAATTGTCAATGTTGGCTGGTGAAGTGCAAAACGCCGCTCCCCGAGAGAGAGAGAACCAGATATCCGTGGGACGCCAAGAAGCCACGGTTGAACCCCAAGGAGAATTTAATCTCCACAAGGGGCTAGCAGATCAAGTGGGCGCAGCAAGCAATTTGTTTAAGCGGGGTGGCCAGAAAGGGCGTTTTTCGATAAGATACGCATATCGATAAGTCTAAAGATAAAGAGCCCCTGGGCTTGAACCTCAGGGGTTCTTCGTCAACTATGAAGCGCACGTGTTGGAACTCTACAGTTCAGTTGGAGGGGCTCCTCATAGAGCGAGTTAGCAGTCCTTGCTTGACCAATTGAGGAGAAATCTTTCTCTACGATTAAGCGCCTAAACGCGCGAGTACTCTAAAAGTTCATCCTAACCACCGCTTTGCACTCTCATGCATGGTTTCGGCCGCCGGCTGGTGATTAATCAAAGAGCGACGGTTGAAAGGTTCTTTCGGAGGATTAGGGGGCGAGGAACTTCTTCAATTGACGATCGTCGTCTTAATTAATTAGGCTGTGCTTTGGTTGCACGGGTGCTCAAGTTGGCGATGATTGTCCGGTCATGAACTGCAATTTTGGTTTCCGCCGTGTATAAGGGCTCAAGTTGATGAAGTGGTGCTTAGTTACGGTGAACGGGGCTGAGTTCGAGGGAATAGGAGAACTTGATGGAGTGGTTTTGAGGTTAAGCCATCTGCGAAGACGGGGCAGGCCCAAGCACAGAAAAATCTATTTTTTGTGTGGTATATTCCGCTAGATATGATGCGCCGCCTGGTCCTTAAGTCGATCGTGATAAAATGCCAAGTCCTCAATACATAACTTTTAAACCACAATATAGATATTAAAAATCTATGAAGAATAATTTGTCCTGATGGATTTTTAATATCCTGTTGGGGGGTTATGAGGACTTGGTATTTATGTCATGATCACCTTTAAGTTTGTCTTTCGCGGCGAGTTGGTTCCGACGATACTTCATACAGCATCTCCTCGAGGAACCTTTTTCGGCCCTCAACCAAAGGACATCCACAGGCCGTCGACGCTATATCTGAACTGCTTTGCATGCATCTGCAATATCTGGCCATAGGCTCTATAGACCTTTATCTCTGTAAATCGATTTTACATATAATCAGGCAGGAGTCTAAAGTCTAAGAATACATGAAGATAACGGCCTATGAGGATCCGGATACTATAGGCCAGTCTCAACAGTTTTAGCTTAAAAAATAAGGAAACTTAGCCATTAGAACATCCCTATGTAATTTCCGAGAAAGATTTACATAGAAATCTTTATAAAAGTGAGGTTGGATGTTTTGTAAAATAGTTTGCCTACTATGAAAGTGTGAGCAAGCTTCTTCACGAAGAACTCCAACCTCGTCCTACAGAATTCGAACGCAGTGAAGTGTAATTCTCTCTCCTTCCCTACCCGCTTTATCTTGGGGTAACTTATTTCTTCATGAGATGATATATCTCTGCTACTCCTTGATCCCGAGATCAAACGGCGTTTACAGAGCTTCACTCAAACTACGGCCGTCTGCTGGGAATAGATTCACCCCAAGACAAAAAGATGCACTAGGAGCAATCTCATGGTCAAAAAAACCCAAAAACACAAAACCCAATTCGGCAGCAAAAACTCGAGCGAATTAGCACACGATGGTGGTGTGTACTATTCCGCCCGCCCTGGGATTCGAACCCAGACCGCCTCCTGCGACAGCAACTTAGAGTTAGGATACTCCAGTTTAAGCCATATAACCGCATGGTGTTAGCTGCGAGATTTGCTCTTTTCATACCCTAGGGATGTGTGAAAGATGAGGTATGTCATGTGATGCGGTAGTACGTGTGCTAGGGACTGTGTTCAATCCTTCCCACAGCCAGGTACGAAAGTGTGGTCAACACCACCACCACCACCACCGTCACCATCACCACTGTCACCATCTCCATCACCACCGCCACCATCACCACCACCGCCACCACCGTATTATTGAGCGTCCCTATATACACAGAAAATCTAGTAAATCTAGTTAATCAGCTCCATAAACCGCCTCGAGAACACATCCTGAACCGACACACACGTACCATCTTCACATGTCGATCCCCCTTAGTACTCGCATCCATAATTTCTGCGACCACCTCCGAGTCCCCTCCGGATTCCTTAACTCTTATCATTCATGAGATTTGAAACGAACTGTTATGAGCAGCCATCCGCTCAAAAAGAATTCTCTGTACCACTCAAGTTCACTTAGGACCGGCTAGATTCTTGGCGAGCGAGTGATGCTCTGTGATTTACGGCCGACGATGCCCATAAGCGGCTATTCATTGCTTCAAACTCGAGAAAAGGGCTAAATATAAGCTCCACTGTTCGTGATAGTAAGTGCCCAGCTTGCAATTGTCCAAGAAACAAAAGTGCAGAGTAGTATACCGTAGAAGAAGGACCTCAGGTGTGCTAGAACATCGTGGGATTACGGCGGGTATATTTGTATTTCGAGCAATTACGGATAGTTATTGAAGGAAAAAGAAAGCGCAAAAGTCCTAAACTTCCACCCTAGTGTTGACAGTGGCTGTGTTGATGTATATGGCCTTGGATACATGTATTTGAGCTAGCTTGGCAATCAATGTCCGCCCTCCCCGCTTGCACCATGTTCTTGTTAGCTGCGCGTACTGGGAGGTCTACGCAACGGGTTTCGCTCTCTTCAATTGACAAGCCAAGTGTCACCAAGTTTTGGGTACTGTTATTCTTGGCGATATTTGAGCTACAGTGTTTTGTTCAATTCATACAACGTGTTCTTGTGTGTCGTCTACATGTATGTGTACTCTTTTGTTTACACTATAAATACGTAGATGTATAGAGGACTCCTCTCTCTCTATGTTTGACAGGTCAATAAAAATCACTCATCGTCTTACTTCCTCCTCGCCTGAAGCAAAACAACTGGGTATACACGTTAAAGATGTCCGGTTAGGTATAAAAAGCTGTGGACAACACGATATGGTAAGGTTCATAACATATTGCTTTCTGTATCTACATGTAATCTGATTGGTTGCGTATTGCATACACTCGAAAGTATCGAATTGGATTAACCCCCTCATTCAATGCCTCCGGTTGGTCTGGGATGCTGTATATATCGATCTAAAAGCTAAGAAATAAACCAGTTTCCAGCCGCTATCATAACCCAAATCGAATTCTACACCTGAGTTCTGGAGACAAGGCTGATACCTATTCACATCCGGGCCTGCTGCCTATTGCGGGTCCCAGCCTGGTTGATTGGTGGGTACGGGTGATAACTCATGACTGGGCGCCTTGTTGGTGAACTGGCCAACGACACTGAGCTGCCTGCACTCCTACTGGCCAGCCGTGTCGTCACCTCCCTACATTGAAACATCTGGCCCTGCGTGCAGAGAAAGCTCTCGATTCTCAATACAAATATTACTTAAGGGCGGGGACTTGCGGTCTTCAAGGCTACACATATTATATCAACCGCTGTTAGCAGTCACTGGCAGTAAGGGTTATTGAGGTCTATCTAGCACTCATATGGCACACTTCACTACGACACCAAACCTCTTTACACCTCTCAGCAATTGTCATTGCCATTGACAGAGAAAGAAACGCTGCCCTGATTCTCGCTCTTTGTCCGCGTGCCAAGCCAACCCAACACGGCAAGGCTCCGTCAGAACATCACCGCGCTCCGCAGAAGCACGAACGCGTAAAGTACTCTACCGGCGTGCCCCACCACCACCACATCTCTCACATCTCACCTAGCACCCAGCACCCAGCACCCTGCGCCCACCGCCCTGCACCTTTCACCAAAACTCACTATGTCACTCTCCCCCTCACCCCCGACCCCCCCGCGCCCGCCACGCCGCCAGTTCCTGTTCAAGCGCGCCAACCTTAGCGCCCCCGACAGCACCAGCGGCACCCCCGGCACCGACACCGCCGTCCCCGACTTCTTTAGCCGGCGCGAGCAGAATTATACAGCCCCCGAGGCCGTAGCCAAGAAGGTGAAGCCGAAGCGGCCAAAGAAGAAAGCCACGGCAGACGGGTCTCCGCCGAAACGGGCGCGCGGGGACGACTCGGCGGAGGAGCGCGGTGTGGCGCATAACAGGCGTGGGGGCGCGAAGCAGAGGTGCGTTTTTTCTTCTTCTGGCTGTGTAGGGGAGAGATGGGACGGGAAGTGTGTGGGGGGAGCTGCAGCTAACCGTCGGTGATATCCAGATGCGATGCGATTGTGCTTTCGGA